TTCATGGTTCCTCGAGTCGGTTCCATCATACAAATGTCATATTTTCAGGCGGTTCTGTTCCGAAAAGTCATGTATTACTAACCGGTTCGCTGATCTCAGAAAATTCCGTGAGACGGTTCTATAGAACCGGTTGAATCCCACTACTGCTTGGGGGGCTCCCAAATACCTACGATTTAATGATTCAGTTGAAGTATTTTATCGTTGCCCCTGAAACTGATGTCTCACAACGAAAAGTATTTAAACATAAAACACACACGACTTTGACGGTAAAGTAGAGCCTATATAAATCTCCTTGTTTAGCGCAAATGGCGTCAAAGTCAAGATCTTCAAGTTACTATAAAGCGCGGGCATTTCAATTAGGTTCCTATTTATTCCTGTTCAAAAATACATAGTTGGACCAAATGAACAAACCAAAATGAATTCTCCACGAACAGGTAGTTCAATTCGTTCATCTATAGTTTTATTCATTAAAGTATTTTATCTGTAAATTGTGTTTAAAAGTCGTTTAGGTGGGGTTTTCTCAGCTCATACGAGTCAACTTAGCGTTTAACAAGAAATTCTCTTCTCTTTTTTTCGTCCATCTGTGACAACTTATGACGGAGAGCTTCTAAATTGTGCTTCAGATCAGATACAATGTTGTTCTGAATTATTAAGCAATTAAACCGTAAATATATACTACTACGATTAAACACTAACTTAAATAATAACAACGTTTGTGCCATGGAAGACGTTCTCAAGCTGAAATAAACACTGATGTGTTATGAAGTGTATCATACAAATCTATTTTATTACTTCTTACTATTGGATAACTAACTCTCAAATAACATGAACGGGGCAAGTTAGTTTAATATTTCAATTTTTTTTCTAAACTAGTGATATTTATGTAAAATATTTTCAGACGCTAATCGATCTATTTCCGAGGTTTGCTGTAAAATAGTTCGCGATTGACAATAAATTCCATTTCAATACGTACGTGACTGACTACAGTTTCTTCATTTTTGAATACATTTGTCCTTTTTCCTCATATGATCACGTGATGTGCAAGAATTTTGGCCAGATTTTTTTCACATTCTTATTTGGCCTAATTTCTGTTTTCTTAGTGTTTTCACAATTAACCGGGTTTTGGACAGATTTATCATTAGAATTATTCTTCAACAGTTCCGTTGTTGTTGTCTGAGTCGCAATGCACGGTTTTATAAATCTTGTCGGATAATTCACTTTGAAGTTTTGTGTTGTGGCATTTATCGATGGATGAAGAAGTTTTGTGGATTTTTTTTCGACTGCCAAGTAGTCCAATCCGTTGATGCACTTGGTTATAATTGGCTACTTGCTGACGGAAAAATACTAATTAGGAATATTCCTAGAAACTGTCTCTGTCAACGCCGTGTATTGAAATTTTATGTTATTTGCAAACTTGCAAATAAGGTCTCGGGAGATCTTTCCCATTTTTAATTTGGTAAATTTCCTTCCAGCTGCAAGAAGAAAAATTCCCGAACTAACGTAATCTTCTGGTTGTTGAACGAAAACAATTTCAATTTTCATCTGGTTTAAATCGTCGTTACCAAGTAGCTTTCATGTGTTGAATTGGCCAGTTTTTCTACGGTCTTCTTACCTCCCAACAAACTCTCATCCGTATTGGTTTCCTCATATTTTATGCAGCAAGGTCCACCCTAAACACTTGGATGCCATCCCAATGAATCTGCCATTCCTCATCCCTGCTTTTTTTGATGCAATTATATGTCGTCGTATTTGAGCCTGGCGAACATACTTCCAGGTCGCTTTCTTCATTTTAGCAATCTCGACTTTTTAGCCTCGGGAGGGCCGAAACCCTATTCTCACGAAGAGCTTCAAAATCTCCTTCGGATTCTGGCTTTTTCATAACATCGAAAGCCTGTTCATTAAGTTCGGCAATTGCTGCTATTGAGAACTTGTTTATATGATATAAAATTGATGACTTTCTTATCGTTCTAATGATCATTGGGACGACGGCATTTCTAAACAAAAAGACCAGTCATCAAACGTACATTGGGTACGTCGTGAAATGGCGTCCAAGTATGATTACTTCTGACATTATTCCAATGTATGTACGATTCATTTAACACTTAGATACTGCTTGGAGAGTGTTGCATTTGTTAATATATCCTTCCCCTCGATAATTAGTCTCCGTAAAGGATAACGGTTCAAATAGGAAGATTGTAACAAACAGCAAAAAGCGTGTAGACCTACTGCTAATTTATAATTTGATTCTTCTTCGCAAAATTGATCATTATCGATTGTTATTGAATAAGTAAGATATTATGAACTCCCAATTTTGCTTTCTCTTTTTTTGTTCACGGCCGTTCGGTTCGGACCAAAGTGACTGTTCCACCCTTCGACCTCAATATAACCCTTATAACAGCTGACTTATTCGATTCAGTACAACAACATGACGAAAAATTTCTACAATACTTCATTGTTTTGCGTTTCCCAAATATGGCACAAGATGGCGACAATAAACTTTTTTAACACTAGAAAAGTTAGTTGCTGGCCGTTGGTTCGGACCAGGGACAACTACATTTTAAGCCTCATCTGAGATTTATTATGATGACGAAAACAAACAATTGAAGCGACTTGCTGAGCCAATTGACCTCCTTAGCTAGGTTTATATATTTGCTTCCCATCTGAGCAGTGTGCAAGTCGCACGGTGCTCAAAATTTCTCGTTATAAACTCGTTGTTTATACGTTTCGTGTCATTGTTTGTGCATATATCGGTATATCAAATTAATGACGTTGTGGTAATTTAGAGATGTAGCGATGTATCGGTATCGGCAATATCGGCCATTTTTTTTTCGGTATCGGCCATGTATCGGTATCGGTTAGATTAAGGCCGACATTTCCGATATATTTACCTTTTTGATATGGTCCAAAATGTTTTAAAAGATTAGTTGGAATACTACTTTTTAATTTATTTTTTGTCTGGAGAGATTGTGAGCTATGAGCCATACATGTTCCCACCCCCGTGAGAGAATATTCACGTGTTTTTAGCTATTTATCGGCCAAACTAGCTCAAATAATTTAGATATTTTCGCTGTCAAATTTTTATATTGACATTTTTAATATTACATAGTAATTATGAAGAAATATATCAACACAGCACATAACAAAAAGCAATCAGGCGCCCTGTTTTAAATCATACAGTGGAATTGGGGTCCTTATTAACGGCACATAGACTTTTGGCACGGGTATGAATTCTGACTGTTTGTCGTCAAGTACGAGTGTCATTTAGTCCGTCGACATCGATAAACTAAATTCCGACACAATTATCTCTCTACGCAGGTATTAATTTTAATTTTGTTTAACTACACAACTACTTTATAGATATATTGACATGACCGCCTAGCCCTAGACTGTCACAAAATATATGATTGCAATTGTAAAATATTATAAAATCTATTTCGTTGGAAGAGATCATGTTATTTTTACTAAAAAAACCTCCTCGACGGTTATAGGTAGGCCTTCTTTTTGTTGGTGCTGATTGATATTCTTTATTCGTGTTGCCTTTGACTTATTGCGTCGACGATTACGATTAGCCACGAAATACAATATTTGTAAAATGCTTTTAATTTGAACGCAGGACGGCGGCGCTAGAATATGTGGGTGATATTCTTTTAAACACGAATAACGATATTTGAAGGTCGCGATATTAACATTAAATTCAAATTTGACATCCCAGCTTATGAGTTTTCTAATTGAACACCGAGATTACTAGCGTTACTGTACAACGTATCTTAATCAGTTAAAGCAAATTCCAAACAGTAATTTCATATTATGCGACATATATATCTTTTTTTTTCGATCTGAAATAATGTGTACTATGAACAACGCTCAAAGACCATTGTTTTAACCCGTCTGCCCTACACATCACCCCTAATTAAGTAATAATTACATAGTATCGGTCTCGGAATATCGGTAATATCGGCCTTCTTATAGTATCGGCGTATCGATATCGGCGTTTTTAGTTGGTATCGGATCGGTATCGGTATCGGCGACAAAAGTGGTATCGGTACATTTCTAATACTTATATTTCTAAACAAGTCTTGTCCCACGTTGATATACAGCGCCAAATAGTGGAGACACTTGCACCTTATACAGATTTATTGTTGCATCCTATTTCTAACTTTGCTTTTCATCTGCTTTTTCTTGTCGCTGATTGCTCGGTTGGCAAAAAAAGAAGTTATATTTGTTTCATTTTATGGTGCAGTGTCAGTGCAGTCAGCATACAAATGATTTAATTTTGCATCGATATGGACAAAAATACAAAACCAAAAATGTTCAATTACATATTGGTAATGGAATAGGCTATCTGAATATTTCAATTTGACAACAAAAATGTGCCAATGGCAATGCAGCAATGCTACGTTTCTTCAACATAGTCGTGTTCACTTTTTTGTATGCTTATATTGTTATTAATATTTTTTGGTGGGTGGGAGCGTAGCCTACTTTTGTACTTGTACGGTAGGCTACCGACCGGTACCGGTACATCTTTTTAACTTTTTTTTAATTTACGTTACTGCGTTATGCTTGCCTTCCAGCTACAGAGGTACCGTACCGTATCTCTGCATCTTGTTTGTCTGTTTATTTTTTGTGTTGTTCTGTTTACTGGTTTAATACCAAAATAAAACTGTAAAATGATTGATTGATAGTTTTGTCGGATTTGCAGGTTTGTATTTCGTTACCGTACTACACAGTCAGACAGTTAATTTAAATTGTACCGGTCTCATTTAAATTATACCGGTCGACTGTAGTTAGAGTACCGGTATAAGGTGCATTTTCACCAAACGCCGCAAGTACTTCTAGTTGGCGTGGCACAAAATTTTTGCATATGTTATTTTCAACCTTTACGGTACCGGTACCTGCCCGCGTCATCCAAAATCTTACTACTATCTGACTATACTACATGCTGACATGGTAGAAAGCATAACCTTAATTGACGCTACACTATACATTATTTGCAATTATTTTCAGTAAATTGGTAATTAATTATAAAGACAATGTGGGTTAAACCACACGAGGTTCTTCTTGCAAATGCGCTGTGGGTGACGGAACGAGCGAATCTATACTTTATACTTCAGCGAAGAAAAGGACATGGAGATCATGGTCTTGGTTCCATACTTGTTAATACCCTGGATACAGTATTGGATTCTAGTGCTAAAATATCACCATACAGAATTCTGCATCAAACTTCAAACTCTGAAATTAGTTACAACATTGCTTCAGGTTATTATATTTCTGTAAACTTTTGCTCTTGACTGTTTAACATAGTGCAATTAAAAATGGCATTTTCTAGTACATTCCTGATTTTTTTTTACTTTCATTGGCTATAGTAAATTGTGTTTTTATGGATCTTGAAATATTTTTATTTAACAATTGTCATTTTGAGTATTTAGCATTTGACAATCAAGAAATAATTTGATTTATTTAATCAACAAAAACTGGGCAAAATCCAATAAAACAATACCAAAATAATTTTTTTTGCATCATCACATTCATTCCATACAGTAGTGCAGAGTTCTCCAATGTCTGGAATGTTGTGGGCTTGCGGTTTTTGTCCTTAGGTAAATCAGATTTTTTCCCGAAGAATCTAATGGTGACGTTCTTCTATTTGTGTCGACAAGGATGCAAAGGGATTGCATTCATTTTTATATCTGTAATTGAGATGTCGTTTAATGTCAAATTACAGTTTCAAAGTTGAAAGATGAAGTTGTAATTGAATAAACTGGAATATACCATCATTTTTATGTGGAATGTACCAGTTTAAATTTGTCTTCATGCTAACTATCCTGATATTCGAATTGTGGAAAAAAATATTGCTCTTGTCACATCAGTGGTTGTCATAACCCTCACTCAGATTTCTAGTCTTTTTTATTTTAGAACGAGTGTGCGAGACTTTACTTTAAGCAAATTTCCTGAAAAAATGAATCCATCCATCAGTATAACAGGGATTTATACTATAATAGAGATATACCTAAGGCCATGTTATTATCAAGACATTACTCAATCTTTATTGTGTGGTATTCATGTTTATAATGATATTTAGGCACATCAAAGAAAGAAATATTTTTGAACTGGGAATGGCTAGAACTAAACATGATGAAGACATTGAGTTCATTTGAGAGTGAAGATGACGTCACTGAATTTGTGATGGGAAAGATTGAAAGCCTTGCTGCCACTGAAGGTCAAAAGAAGGTATGAGATGGTGTATTCATTGAGAAATAATATAATAATTTGATAACGGAAAGTTGGGCATTACAAATGATTGTAATGCATAGCACCAATTAAAGGGTACTTTTTCTTGGAAAAAACAGGGTACACATAACACAATTTCAACAAGTGGATAAATATCCTTAAATTTTCGTTTCATATTTTAAGACTGGAAAAATAATTTTTTCGCTGAATAAATTTGCTTTCAAAGCCTAATAAAACATTAATTTATGTTGAATTCTTAACTGAGATTTTTCACATAAATAATATTATGTATGAGTATTTATAATCTAAAAAATTTCAGTCAATATTTTACACTGAAACATCTCAGAATTGTGATATAGGGGTTGTTTAATTTCGAAACATATGGTTTAAATATGAATGTTTAAACATTTAAAGTGAATTTTAAATATTATATTGAATTGGGAAATCAATATTCATATAGGGCCTACTTATATTGCTGATTAATTTAATCCTATTGTCTGTATCTGTTATGTAAAAAATTTAATATCCTGGTTTCTTTGTTAATAGGGAATTTATGACTTTATTAGGCTAGAAATGACATTACGGTGTAAGATGTTCCTCAATATTAATTTTTGTCTTTGTGTTGTGTCAGCATGAGATTATCAGCTCAGAGAAATAATTTCCGAAATTAATTTGAAAGTTGAGAATGTGAAAAATTTCTTTAACATATTTAATGGAGATGTTTTTTTCAAATACCGGTATATATTTTATGAAATTCTAAAAAAAATATTGTTCATGGCTGAAGCGCTCCATTTTGTTATCTTTTATCAGTAGAATAAAAATTATGTATGAAAAATGAAATCAAAATGTTTATCAGTGAAGATGCAATTTTCATGATATCTTACAATGAAAATCATTATCGTTCACTGTTAAAACTTCTTGCTCTTTTGATTGAATGAAATCATCATGTATGGGCAAGTGTCTTATACTGATTCAGAAAGTTTGTTTTTATACTTTATTGAGAATGTTGATTAGTCATGAGATAGACATGTAATTGTCTAACAAGCAATTGTCTAACATTGTCTAACAAGCGTATTTCTTAACACTGTCCTAAGAGTATTTGATGGTTTTGTTATATAATTGCTTAACTAAAATTGGATGTCGAATAATCTAATACTCTTAAGACATTTGTCAAATAATATTTTGTAATATGAAATATCGAATCTATTCTAAATTAGGACATCTTCAACAAAAACTTATACATAAAAGACAATGTGAATTTAATGATTGCGACTTTATAATGCAGGAAAGTTGCAGATAGTTTTTTTAATTTTTTGTCAGTTTTAAAAAATAAAGAGAAATTAAGTACTTTTTGATCATTAAATGAGATCTGATATCTACAAGAAGTCACTGATATCTAATGATATGTATGAAGCTGCTATAATTTGGGGACCAGAATCTTTCCGGTTTGGCATTTCCCACCTACCGGTAATTTATTACACCCTGGGTGTGTTGGGGGTGTGAAATTTGAACTTGAGATGTGTAATTTGTGATGCCAACACAGTTGAGTTTAACACTTTAACCTATAGATAGGCAAGGTTTTTGGACCAGGTGACACAAATTTTGCCCACCCAGACTGGTGGGCCATGTAAGTATGACATAAAAAGTTACATTTTATGAAAAATATTTACAGTGTTTCAAATGCTATCGTGGATCAAGGCGGGCCAGATTGAAGTACCCAACGTGCCAGATTTGGCCCACAGGCCATCATTTGCTCATGTCAGCTATGCATCGCACCGCCCAAAGAACAAGAGTTATAAATATTGAAGATACTTTATTTTGAATTGATTTTTTGTTTTGGATATCCGTGGTATATACAAGGATACTTAAATATTTATATACTGTATGGCACTTTACTGTAACTGTAACTATTCTTCAATATTGATATCTTTTTTCAGCATGTGAATGAAAACAGTAAAAAGTTTAAAGAAGCCACAATGAAGTTCAGACATTTATTTGGAATGCCCGAAGAAGAAAAACTTGTCAATTATTATTCCTGTAGTTATTGGAAAGGAAAAGTACCACGGCAAGGATGGATGTATCTTAGTGTGAATCATTTATGTTTTTATTCTTTTCTACTGGGAAAAGAAGCAAAATTAATAATAAGGTAAGACATCTTTCCTGGGATCGACAATCTGCCGCTCCGGAGTCGTATGCAGCTCTTTGCTGTTGAGTTCTGGCTCCCATGAACAACAGTTTGTTTTTTTGTTGAAAACAGTACAGTGATTCAGTGAAAAAAGAGGCATAAAGCCAAATACTCCACCCTGATTACACATCACAGCAGTTTCCAAATTATAAGTTGCTAGCTGTAAAAGTGGGTCGCGTTCAAAGTGATTCAAGTCTGTCAAAACAAACTTTTTTTTCATTTTACAAGTTGTCATTTCACCATAGACTGAACTATTGCATCATTCGTATTTCATTTTGCTTCTTCTCAATAAGAACAGGATTATCGCATCATAGTGGTTTTCTGGGAGTTTTAATAGCTACTGACATTAGAATAAACGTTGCGGCTCTGAGTAGATTTGTGTTTGATTGAAAAGATGCCATATATCTTTCGATGCTAAAGGTTGTCGACCTTTGCTCTAGATTTACAGCCCCAAATAATGTATAGGCTTTTATTTATTTTAGGGTGGCCTGTATGACAAATATTGCTCATTTCATATTTATTAAAATGTAATTTATATTTCATGGTGACATGTCAATACGTGATGGAATACAATCATGGGCCTATAAGAAACTCTACCGCATATTCCCCACTATTTCATAACAGCTTAGCCTTAGGCCCCCCGGTTCTCAACCAGGGGGCCATGGACCAATTCTGGGCCACAGAAACATTATCAGAGGGTTCATAAACCTATTAAAAGTTATCATAGTTAATAAACTCAGTTAAATTGACGGTAGTAGTATATTGAATGAAGATTTTTGTTACAGGGTGATTTTATCATTCTACTTATTGAAGTAAAAGTGTCTCTTTTGGGGAAAAATTATTTGCTTTCTCGTAGTTTTTTCCTTGCTTCACTGTGCAAACTTAGCAACATATAAAATATTTTTACTCTCGGAACTGGAAAATTTCGAAAAACTAAGAAATGGTTTCTGTTTGCCAGACGAAACTGTTAGTGTGCAGCAAGACTCTTGATTCGCTCAGGATCGATATCTTCAATCCTGCTAAAGCATACTTGCATTATATGCATACGAGTACACTCATGCAAAAGCATAGAATATGGATGATAAGAAATGGTTCCATGTATAAATCTACATGTTATTAAAATACAATCTCATTTTTTGTCTATCTCTTCAAGTTTCCCGAATGGATGATAGTTTCCCTTGTATCCAATTGTTTAAAAATATTTTAAAAATTAAATTTCAGATGGGTTGATGTGACTGAATTAAAGAAAACCAGTACCATGCTCGTTCCAGAAAGTGTCTGTGTTCTCGTTCGTGAACAATCCTACAATTTTTCTGTATTTGTGAATATAACGGAGACGCACAGATTAATGGTATGGACATTTATTACTATTTGTGAATGTTAATGTATTTAGAAATATAAACCTGTTAAATAACAGGAGTCTGATAGTAATTGTATTGATTTTTGTTATATTACAACAGATTTATATTTTTTCTGCTCCGAATAAGTCTCTGCACAAGCCGCCACTGCTAGGTATGATTTGACTGACTGGAATCTGTCCAGTTCGGCATTGCCTACCCATTTTTTTTACACCTTCTTACTCTTATCTGAATTACTTGGCTTCATATGATGCTATCTTCTATGCACTCATTCAGATTCAAATGAACCAAATAAGACATTTTCTACCAGATATTGGCAATATTTTACATTTGAGATAAAATAGTCTCTTTGGGAAGGGAGTAAATTTTGCATAAAATATTTTTTTTATCTTAACTGTGATAAAACAAAATTTATTATTGGAGCAAGTTCTTATTCGCGGATTTGAATATTTGTTTTAGATGACTTTTGGGTATTCGTTTTCAAAATTAAATTTTATTCATTACATATTTAACATTTTATTGTACATTAACATGAATCAATATAGATAATATTCACTGTCAAAGTTAATCAACGAATTGTAAAATTTAGCTTATAATATCGACACCTCAAAACCAAACAGTGCTAAGTCCACTTTTCCAAAAAATGACATTTTTCGATTGATGATTTTCCTGGACTTAGCTCTACATTTTGGTCTATTTGCCTTATCTCTAGGTGCTCTAGATCTCAGACAGCTATGGACATAACCCTGCTTTTTTTAGGGCATTTGAGAACTAAACAGAGCTGTGTCTACTATAGTGGACTTAGCTCTGGATAACTGCATTGTAAGTTGGGGCTAAGTCCGTTTTTTGGACATAGCTCCTCTCAAAAAATATAATACAAAGCGCTAAGTCCATACCAGCCTCTATAATAACATAATAAGTCCAATAAAATTGTTTCTGGTCCAGAAAATTGAAAGCCAAAAAAGGTTAAGTCCAAAAAAAAAAACCCCAAAAAAATTGGGGCGGAGCACAAATTTTTTTATACCATCTAAATATGGCCTTCATTGTAACTTTGGTGGACCATAAAAACTAGACATCCTCGATGTAAGGTATTAGAGATATAAAAAAAAATATAAAAAATAAAACGTTTTTTGCGTTTTTCTCAAAACTAGAAAAATGGACTTAGCCCAATTTGGATTTCATGCGTCGATATGGTCAATACTGCATTATCATATCTACCCTTATGCCTATAAACACAATTTAAATATAAAAAAACAAAAACAGTGTTTATATTTCTATGATTACTTCATAATATAGCCTAATGCCCAACAAAATAAATATTATCATGATAAACAGTGAAAGTCTGTCATAATTGTTTAATCATTTCACACTGTATTATAAAGCAATACATTGTGTGTTGCATCGTGTATTACCGATATACAAAAGCAGACATTTATATCATCAAACAATGAAGTCCATGCATCTGACACAAATAACTGAATATCTAATCCCATACCTGACATGGACTGGTAACCTGATGAGAGGCTGTGGACCGTGGTACATCATGTTATGATTATTCCAGTGATAAATATGGAAATTTTGCCCTATCCTATGATATTTATCCTTCTTTTCTACTCAATCTATTACCGCATGTTCTTGCATATCAGTAAGCCAAGTTTAAAACTCAAGAAAAAAGTTGCCAAACTAAGTGGTCGGCTTATACATGCATAACTCTGGTTGCACTAAAAATTCAGCTTATACGCGTATCAGAATTTATATCGAAATTAGCTGTGTCAAAAAGTATGTGTGCTGATAATAAATTAATAAGTATCACAAATTGTTTGCGAATATGCGATGTTTTTTTATTTTCACTGATTTAGGGGGCCAGCTCATATGCGAGGATATATGGTACTTCATATTTTCATTTAGAACATTGTTTGCTACATAGTATATTAGTACTATTTTTATTATCATTTTTGGTACTCCTGAAGAATGCTCACCAAGATGTCGCATAACCCTAACCTGGTACACAACCTGAGTTCAGGTTGTGTGCCATCTTGGTGCGCATACTTCAGGAGGTCCTCATTTTTACCTGAAGGAAGTTTTTCCATCTACTTGTATATATAAACTCTATGCACTGCTGCATAATGTTTCCTTATGACATTTGTATGGTCTGTAATATTGATCCATTTTTAAAAGCAGTGCCCAAAGTAATTGCCTAAAGCTCTCAAGTGTCTATCTGTTCCTTGCTAAAATCAATACTTCCTCTGACAAAGTTGTGTCCACCATGTATAAGATTTTTCAGCATATAGAATCAGGGATGACAAAAATCAAATAATATACTATTCACAAAACATTCTAAAAAAACATTTGTGCAAATGGAATATCAAATATATTCTAAGATTTAAATGAAGTCATATTCAACAGAAACCATTGTAATTTATAGTAATTAAATTTTGTAATGCAGAATGTTGTTTTAATTGATTAGCTACATTTGACAGTGCTAGGAAGTAACTGAAGTGTATTTTATGTCTTACCATTAACCATGAGAAGCTTGTAATGATAAATTTTTGTTAAAATCATATATTGTTTATGTCAAGCGTCACTAAATCTGAATGTATTCGAATATTTGATTCATTTTACACATTCTTGCAAAATGAGGATATGTTAGTTCATATGAGATATTTTTTCATTAAAGTTTTTATTGTGGTGCTCTGCTGAATTACAATGTGGTTATTTCTATGTTCGCATATTTGAGCATTTCTACTTACATTATATGTTTATATTAATATATTGTAAACATTATATGTTTATATTATTATATTGTAAATTTATCTAGCATATGCAGCAAAATCATGATTTTTATCAAATTTTACTAATTTAACAAAAATAATAATTCAAATATTGCAAATTTGACAAAAAAAAACAGTGTAACTCAGAATATCTCAATTCTAAAATTCTTCTCCTTTTTATAAGTTGCATTGATTTTGAATTCTGTTTAAATTTTTCAGAAATTTCTTGTGCCCTGTAAGGTTCTATGTGTCTTTAGCTATTCAAATTTTTCTTCATAAAATTAGCAATTCATTGTGTTGTCTTTGTACTATTGATACTTCTCAGGATCTGAAGAATAAGATCCTTGCTTTTATATACTAACTAATGTACCTAGTTTTCAAAGAAAGTATGCATAGGAAAAAGGACTAAATTTGTCGAAATCTCGCATATTTTTTGTTTTTCTATTTTCAGGTTCAGCTTGCAAACATAGCAGTTCGTCAACTTCTTGATAGAGAAGGATTTGAAGAAGATCAATCTATCGCTGAAAGAGCTGCTTCTAATAATAAAGGAAAGAATAAAAAACGAAAGGTGGCGTTTTAAATATATCACACATCGATTATTAATTTATTCCCATATTCATTTATATATAGTGTTAATATTTCAAGGACAATTTTATTCAACCAAAATAACGTTTTTAATGTAAATACTCATTCATTCACCATTTGTACTGGCATTTCAAGTGTTATTACATTGTTATTAAGTTTTAGGTCTAAACATTGTATACCATATATACCAGGGATGACCAAAATCGAAAAATCTAGTATTTCGAATACATTCTAAAATAATATTTCGAATATGAAATATAGAAGATATTCTGAAATGGGTCTATTCCACATAAGAAATTCTTCAAGACATTTGTGAATTTGTAGAAATCAAATTTAGTTGATTGAGATAAACATTATTTAAATTAATGTTCTCTATTTTATTTTGTCGTAAGTTACTAATTTCTTGTTCATAAGATAATAAATGCTTAAAAACAATCTATATCGAATATAAACAATTTCGAATGTATTTGAATATTTGATTCGTTTTGGACATCCCTCCCATAAACTACCTATACTCAGTCAAGTTACTTTATATCTGCTATTATTATCTTATATGTGATTGATCTGTAATATTAACAATCTATATTATCAAATAAAATCAATCATAAACATCAATATTGATGGAGATATTTAGATCACACTGCCAGTTTACGATTGATTATGTTAAATATCACAGCAGCATATCAGTGTCCAATACTCTGTGATTACTAGGCTTCTAGAAAATAATTCCATTTTCAACCACTGAAAATTTCAGAGCATTTGGCCCAGTGATCGAAAAGAAAAGCGACTTTTCAGTAACTATGTCAAAGAACAAGAACAACAATACAAAATACCAAAAGTTTTGTTCAAAACGATCATTGTGTCCACTAGCCTGTCCAATAACATTTTGGTTCATATTTACTCTTTCTGACGGGGCTGATGTTGCTGTTAGTCCCAAATAATCCTTGGCTAAAGAAGCAAGCCTGGGAAATTCTTCTGATTTTTTCTTCCAATACATTAATGGGTTTTCGTCAAAATGCAAACTAACGATTAGCATTCAAAATCGCAAAATGATGTATTGTTTACAACCACGACTGAAAATCTGACTGAGTGTCTTAATAGATGCGAAAAAGGCATATTGTTACGTCACTTTTTCGCATCCTGCTAATTGGCTAATGTTACGAAATAAAAAAGGAAGGCGATTCTCGGAAAACGCCCCTTGGAAGTCTATTTCGTGTTTTTGCTGGCCAGATGAAAGGACGCCGTAGTTTGGTGACCCCTGGTCTAATTGAAAGTGTAATTGAGCCAAAATTTTAGCAAATTACAATTACATTTACAATTACACAGAATTAAAATGCCTCAATTACATTACAATTATAATTACATGAAAAACTGTAATTAATTACATCAATTACAAACTCTGGTCAATAGTCTTAGCTAATTATAAATTTTTCTTGACTGCTTAATAAAAATTTTTTTTTATTCTTTATCTAGAAGACATCAACTCTCAAGCGAGATCTTGATGCACGAGAAAGAAGTGAAAAATATCGAATCTCGTTCAGACTTCCTAAGACTGAGAAATTGGACGGTCATATACAGTGCACTGTATGGGTACCGTATGACAAACGTCATGTGTGGGGAAAACTATATCTTTCTCAAAATTTTGTTTGTTTCAGCGGGTAAGATGAAAAGAATTGTTTTATCAGTCTATTAGCTATGTTCAGATAGTTATATATTGTGAGACAGGCTGGCCCGCCAAGCCATTTAATTTAGTGTGGCCCTTGTCAACACTCAGATTTTTCCCCATCAAGCATAAAATCTTAATCTGACAGTTTATGTTCGAAAATGCACATAAATACCAAATGTTTTTTTTTGTTCTTGTCAATGCGTTTTGCCCGGTGCATTTATTACTGTAGGGCTAAGCGATAGCTGCAATCTCTTCTCTTGCCCTACTAAATTTTTTATATGTGGCCCGACTAGATGTCTCAAGTTGGTTATATTAACCACCGACAAAAAAATATTACATATCCCTGTTGTAGAATTGAGTCTTTTCGGGGATTTTTGTTCCGTAAGATATTGAAGAGGTTATGAGGGTCATCATGCCATCAACATAACTTTTGCACAAAGCGTCCTAGATTACTGTAACTTTGTGGTTCAAAGATACACAAACAGAAGTGCGAAAGAAATTTTCTTCATCTTCGTGGAAGTAATTAGGAAAGTTGTTGAATCAGGTTTTTCTGGGCCTGTATTTAGAAACAACATTATTCTAGTCAACATTACTTAATTCCAAATTGAATCGACCCAAATCTAGTCAGTCAATCGGAATGACTCTATATTCTCAGTATTAGCATTCAACCTCTTACTCATTTCTAGATTTGACACTGGTTTTCTATTCAACTGTAGACTTGGTGGCTTACTCATTGGAATTTTTATTTAAGACCATCAATGCTGAATGCATTTCAATTCAATGTGTTATATGTCATGAATCAAAAAACACAAAAATGAAACTTCTCACCTGTTATATGTAATAAATACAGCATATGCTGGTCATCACCGCATATCTAGTGGACAGAAGTAGACCTAAAGTATTGCTACTTTTTTGTTTGTGAAAAAATGTTTTGAACCAAATGATTTTAAATTGTTGATACTTAGCATATTATTGCTAGTTTCCTTGAGGCATGTTAAATACCCCAAATTTTGCCATTTTTTTATATCTCCCAAACACATTTATTTTATATTCGGTACAATTTTATTAACATTTGGCTATACTTTTGCAGACATTGTGGTGGCGATATTAGATAATTAACTTACATGTCCATATATCTGAGCATTGCTATCATGTTTTGGGATCAAAAGTTAAACATCTCAGAATCAAATTCCATTTCTCCTAGGCTAATAAATTGGATACGCAATTGCGAAATGGGAAAATTTTGGTGCTTCCAAAAATAGTAGCATCCCGCATATTGTTTGATATCAGTGACTGAATATACATGGCCATGGATAAGCGTCGTATAAAAAACTACTGTTTTTGTATTTACCTATAAAGCTATCATTTCTCTTTCAGCCAAGTCAATGATCCAGTACAAATTGTCATACCAATGAGAGAAATAACTGTTGTTGAAAAGGCAGATAGTTCCAACATATTGCCTAACCCTATTTCCATCACTACAAGGTACAAAATAGCATTTAATTATAATATATGAAGTTCTCAGATCTTTGTTTCACAATACACAAAGATAAATATACTGTAGAATAATGTGTATCTCATTTTGAACTTGTTTAAGATATCATTGTCCTTTCCAGGAAGTACAAGGTTTTATGGTACTATGCATTTCCCCGTTTCCTACAATGCCATGATCAAAAATCTTCACAGTCTCCATTCAGTCTTGTGTCATCAGAATTTTCTAATACGTCTTCAGAAATATGAATTTTTAGATAAAAATTTGTGAATCATTTTCTTTGGTATTTCAGCCAATATAATTTAGCGCTATGCCGGCCAAAAATCGTCACATCTTCCTTAAATATATTCATAATTTACCATTTTCTATTTTATATCCATACTGACCTAAATAAGTTAAGATTTTAACGACTGTTTAATTATATGGAAGTACATGTCCATGTCGAGTAGGAAAATAGTCAGTTAGTTATCTGTTCCAGTCCGACAATCCTCTTGCACATGATTATTCCCCACAGGATTCAAACCTGCGTACCCATGTAGGATAATCAGAGGTGTGATGGCAAGCGTGTTTCTAACGCTTTGTGCAATACGCATTTTTCATATTTAACAAATGCTGAATTGTTATGATTTCAATTTGTCAGATGCAAAATAACATTTCTGTTTGGTCATGTTCGAGATCGGGAATATCTTGTTCAGCTTATATCAGATTTTTTGTCCAAAACACAACATCATAAATATTCAAACAAACGACGATCAGATTCACCAGGACGTTTGAAGGTAAGTTCAATTTTTAGCATTTTGCTATTACTTTAGTTATAAAGCTCTTCTTTTATGTAGCAAGTCTATGGTGCTCAGGGATGGCCATAATCGAATACTGGACAGTCCAGTCTGGGCTATTCCGAATTCATTTTAAAATCCCACAAAGCTTATTATTTTTAGTCACTTATCTGAAATCCAATGATAGCGATCGAAACTGAGGATAAAAAATAATTAATTACACTGCAATTTTTCTCCTGCATTTCCTGACTATCTCGACTATGTCGAAATAAAAGATAATAATTGTAAAATATTTTCAATTAAAACATCTTCGATGGCAGTTAGGATGTGTGTGCGATAATCAATATTCTTATAAACATCAAAAACAATAGTCCAATGTCGTGGTATTTGCACGACTATTAGACTATTCGATTCGATTTGGACTTCCCTGATGGTGGTATAAAATTAATCAAACATTTGAAATCCATAAGTGTATTTGGGCATGGAAGTCTTTCATTAGCTGTGTACTGCTTTAAAACCTTCTTGAAATGCTCTATTTATCAAATTTTTTCGAGTATCAAATTTGTCACAAAATGGCATATTGTCAAATTATATACTATAGTTTTTGTAATGACTGTCCATGATTTTGCATAAAATAAGAGTTCCCTTCAACTCTGAGTGTGACCTTACTTTGAGTAATTTACTCTTAAAATAACTTTTCAGAGTAACAGTTCCTTGTCTCCTATAACACCAACACCTTCTGATGGATCTCATAATTCAAGCAGAAATTCATCGAATGATGACAATAATGATCAATCATTAGATAAAGATGCAAATGGTAACAAAGGTGCAGGTGTTGATTTGGAACCAGCGTTGGCAACAGTGTTTTGCAGGTTAGATTATAGAATATTGTCCCAGTGATGAACTTTTGGATTTCCACTCTATATTTACAGTCGTTCTGTCTGTGTGTTTATTTGTAGCGTCTGAACAGCTGGACTGATCTTGATGAAATTTCTAATGTGGCATATGCTGTCACCCTTGTTATATGCCTTTCACCAGAATTACAGATTGATGTTCCGTTTCTATGGCATCAGCGAAAAAACACGCCAATTGTTGAGAAATTTTTAATATCTTGTAATCTATTAAAAAAATTAAAAATTTGAGATTGCCACCTCGCAGAGGTAAATGCTTTTTCGAACAAGCCATTTTTTGTGTTGTTGATCCATGAATTGGGGAAGCCTTAGGAATTTTAGTGAACATGATTAATTATCAGCCACAGTATACCGATGATACGTGCAGCGCTCAAAAGGATCTGACATTTTCAGTCTTATTTTGTATTGTTTTAAATTTATTTTTTATTTAGGAATTAAAGTTTTTGATTGGAACTTATTTTAGGGAGAACATAGCTTTTGTGCAAAGCGTCATAGATTAATGAAACTGCTTTTTAGTAAAATCAAACACAAACATAAGTTAAGTGTTAAATGAATTTTCATCATTTTCATAGAAGTAATTCAGAAATTTATGGGACACCCTGTGTTAATGATGAAGGATCTATTAAACTGTTCATTTATCAAATTTGCAATTTTTTGTTGTGGAATCATTGATTTGCTGGAATTCTTATTTACATTATTCAAAATCTAAATTAATTTATGATGCAAAATTTTATAATTCCAACTACTTGAACATACAAAATTCAAATTCCAAAAAAACTCAATAATTAATAATAATCTCTGGTAAATATTTAGTAGAAAAACACTTTCCATGACAAAATTTATCAACCAGCTATATGTTGTGAAGTATACAACCGTATAATATGAACCTTTGGGGACCACAATATTCATTAGATTAAAAATTTAGAATATTTGAGTACATGTATAATTTGTTAAGGGACTTATTAAGAGACGATGGAATGCTGGTTTCAAAATCCCATGATTCCCATTATTAAATATTTATATGCAATATTTATTTTCTATATCAGATTCCTGTTAACAATTTTGCTGCATTTTCAATGACAAAATGCACTGGTATTATAATGAGTGGTATATTAATCTACCCAAAAATCAAATCTGCCGTCTCGAAATGTCAGCCGAATAACCCTTTACGGGGGTTATTGGTCATTCAAAATAGCAATTGGAGTCGCGCATCCATTCCTAATTCTAACTTTCATCATTCAGGAGGAATTCAGAAGAAATCGATCCCAAAGAATTAATGAAAGAAAATTTATGGTCAATTCATTATCAAGAATATGGCCGAGGTGTTTGCATGTACAGGACTAATAAAACAAGAGAACTCGTTATGAAGGTATTTATATTACACCTTACTGTTATTTAGACAGTGGCTTTTAACAGGCTTTTGTAAGTAGTATCAATGTGTTGTTTCTCTGTATCAACTGACACATTTTTGTATTTAGTGATGGGTTATTAAATCATAAATTTATGTTTATTTGTTTTAATTTTTAAATGTACTTTAATGGAACATAATTCTTACAGCCATAGTATATCAATTATTATTCAGTGTGGTTTGAAATTAGAATTACAAATGATGATATTTAATGTTATGGAGAGAATCATTTTAAATTTAACAAAAAAATTGATTTTTATAATATATGATTTGATTTACCCCAAACAAAACTTTGTATATGCAGCCATCGAAATCTGTGTGTTGCTAGTAGATTAGGGGTGGGCAACAGACAGCCTGCGGCCCGTCAAGCCATTTAGTGTGGTCTTTGTCAACTCTCAGATTTTTCCCCATCAAGCATAAAATCCTCATCCATTTATATTTACAAGGTGCTCACGTGGGTAAGAATACATAATGATTTTTTTATTTTGTCCGTGGCACTTTGGTTGTTGTTTTTTAATTCGTTATGTACTTGGAAAGACTTATATTTTGTGTGGCCCAACTAGTTTGAAGTCAGTTAGATGCCCCGCCAATAAAAAATGTTACACATCCCTGTAGACCTTTGGGAAGACCGTGATCTTTCTCACAACAAAGTTAGGTCCAATGATCTGCCACTAGCCCCCTTTTCTATGAACTGGGCACTGTGTAAGCAATCTGTTGGATGTACTTTACGGATGTACTTAGAATTATCACCCCTTGTCTGTTTTGCAATAGTCAAATAAATTTTTATATCACAGTATTGGAATGGTGTGGACTGTGGAGAAATTGGCCAGTTTCCCCAAGGCCTTAAAGCTATGATGTTCATTATCACAGGGCTCAGCGGTGTGACGCATCATGTTAAGAAGTGTTAGGAATACGCTCGCCACCCTGATTGCCCTTCTTGGGCTCGCAGGTTTGAATCCTGTGGGGGATAATTTTATGCAAGAGGATCGCAGGACTCCTCGTCGCTGTGGGATGGTTCACTTACTCCGCTGGTCAGTTACGACTTACTCCACTATCAAGACCATGCATCTGAAACATATACCTGGTTAACTAATCCCATACCCGACATGGACTGGTAACCAAACGATAGGTCGTGGTTCGCCATATGATAAAGCTGTCATATTCGTCTTTCCTCTCCCAAGGCTAAATATGTAAATCCTATCATATTCAATGATTATTACTTTTATGCAGGGAATTCCTGATTCAATACGAGGTGAAATATGGATGATTTACTCAGGTGCAATCAACGAAATGGCAAGCCATGAAGGATACTATGAATCACTACTGGAAAAATGTATGGGAAAATGTAGCATCGCTACAGATGAAATAGGTAAGTCATTGAACAAGTTCTAGGTTCTGAATTAATAAAAAGGCTGATAATTGATCCAATGAACGAATGTCATGGAACATGATAAATGACATTTGTGTGATGAAGAATCTGGACTATCTTGACATCTGTGACTACCCTAGCAATGCTTGGTTTGAAACAATATTAGAATGCACCCATGTCCCATAGTTTCTTTCATTTCATCTTCTTACATTTATGTTGGCTTTGAAACTGGGTGATTGATCCCAGTATACTTCTCCATAAATAAAGAGAATTTTTTTTAACACTTGAACTTCTGTTTGTGTATGATTGTACCCAAAAGTTCAGCAGTAATCTACGACGCTTTTTACAAAAGGTATGTTCTCTCTAGGATATGTGCCAAATTATATTTATATGTCCACTACTGACTTGAAAACACTCATATTTTTATCTTATTTTTTCAGAACGTGATTTACATAGGTCTTTACCAGAACATCCAGCATTCCAATCATCTCGTGGTATCGATGCATTGAGAAGGGTTCTCACCTCTTATGCTTTTAGGAATCCTAGTATTGGATATTGTCAGGTGTTTTTCACATTATTCGGATCTGAATTTCGTTTAGGAGGTGTTTCATAATATCACTTTAAACAAGATGCTGGACTATTATGAATCACTGATACATAGGATTTCAGATAACTGGAGATAAGATAAGAACAAATATCTTTTAGGTTTGACATTTGTTATACCCTGAGTGAGGGGGTGGGGGTTTAAACCCCAGATATGTCACCCTTCATCTGAAATTGGGTGGGGGGGGGGGATTTTTTTGGGGTTAGGAAACACTGAATTAGGCAATGGCTGGACTTCTCACAATATTACATATTAAAACATTTGAACAAAAATTTTAATCTCTGCTTTACAGGCAATGAACATCGTCACATCTGTAATGCTTTTATATACAACTGAAGAACAAGCATTTTGGTTGTTGGTCTCTTTGTGTGAAAGATTGTTGCCAGATTATTATAATACTAGAGTTGTTGGAGCGTTGGTTGATCAGGTTAGTAGTGGATATCAGTAATAATAATTGATATCATTGTGTTTAAGTTATTCCATGACTTACATTGAGATTATTCACGAAATTTAGTGGTATTATAATGAGTTCTGGTAATCTGCAAATTTTAAAGCATTTTTTCTCTTGTATCATTATTACCTGTTATTGTCGAGCCTATGACCATTTATCATGGTCTGTGTATGTAGGGCCAACCTTTTGTCATGTTGTAAGACTCATTCAAATGTCTTTACTACTTTTCAATGAAATACATTTTAGTTTTGGGGGCAAGTCATATCTCAGTCTCCCCAAATTTTTAGGTTTGAATTTCGACGTAAAGTTGGATCACCATGTCTTTGAGTCACTAAGACCAGTTCCTACTGACCAGAGTTTCGAGTAAACACCTAGTCAAACTAAATTACTTGTCAAAGACTGAGAATTGAAAAATATTGGTTATATTGACACTAACCTTCTAAATTTTTTATATCTTGTGTTGAACCAACGGTATTTTGAAAATCGAACTAGAGTCTTAAGTTAGGATTACTATGAATTTTTTGATTCCCTCTTCGTCGTTGAAAAAGGAATTAATGTTTTTCTAACACTGCTACAATTAAAAAGAAATGTATGAAAGAGAGCTCAACTTGATTTGAGACAATCACACTCATTATTGGCAACTTTTTCTTTCTTTCAAAATTTTTAAAAGGGCGGATATCAACAACGAAACCACCCTCCCTTGTCTGCGCCACTGGTTCTCGTATTTTATTTCAAAATTTCATTGTTTAAATTGGAATTTTCTTTCATATATAGGGAGTTTTCGAAGATCTCACGAGAGAATATTTGCCAAAAATACATGGCCAACTTCAAAATCTCGGGGTTGTGGCAACAATTTCTTTGTCCTGGTTTTTAACACTGTTTATTTGTGCAATGCCGTTCAATGCAGCTGTGAAAGTTGTCGATTGTTTCTTCTATGATGGAGCTCCTGTTATTTTTCAAATTGCTCTGAGAGTCTTAGAAGCTAATATGGTATGACATGAAAATGTTAAATTTTGTCATTTTATACAACTTTTTCTATTTTGTAGAATTTTCTGCTATTCATAAATAAGGTCGCCAATTATATAGTGTTTGCATCAAAATTAATATGAAATTTTTGAAAAGTTCTCTTTTGGGCAAATTTCTATTCTACCAATAGAATTATAATAGTCATTTTTAAGAATATTCCTTTGAAAAACCATATTTCCTAACATTTCACAAGTATTGTATGTGTAATGAATTAAGTACTAGATTACAATAATTTGGGTTCAGATACAGTACTTTACAGCATTAATTTTCAAACGTCTTCAAATTCTTGTATTTTAAATATTTTACAGGACCAGTTAATGAAATGCAATGATGATGGTGAAGCAATGACAGTTTTATCAAGATATTTAGATAATATAAAAAACAGAGATGCAAAGGATCCATTTTCACATCATACGTCATACATGGTATGCATTTACCTTTTCTTGTTTACAAAAATTCATATAAAGATTTTTAGGTATATTTTCAAGTTGTGTTGCTCTGAATTCTCAATGTTTTCTCGATTAAATTAGTTTATAAGACACTTACTCACGCCTCATGGTCCAAACAAGTTTCTATACAAAAAGCCACTGATATATCACCATATGTAAGGATTTTTATTTTATTCGGTATCAACAGAATCTTTTTGGTTTAGCTTTTATTTGGATGGACCAGAATGTTTTCAGTTCGGCATTGCCATCCAATTTTTTATACCTGGGTGATGGGCATGGGATTTGGACTTGATATTAACGCAGTTAAGTTTTACGCTTCAACTGCTAGGATATTGCACCATCCTAAGTATTTTGGAAAATTGTGTTTTAATTGGCTTTCAATTTTATACAGGGTACCCAAGTGAAAGTGTTTGTTATATCCACGTACAACACTTTCTTTCATTTTCCTCGTGTTGCCTTTGTTGAAAATATTTCTACTGAATAATTAATATTAAATTGTTTAGGGTGGAAGTGCACCATCTACACCTGCACCACCGATAGACATTGCTGAATTAATTACTGAAGCTTACACAAATTTCAGTCAAATAACTGAAACTATGATCGAGAAAATGAGGTTCGATCAGAGGTTAAAGGTGAGTAATATTGAAATTTTGCAATTATTAGCTTTGAAGAATTGTTTTTGTAAATCAAGGTTGTGGTTATGGGAGTGCATGGGTGACCGTACATTTGAACCCATGTACATTTGAACCCATGCGTATATCCACGGGTTCAATCTATATGCGGGTGCTAAAACCCATGGGTTAGGGTTAGTATGGGTTTAACTATCCAGGAAACAAAAAAAATTCCATAGGTGCAATAGCATACAGGTGCAATTGTCATGGGTTCAAATGTACGTGGGTTCAAATGTAATGGAACCGAGTGCATGCATTCTATCATGCATGTTTTATTGACATCACATTTAGAACTGTATTTTTAAACTAGTCGGAAAGTATAATTTTACACTTCTAATGATAGTAATTGAAATTGAAATTTTCGAAAAAAAAACGAAGAGTGAATCAAGTATTCTCGACAAACAGTTAATTAAAAAATGCTTGCTCAAAATTTGACTTTCACAAGGGAGAGTCTGAGCTGAATTTCTTCCAGCCAGGATTCTAAAGCAAAAGTCAGTGTCAATATTTTTGTCAACCAGGAGTCTGAGCCAGAGCCATTATTTGAATTGTAGTCTGGTGTAAATTTACCCAGACTATACAACCATGATTTGAATAGCATTTGCTTTAATACATTTGTTATTAAGGTTGTTCGCAAACTTGAAGATACAACAACCAGAACCATAGTACGAGGTGTGCAATCTGAATGCAAATTTGAATATGATGAATTGGAGAACTTATTCCTCCTATTTAAGGAAGAACATATAGCAAAGTTAGTGATTTTAATACATATTTCGTTAATTATTGAACTATATATCTATATCAGTCTTGAAAACAAGTTGTGTTTTTTCACATTTCACTTCATATTCTATATTACCGTAGGTTCTCTTACTAGATATATTGTGAATTGATTCGATTGTAGCTACAGCCAAACGTGGTTCAAAGTAATGTAACGGATATTTTATTGTAAAAAAGAAAATACCTGATTTGTATATAGAAAAAACTTCAGGACCTTCTGAATCAAAACAACTTCCATTTTTATATCTACAGAACATACTGGGGAGGGAACACAGATAATACATCAACAGCAACTGAAGATCCCACAAAACCTTCATATGAACAATATTATGCTGATAAAAATGGATTCAGGTATAATCTGTTGTAACTCAATGAAACTGTCACCCATGCTCAAAATCTTGCTCTAAGTAGGTAAAAATTATGGTCTATTCTGGAATGGCCTTGTTCAGAAAAAAGGAGTGAAAAGTCCTTATATTAAAAAATAATTTGCCTTAAGAATTAGTCTTTCTTTCTCTCTCTCTATATATATATATATACAGTGATACTTCAGTAGTCAAATGATTCGAATTTGGAACAATTCGGTTGTCGAATGCTCTGAACGATCTTGATTAAAATTTCAAAAAAAGTAAAAACGCATGAAAAATGTATTCATCAAACTTTTTTTTTTCAGATATATGTTTTCAAACTTATGTCCATGGAGTTTTGGATCGCATGCAATAAGAATTGCTGATCAAGTATTCAGATTGTATGAAAATAGCAAAGACAGCGTTGTCAGTTTCAGGGTGGGTACTAACTTGTGGGAAACGATGCTTATCTATTGTATTTCTGTATCATTTCATTCACTAGGATTACAACATGTTTTTTACTGAAAAATTAGACAGTACACTACACAATGAGACCTCATTGCCAACTGGTTGCGATGACTGAAAATTATTGCTATTATAGGTTGTGTGTACAATTCATTTTTCCTATTGTCTAATGGTTAAACGGTATTTTCAGGATTTCGCTGTCACTCTTGGAATCATGTACAGAGGAGATCTGCAAGAGAAGTTGAATTTGTTATACAGATTACATCTCCCTCCAGCATTACCTAACGTACTTGAAATTGACAGCGCAGAAATTGGTGTTGAAGCTACGCAGTTCTTTGAAACAAGCCAAGATACTGAGGGTTCTTTGCTCATATTATATTTCTAGTTGCAGTTTTTTATACATCTCGCTGTTTAATTTTTTCTAATACTGTTCTTTGAATGCTAGCTATTCATCAATCTATAATTGAGCAGTATTGGATGTTTTTCAGGTTCTATTTTTGTTTAATACTATAATGAAATTCTGCAAATATAATACCACCAAGTGGGAAGATGTTCAATGATATTTATAAAAATTTGAAGTTCAGTGACTTTCTTAAAACTTAAAACTAATCTTATTCTTTTCATTTACACATCAGAATGTTTGGTGTCGTTGCTCTATAACTAGCTTTGGTTCGTCGCTGCTTCTCTTTCCCAGTAAAGCTGTACTATTGTCTTTTTTTTTAATTCCTGTAAAGCTGATTTTTTTTTCCACTGGTTGGATAAAATACTGTACTTGACTTGAATTTGGAAAATAATAGCTAGAGCAGGATTGAATTTATGTTGTAGTATATCTCAATTTTTGTGTCAAATCTCATTTTTTAATTATTCAGAGCTGAAACTGCATGGGAAAGGGGAAGAGGAGGAATTAAATGAAGCACAGAAAAATTTTCTTGAGGTTATTGAGAGTGTTGCTGAAATTTCAGTTGATAATGAGTTCATGATGACAACTGCTGTTCAGGATCATTTCTCAGAAGTGAGTTTTCTGTTTTGAGCAGCTGTATGGGAAATGGGATATCTTGGTTCGGAAAATGTTAAAGCTTCATAGTTTTTCTAAGATTCATTGAAAATGAAATAAAAATCCAATTTCATGTTGTATTTTTAGGATAAAAATGGAAACACTGAAAATTCAACTGCAGAAAGTCAACAAATTTCAGGTAATTTCTGATATTATTGTATTATTTTGTTTTGCTAATTTCTGGCAACAGTGCCTGTTCGCTTCTATTTATTGTTGTTTCACACTCCACTGATTTCCATTTACTCTTGAAATACTGTGAGTTGATAATATGATGTTTATTTGGGCGGCTTAAATGTGTATTCATATTTAGTTTGTCTTATGCAGCAAATTGTATATATGGAGGTATATGAGGTTATGTGACAGGAGCAGAAGTAGACCAAGAGTATGATTTTTAGTCGAGACTTATTTTTTCATTGTTCAGCTATGCCGTCAAAAAAAAGGTAATGAAGACGGTGATGCTGGTTCGACTTCTGCAGGGAAATCTGGAGATGATCCTGAAAAAGTTATCAAGCCTACTTCATTCCCTGAACCTCTTGTTACTAATAAACCATCAGGTATGATGTACATTGTGCATGTCAGATTTATGTTCGTGTATTTAAATTGGGTGGACTAAAAATAACTTAAGATTTCCAGGTGTTTTTTTATTGGACACGAAATAAACCTATGGACTGTTTCGGAAAATCAATTTTATCATCAACTACTGGACCAATTGCTTTAAAATTTTCAGTGGTTCAAGATTGAAATTTTCGTTAGAAGGCTATTACTTTTATTTATTTTAAAAAAATTTTGTGGCCTCCATGGGACTCGCTTGTTGTGCGCGATGACATCATCAAAAGGGAAAATTGCGCTCTTTGTGTTTTTTCCGCCTTCATGTGTGTTCAAATCTGCTGCTCGGCATTGACAGATTAACTCATTAACTCATTTTCAAAATTCAACTTGAGGTTTTTGCATCAGTACTCACTTATCTTCAGAGATTTCCATATGACATTGCCTCCATATAAAAGTATTGCATTAATGTTCAATTTATATTTCTGATTCGATGAACTAATTGTCACAGAAAAGGAATATATATTTTACTTTAAATTAGGGAGTACGATTATAGAAGTATAGTATTTTTCAACATTTTTGCAAAAATCATTTAAATTTTCATAGTTTGTGTTTTTGTTTAATTTATTTCTTGATTGTTACAGACAAATCAAAACCAGAAGTGAAAGATTATAAATATTACTTGGCATTGTATCAAGAAGACAAGAAGAAAAAATCATTGTTTAATAGGGATCTTGCTCCAATGAATCAGGTGAGATTTATTTGGTAATCTTCAATCGGTAGTCATATTCAATGTGTATATATGATTGAGAGGTATTAGTTCGCCATATGATTAAGTTGTTTTATCGGCTTTCCTTTCCCCCCCCCCAGATAAATACGTAAATCCTAAAGGGGGGGGGGGGGTGCAGACAATTTTTTGAGGGGGCGTGAAGCAAATTAAAAATGAAAATATTTGTTAGATTTGATCTTGCCCGCCTTATTTTGGATATTTACATTTCAAAACTTTTCCGTTTTTTCATTATTTACTTTCCATTCATATATTTTCAACGTGTTTTTTGGAATAAAACATGCACACGTCTTACTATCTGTTATTTGTAGCTCATTGTTAGCTAGTTATTTTTGAGGTGGGGCGCGAGACTTGACAATTTCTAAAAAGGGGATGCAGTTTAAAAAGTTTGAAAACCACTGGGTTTACACTCTAAGTAGGAAAAATGTGAAAATGAATTTCACAAAGCTGAATCAAATATTGGATATTTTGATCATATTTTATATGTTATGGAATTTTGAATTTGATGTAATGAACATATGAAGTACATTTTTTATGTCAATATTTCATTTTTTTATACAGGCTCAATTCATCCAAATGTGTAAAACTCTGTACAACATGTTCAGAGAAGATGAAAATGAAAGTGATTTATATCAAGCCATCGCTATGGTGGCAACTTTATTGTTGAAAATGGGAGAGGTACCTACATTTTCGTTTATTTTATTTGTATTTGTGATAATATATGTATCAGAATTTAAAAAAAATTCAATTCATTTCGATAATATTACACTACCCAGCCTATGTTCAATTACTGGAATATCCGTTTGATTCAAATTTTTTTCACGCTTGTTACGACTAGATATGTGAGTGATCTTTGTCACAAGGATGTTTAAAAAAAGGGCAGTATCTTTAGTTTGTGGTAACAAAAAAGCAAAATTTATCAGTTATCTACAATGCTTTGGGAAACCTGAATTCATTCTTTGTGGTGGAATGAAAAATTATTTTCTTTTATATAAAAATTGTTCATTTGAAATATATATTAAGTTACTCAGGGGTCAAGCTCATTGATCACATAGCAAATCATGCTATGTGGTAATTTTTATTTTTGTAAAATAGTTATTTTCCTGCCCAATCCCACTAAAGCAGTAATGTCTAAATGTATGTCTAACAAAATGTAAACCTACAGCTACATGGCACTCATCCTCCTTTTCAATTTTTAGGTTGGAGCACAAGTGAAAAATAGCCAACAGAACCAAATTAATCATACATCAGAAAATAATTTGCAAAGTACTTCTGTCTCAACTGATGGGAATAACAAAGCAGAAGAGACATCTAAGATAAAACCTGGTATTTTTTATTCCTATTGTTATATTGTGTTAATTTGTTGATAATATTTTAGATTGCCAGCCTGATTAGATCACTTTTTATCGAATTTTTAGTAATTGTACTGTTATGATCAAAATTTTCTTTTTGAGTCGAATATTCTATTTTTCAGTTGCCAATCTTCTGGCGAGAGCAGATTCTCCGAGTTCTATTGCTTCATCTAACGCTACTGTAAATAGTGGCGATTTCGAAAAAATTCCGAACTATCATATCGGCAGTGACGGCACTAGTTCTGATGATGGAAGCAGTGCCAACTCGAAAAACAGAGAAAAGTTTTTAAAAATTTATGCTACTGGTGAAAATTCTGGTTCAAAAACTCATTCTGTTGCATCATCTGATCCACAAAGTCCACTGATCACAACACCGTCGTCTTCAAATTCTCTTCAAGAAGAAGACGAATCATTCCACACCCCAACCGATGGAGAAAATTCCATGATTTTTACCCCGAACATTGCGAGCTCTCCTCGAGACCACGGCTTATTTATGAGAGAAATAGACGAAAAAGGGGAGGGTAAACTGACATCTGTAACTGTGGAACCGATTTCACCTGACACTGTTCTCGTGTCCGCAGCGCACTTAAAACCACCCGGTGCGCAAATAAACTCTGGCGGTCAAAGAAAGAGTATCACAGAATCAGTTGATCATAAATGGACGATCACTTTTGAACAATTTGTAGCATCCATGCTGACCGAAGAAGCCCTTGTAGAATTTTTTGAACGCAAACGCAGCACTGGACGAGCTGTTACGAATTTACGTAGCAAACATGCTGTTGAACGACAGAATTCTATAGCTCGCTCGTCTCAATCTAGTTTTATTTGTGATTCGCCCCCTCCTTCTCCTTCATCTTCAAATTCAGTCTTTGGCTCTCGTAAAAGTGAAACAAAATTAGTGTAATTATCCGTGAAATGTGACGTTTCGCTACTGTGTTTGTTTTCACACTCTTTACTCTGTTATCTGTTAACTATATATTACTATATCAACATGTTTTGACTTTTTTTTCCCTTTTATGTATAGGAAGACCATACATAAATAGTTTTGATTTTTATGTTGCAATTTTCCTAAATACAAGATCATGAGTAGTATTTCAGTAAAACTTACGAATTCAAAACATTTATTTACGCCCAAATATTTTGATATTTAAATTTAAAGTATTTAGTATTCTCAATTACTACTTTATGAAAAATTAATGACCATTTAAATCAATAATGTCGTGGTTTTTGGACCAATTATATTCCTAATTTGTTGTGTTGGATATCGTTCGTAAAATGAAATATCTTTTCCCCCCAATTAGAAACATACGTGGCGTGTGAATGTATTGCCCAACGTTTTCGACCCACAAATTCTAATAATAGCCACTGTTTTGTCTTCTGTAAAATGTTCTATTTCGCACAAAAATCACAGTACTATAAATGAAAAACCATCACTTGATAATTAAGAATAATATTTCATAAAACTAAATTAGAAATTAAAAGTAGTAGCATAACTAATCGCCATCAACATGATCGTCTTGCCTCATAACTCTTTGTCCACTTTCATCAAGATTTAATTCTAAGAGTAACTGAAATCGATTATCATCCAATGCTTTGATTTTCCACTGTTTATGGCTCAGTTCCTTACAATTAATTCTCTTATATCTGTATTGTTGTAGTAATTAAGAGCAACTTAAAAAATTGGTTCCAGTACTTAGAAGAATTGTTTATTAATAGCAGGGGTGTGCAACCTGTGACCTGCGGGCCAAATGCGGCTCTCAACAAAAAATTGTGCGGCCTGAGGAGAAGTACCAATTTTGAAATAATGTGCGGCCCGTGAAACGAGTTTTTAATTTAATTTTGTACATGATAGTGACTCAAATGTCTTTGTGTTGTGAAGCGAAGCTATACCTGAGTCCAATATGCTATCTGCTTAACAGTTAAGCATGTCATAAGATCAATATCCAAAATTTTTGTGCCTGCAATTATTAGGTAGTGTATGTTGAATTAAGGTGCAGCCCACAGTTTCACCCTGTTATTTCTATATGGCCCTCCTGTATTGAAGGTTGCACATCCCTGACTTGTAGTATATGTTCAGTGACTTGGTGATATGTTTATGCTTGTAAATGTGATAAAAACTTTACACCACTTGTTTCAAGAAGATAAATTGATTGAAGAGAATTTATTTTGATTTGCTGTGTGCTGTTACAGCAGCTAGAGAATTATTACATGTAATCTATAACAAAACTAGCTGTGTTTGTGCCCTCTTCAAAACTTGTTGTGAGGAAGTCCTGGGTAAATTTTTAATTGCAATATCCAATGCCAGAGAACATAAGGTAGTTTCTGGGCTATTCATGCCTATATGGAGACCTTCATGTGTGTATTTTTATAACAATCTATTATGTTTTGCCATTTTGAATCATTGCTCAATATCGGTTTTATTAATATGTGCAATAACTAAATTTTAGATTTTGTTGTCCTTGCTGCAATGATGAATACTTAAACTAGACTAGATAACCTGCTTCTTGCCTGTTTTGTTTTTCTTTTTAAAGGGTAGGCGTAGTTTTGTTTTCAGTAAATTTTGATGCTGAATGATAACATTGATTTCATTAAATGTTTGGAATAAAATTAGTGATTTAGGGGTTAGTGAATGAACTGAACATAAGTGGCATCTGCAATTCTTATGGCATTGATGAAAATATTTTACAGATCTATGTTTTGTATGCATCAATGTTTGACTGTTCAAAAAATTTGTTAAAAGATTGTATTTATTATTATTTTTTTTTATCACGTAGAGAATTCTATTGAAGCGCATATGAAGAATTATGAAGGTTGTTTTAAATAATTCTATTCGAGTAGTTTGGGCTATTTGGTATTGCTTATTCCTGTGGTATAATTTTAGAAGATTCTTCATTTCAGCATAGTGTATTCATTCATATTGTGTTATACCCTTCATGTGATGTTGGTAGATTTGCATACTTGTTTTTAGAAAGATTGTCTATCTCTGCGGCTTATTATTCTTGCACTGTAGACATGTAATTTGTTGTATTGAGTAAAGTATTATATGGTGTTTGTTTTTTGATTTCGATTTGAATGCTTAGTAAATGTCAATCTCTAGACTTCGTTTTTTTCTTTTGTGTTCGGGGCTACAGGTTTAGTTTAAACAAATGCGGTCCTGTTGCAATAATATGTCCAGCCTCAGCAGCTTAGTTTGGCAAAGTGCAGGGGTGTTCGCTTATTATTCATAAGCAATTCCTTTTTTAATGTTAAGTTTTACATTCATCATTTAATTGGTCAGAGCATTTCTGCAGCACGATAAACAAATGATTAGTTGTGTGATACACTGTCCTTCCCTCACAAAGTTGCTTGGATGAAATTGAATAAAAAGTTAACAGACTTGTTTCCGGAGACTTGACTTCTCTGTATTTGCTTGGCAGTGTGGCGCATAATGATGAGCGTCAGGGAATAGACTTGCCAGCACACCTCTAATTACCCTGGGGATAACCATGTGCGAGAGGATTGCTAGAGAACATGGTTCGGCATATGATTATGCGGGAAGTTCGATATACTTTTTACTATTATAATTCAATCTTACAAAATTTTTGGTCTTTTTATACATTTTATTGATTTGTATTACTGGAGTGCGTTGAAGCGTAAAGTCTGTGGTTTCGTGCGATCAAATTCTTGAAAAATATTATTTAGAACTAGGTTTGTCATTGTCATGACGAAGCGACGCTTTCTGGGGTTCTGCATTCTTATAAGTTAATGCGTCTTGTATGTAAGACATTTTTGTGGTCATTTTTTGATTAATGCAAGCAGGAAGGTCATTCTGTTACGAATTGACCCGAACTACTTCAACTACCATATTCTGGTAAAAACTAAAGGCCTACTTATTTATCAAAATTGGACCATGTCATAATCATAGAGGTCGTCACCAATGTCTGAATGTCAATTGAAAATAGATTAGTGTTTCTCGGACGTTCGACCCTGGCTTTTTTGGATACGAAATGGGCCTATGGATCATTTTTTTATTATGTTGTTGTTGCTTTTCTTATTGTTGTCTAAGGGATTCGTTTTTCACTTTGAATTTTTGTATGACTGTTTCTTGCAGTCTTGTGATGGCGTCACCGAATGAACACGGTCGCATCTCAACAATATGGTGGTCAGACTACCAATACTGTAAAAGATGTTAAGGTATTGGAATTCCGTACCTCCATTCGACAGTACATTATTACTGGATTAGGAATAAATAGGTACTGAATTAAGCGACTAGATCAAGTCGGGTCTCATGTAGTTTCTTACCTTACACATACTTCTAGTGGGCGTAGCATGACAATTTTTTCACGTATCAATCCTAACCCCACCTGACTACACCATCCAAAAATTACGTCATTACGACGTCACAGTGACGTAATAGAGTCCTTCAAACTATACGAACTGACATCCAAGACGCGGCACCCGAAATCGAACAGATATTTCTCTCGTTTTCTCGTCGCAAAGATTCCAATAGGAGAGAGACCAATAACGTCAGTTAATTATTTATCGTCGGTGCCAATGCTATTTCGGTCGATTGTGTGTATATTTGGCGAGCTCTATGACGTGATTGTGATGTCGTAGTGATTAAATTTTTGGATGGCGTAATCAGATTGGGGTTAGGATTGACATATCAAAAAATTGTTATGCTACGCCCACTAGAAGTACGTTAGGTACGAAACTACACGGGACCCGATCAAGTCAACAATATTCCAGTAATCTGCTAGACTTTTCAGCTTGGTATCGTAACAGGTTAAAACGAGTGACTTAAACAGGAAAGTGAGACGGTTATCTAAAACCTTAAGAGCTACTAGGAAATCATAATGGAGAAATATGTGAGGGTGAAGAAAATTGGAGAAGGATCATTTGGAAAAGCTGTTCTCGTGAAAAGCAAAGAAGATGGCCTACAATACGTGGTTAAAGTGTGTGACATTTTTTATAATAATCTAACTATTTTGTTTAAGCATGTTTCAAAAATTCTAAATGTTGAAATGCTAAAATTTTACACGTTTTACAGGAAATTTCAATTTCAAAAATGCAAATGAAAGAAAGACAAGAAGCTCGAAAAGAAGTCAGTGTATTGTCAAAGATGCGACATCCAAATATTGTGCAATATGTGGAATCGTTTGAAGGTGAAGCTTGTCTACTCTTTGAAATTATGCCCTTAAATGGTTCGGTTTCTGAATTTGTCATGTTTCAGTATTCATGTGTCAGTACGGCACAGTTCTCCAATTCCAAGAATAGCCCCCATATTGAAAAACATCAATTATAACAGTAGGTGCAAACCCCTTCTTTTACAAGATCGGCACTGCGCAATAAACTAAAAGAAAGTGCAATCTAAAGAAGTCACCATTAGATTCCTCAGAAAAAAATAAATTTCACTGTCGCATTCAAGAGTAGCAAAAAACACAACTTTGGTCACATGACTTTAATTAATTTGAATTATTATAGAGACAAGCATGGGACAAGCGGACTAACACATCTATCGTCGTGCCATATGCTCTTGTTTCAGAGACTCATAGTATTTGTTTTATTGAACCAAACCAAATGTCGGGAAATCTTCGAATCAGAGAACTGTGCCTTTAATAAGTTACATTTTTGTTAGGAATGGGATCTGTGCAAAAAATTGAATACTACTTCATGACTGTATTCAAAAGATATCAATTATGTACAGAAAAGTTACCAATAGAATTTGTGCGCATATGAGTACAGTATAGCTTTTGGCAGAATTTGTTGGTTTGTATATAATATGAATTGTTTTTTTAATTACACTAGAACCGTATTATAGAAATATAAATAATATTTTTTTGCATTGGCAACACCTTTTTTTTTATTATTCATCTTCAATTCCCTTGTGTAACTCAATATAATATCTTCATCTTGTAAGACTATAAGATTAGCTCATTTTCTTTCAACAATATCTATACATTATATATATATAGTTATACCCTGTGATGGAGATGGCAGTTCATAGTGCTTGGCATTTACTTTTAAGTTTGCATTGTCAAGTAAACAGTGAATTATCAAATACATAACATAGATTTATTCGAATGAACTCATTTGATTCATTGAAGGGTGAACAAACAACAGAACTACTTTTGCATTTGAAATAGTTTACTTCCCCTAACAATGAGAATTTTGGCTGGATTATGACTTATTGCTGCCCTTAGCGAAGTCTTTTGGACATTTTCGGGATAAATATTGGTTGGGAAAAAATATCTATGAATTTTGTCTTCTTTGCTTTGAAATTGTTGAGATTTGACCTTCAAAATCGATCTTATACCAGGAATTTGCTTTTTTTATAATAGGCAATATTATTCTTTTACGTGGTCAGTTGCTACATTTGCAGTGCCTTGCATTGAGTCAAGGTGTGAGAATACTTGATAAAAAATTGCCTATTTTTTGATAAACCTTACGTTCAATTTTTCCAGAGAGTGGATGTCTTTACATTGTGATGGAGTATTGTGAGGGAGGTGATCTGTATGCAAGAATTAATTCACAACGTGGAATGGCATTCTCAGAAACTAAAGTTTTGGAATGGTTCGTGCAGATGTGCCTTGCGTTAAAACATGTTCATGATCGAAAAATCCTACACAGAGATATTAAAACTTCTGTAAGTTCGAGTTCTGTATGTTACAATGTGATCGAGAATTACTTGATATTAGTCATTCTGATACACCTCCTAAAACTGTAAGTTCGAGCTCTGTATGTTACAATGTGATGAAGAATTACTTGATATAGTCATTTTGATACACCTTGTAGCTATTGCTATGATATACATAATTCTCTCCATCTGGATTTGAATCGACGCAGAGTAATTAGAGGTGCGGCGACAAGCGTATTCAGAACGTTTTGCATGATTGTTTTTTTAAAAATACCTACTCTGACCTTGACTACCGACCTTGTGTTAAAAATATTTTTGGCTCCGACTCGAGCTCTAAATTCTAATGAAACCAAATTTTGACTACGAATACTGTGGGTGTATTCATGCTTCCTGTTATTTCCATATCAACAATGCTTTAAACCTAATTAATGTGTTTAGGTTTTTGTTGAACCGTTTTTTATGTCCATTAGAAAATTGAAATACTAACTTCAAGGAATGCTAACCCTGGGTGAGGTGGTGGGTATAGGGTTAATTACACATTTTTATTTTATTTTTTTCAGAATATATTTCTCACAAAAAGTGGAGCAATTAAGCTTGGTGATTTTGGAATTGCCAGAGTTTTAAACAATACACTTGAACTCGCGAGAACTTGCATTGGTAAAATTGGTATTTTTTATATTATTTGAAATGAAGCAACACAATAATAGCATTTAAAATTTTATCTAAATATTAAGTTTTTTGTTATCCATAGGCCATCCATTTCAGGCATCCCTAGGTAAGATTTTGTTTGAAATTGTGTTTTTTCACAAGGAATTTCAACATACAATGCTTATTTTAAATATTAAGAAAACGCTTACCTAAACAACAATTATTATTTTAATATGTTCATATTGAAGATTAAACATGATAAAGATAAAATATAAAATATTTTTTGCGTGCGATGAGATCATAAAAAATTGCACATCTTGTGGCGGTTCTACTTTTGCGTTAGTTTTGAAGATTGCCATACCTGTAGTCTACTGAGACAAATTCACTGTATTTCAAAAATCCAACATTTACTACCGGTATATCAAATACAATTAATGTCAAATGTATTCGTAAGACCGATTCATTTTAGACATCCCTGATCATGCATGTGTGAATCATAATGAAAGGGCTGAATAATTTTCGCTTCAGGAACACCTTACTATCTGAGTCCTGAAATTTGCGAAAACAAACCTTATAATAACAAGAGTGATGTTTGGGCATTGGGATGTGTTTTGTATGAAGTTCTCACATTAAAACATGCATTTGAAGCTGGAAATATGAAGAATCTTGTACTGAAAATTATCAGGTAACCATACTGTACATATGGTTTTAATTCATGCACCTCTGAAATCATTTTCAAGTTCTAGGTTAAGTATGTTGCCAAATTAGGTAATAATTATGAAATAAATAGCTGTGTGATAAAAAAATCACCAGATTGACATTATTGTCTGATTTTTGACCATCACAAATTATGGGTTTGCAAATATTTCCCCTGATCCTGATTGAACTGCTTCAATTCTGGCAGCATTTGGTGCCAAGTAACGTAACCATCATTAATATATTAAGTTTCAGTATCTCTTGGCATTTCAGTAATTACCCAGTGTTCACTCAGTGATGAGTGTATCTTCTAAGTGAGTTTGTATGAGCAAATTCTCCCAAACATGAAAAAAATCCCATAGGGCCTAACGTTTATGCGATACATATTGATATACAATTCATTTTATTATGTATATACATTTAATGTAGCAATATTAATCGAATTCAAATGAATTGAATTTTTTAATAACAAAAGCTTTTAACGCAAAATAATAACTATCAAAGCTTAGTCTCTATCTCCTATTTTTACCATTCAATGTCCAACACTTTTGTTCCAGGGGGATCTTATCCTCCAGTTCCGCCTCGGTATTCATATGATCTTCGAGGTTTAGTCAGTCAACTGTTTCGACGAAATCCTCGAGATCGACCATCTGTAAATACAATATTACGGCAACCATTTATCAAGAAACATACAGTGAAATTTTTAACACCTGAGCAACATGAGGATGAATTCAGTCACACAGTTCTTCATAAGAATAGAAAGCCAAATCCAAGGCCAATATCTGCTCCAGTAGCTGCACGTGAGTAGATCTGAGGAATTTGAGAAAATTTAAAAGCAATAATATGATAATCTTTGTGATTATTGAAATTTTGATATACTTTGAAGAAAACAGTGTAGAGCTTATATTAGAAACATTTATGCATTTATCACTCTTTGGTAGTTTAGGTTTCTTATTGAGTGTGATGGCCTAACACAGGGGGGTCCAAATACCATGGTATTTATTGGGAAGCAATTTTAAAAGAACGCCACCCATGCAACATAACAATAGGCCATTCTTTAATATATTCAAAGTGAGCTACCCCGTAGTATTTTGATCACTTTCGTGTTTTCCCAACTGCGGCCCCGCAAGACCTTCTCAAAATTTTTTGAGGTTCTTCAGTGTCGCAAATTTGGACCACTCTAGCCTAACAGTTGAGGAGAAGACTTGACTATGTTGGTATCGTAGATTTAAAATCTAGGACTCAAATCCCATTCTTGCCCATCACCCAACATGTAATATGTGTACCGGTAAAGATTCTTCATTTTCCAAATTTCAGTATCTACTTGCTTATTAATGGCTGCTTGTATACAGCCTTGTTTATTTGGAGTTGCATATAAAAATGTCTTGATCAGTGATTCCCAACCTTTTATTGCTCGTGGTCCCCTTCTGGAGGATTTTAGCACTCTTGGCCCCATGTTAATCATTCCAATGGTATTTATAGCGTTATTTTAATTGGTAAATTTGAAATCCCATTATTTTTAAACAATACATGCTCAACAAAGTGAAAACACCTGGTGAAATAATCTTATCAAGCAATGAAACTAGGGAAGAACCGGATGTTTTTCTGTGAAGTGATAAGTAAAATCAGTTTTGCGTCTAACATCGTGGCCCCTCCAACTGCTCTGTGGCCCCCTTAGGGTTTGGAACAGCTCTTCTAGATCTTGAATTTAATGAAGCTAAATCTAATGTGCTATTCAATTATGATCTACTACTGACAGTATGCTTCTTTGTACAAAGGTAAAAAACCTGATGATAAACCTAAAGGTGTAAAAAGTCCTGTTGATGCCCGAGCAAAACAAATAGCAGGGATATATGGACCATCTGTTGCAGCTCCAAGACCAAGCAGTGCTGCTGTCAGATATAGAAGACTCGCTGAACAGAAAAAGAAAAGTGAATATGAAATGGAAAAGGTTATATTTTTTATAATTTATATATTCTTTGTTAACGTTTGCTTGAAGAAGCATCATCTCAAAAAATAAATTATTAGGGGAAGTTAGTGACTTAATGGATTTCGAGTTTGTGATAATTTATAATTACAAGAAAATAGTTTCAAATTAAATTTAAAATGTTATGCATCTGAAAGAAGCATTTTCAAAACAGGCTCATTTATTTGAATTGAATTTTTTTTGTTATAATTTTTCATTCTAGCAAACTCACAGTTTATCTTCGGCTGGCCTTACTAAATCAATTCCTACAGATTTATTTTGCTAAAAATTTATCTATTTGAAATTTCAGTTATTTGAAATGAAAAGTTTTGGCATAGCATAATTCTAGATTGCCTGTTTATTTGTATATGAACGGACTGGACTGTATGAACATCGTTAATTTATAATATATATATGTATTCTGCTTCTCATTTTTCATTTCAACTTATTACAGAAAAACAGATTACAAGCTGAGAGAGAAAGAAGAGAACAAAATGAAAGAAAAAGGAAGGTAAATCATAATATTGTAATGATTTAATTATATAATATAATACTAGTTGAATTTTAGATAAAGTTACAATTATAAATACCGTACATAAAAATATAATCAATAGAAGGGAATCAATAGAAAAGATTAAAACTCAAACGGAGAAGAAGCCTTAACGCAAATACAAAACCAAAAGACAAACAGTACTATCAAAAAACAACAAACAAGGTTCAAAAACAAACAAAGGAAACTACACAAATAGACGAAATCCAACCACATCCGTTAGACCGGCAATTCTAAGATGATACGATATCATCCATATCCAGTTATAGGAAACTCAATTATAGACTAAATTTATATGATCTTTTATATTTACATAATATTTTGTATTGTTTAAAGAAGTTAGACCATGATCTAACGTAAGCTCACAAATATACTTACTATTTCGTTGAAAGAGATCATGTTATTTTTACTTTTCACTTTAATACTATCTCGTTCAAGCATCCTTGTGGTGAGTGCCACATACGGATCCAAAGTAGAAAGTAATCAAGGAGAAAGGACCTGCAGTTCAATACATAATTTCCAAGTTCCCATAAAAATATAGATGAGAAAATTTTTGTTCCTAATGGACCAATCAATTTCTTGTCTCTTAGAAGGCAATGTCTTCTAATTTTTTTCAACTGTTTTCTGTGGCCTATTGTTTCACTCCAAATTACGCTCCCTCATTTTTTTTTAATTGAGAGATAGCGTATAAACTTTCAATTTTCCACAACTTATATGGCAAATGGTGGTTATCATGGTAATACATGCACAAATGTTAAGGTACAAACAACATAACTACCCAACGATTTAAATAAGTTTGTCACTATAGAAATTGTGAACGTTGGTTACACTATTGTACATGCATTGTTACTAATACATTGCTTATGTTATGTGTGCATTTTAATGATTATAATAGGAGGAAATAGCCAAGTTACAATTGGATCGTGCCAATCGAATTCGAAGACAACAATTATATAGAGACAGAGAAATGGCGAGGCAGTTGAATTTGAAGCGGTCTAGCGACGTCTTTGATAAGAATAAAGCGTCTGATGAGGTTTGTTGATATACTTTATCGATCAAGCAATAGCCATGGATAAATCATGATTTTCAAGCATGATTTATTCATGGCTCTTGCTTGATTGCATTTATTTATATTGGTAAATAGATTTGTTTGTATGGTTTCGATTTTTGAAGTAGAAAATTAAACACTGATAGTGGTTGCTACCTTTCTTTGTAATACGCAATATTTTATTGATTTCAATCACCTGTCATTGTTAATAATCTGTTGATTTTTAATAAATGGAAATGACACGATTCAAGAAAAGTAGTAAGAATGACTAAACATTTAGATATTGTTGTATCGAGGGTTAAATATTGCGATTATAAATTAGGGTGAAAATAAATTTTGTAATAAATTTACTGTGTGCATTAACTTGCACAACTGGCTTATCACGACATATTTTGAGGCTTCCATTTTTAAGCCAATAATCCATTCCAAAAAATTCAGACTAATCAAAAAGTTTGCTGTAAACATCAACTCAACTTAGGTTGACGGTTAACAATATCAATCGATTAGCGAAAATGCCATGCTTTTCAGACTGGCAAAGGGCCCAGAAGTGCTGGAGTACGGCCAGGATCACTATGGCAACCAATTTATTGCAATTTTAATCCCTATCCCTCAGAATACTCCGGAGAAAGTCGCAGAGCACAGTTTGAGAAACGCTGATATAACTGAACAGTAGTCTGCCATCTAATAAATCTTTGCTAATGTTTTCTGTCTATAATCGTAGCAATTTGAAAAAATAAATTTTCTAACAATCTCTGCACTATTATGCCTTTCATTTTATGGTTTGACTACAGCTTCTATCAATCATTTTTAAAATAAAAAAATCATTTTCTTTTCCCAGAATAAAAATCCGTCTGAAAACAAACATCCACCTCCAAAGCAAGCTCGGCCAACGTCAGCACCAAGCCAACAACCAGCTGAAAAATATGAAAAATATCATCAGTATCTTGCAAGATTAAGAGAAGGACAAGGGTAACTTGATTGTCTTCCTTATGTTTATGTTATCAGTCTGTTATCGCTGACATAGCTTATCAAGCACTGCCTGCTCTTATTGGGAGAACTTATCATGGTTCAAGTTGTAGCTGTTGGAATTAAAGTTAGCATAATGTTATTTCATGTAATCAGAGTTATGCGCCTATAATCCGACCCCTCAGTTTGTTAACTTTTTTTTCAAGTTTTAAACTTGGTTTATATGCGAGGACAAACGGTAATTTAATGACATTATTGCTATTTTATATCGCAGGAATGGAATAGCTGAGCCAGCTATGAACAAACTTGGTCAAGTGAAAGAAGCATGGAATGAACGACTTCATGCCCAGAATGCAGCTATGGACGCCATCGGAAATAAGTATGATAAAAACGTTATATTTTCCTGACCCATGACCCCGAAAAATTATTTTATTATCCATTAACCATTGCAAAATTTTGATGCTTATTTTGAGAGTAAGTCTGCGAGGTGGCATTCACAAACTGAATTACATGTTCATAATCATAATTGGGATTCAAAATGTTTATCCACGTGCCATATAAAAGTACTAATAGCTGATATGAGACACTTTTGATCAAAGCTACTAAACTAAAACTCTTCAGAATGCAAAATATTTATTGAGTTTTCTAATTTGTACGTAAATTTTGAAAACCCAACTAAAAATTTGAAAAAAGCCAGTAAAACCAAAAAAATAAGCCAATGTTTACCACCATGCCTGAAAAGCAGTAAAAATGAGAAATTATGTACCGGTAAGTGATTGCTAAAATTTCCCATGTTACATCACCATTGACATCTTACTGATTAACCAATGTTACTGAAGTGAACAAGGAAGTGGAATCTCAGAAAAATATCTATTCTCTAGTGATAATTGAGATTCTTCTAAATTGATATATTTTCAGAATTGAAGCGAGATTAGCAGCAGAAAAGGCCAGAGTTGAAAATGAATACTTGCAGAGAAGACAGGAAGCTGAAATTAATAAAAAACAAGGACAAATTATGATTCATGGTGTAAGTATTACGACTCTTTAAATAAAAGGTATATCAGTAAAGTACGGTGATCTTGATTTTTTTTCGCAAATTGTCGTTGCAATTTTGAGTACTGGCTGGTGGGTATAGTGATGGCGCCAGAAGTGTGTGTATCACTATGGAGATAGAGACTAATTTTATTCGCCTACTTTACATCAACTTGTCTAACGAGACTGAAACCTATGGGCAGGGGTATATTCACTTGGCTAACACAGCCAGTCCCTGAACTCGTAATAGAACTAAAATAAGGAAAATCTGAATAAAATTATGGTCTAACCCTAACCTAGTACACACAATACGGGAGTACCATAGTGACTGGATCAATTCATTCCAGAAACTTATTACTTATCGATTTTAATCGTTTAATTTGTCTGTCTGTCTGTTTGTCTGTCTGTTAGATGCACGCGATATCTCACAAAAGCGAGATTGGATCTGCTGCAGATTTTGCATGTGCATTTATCATATCTCGTATCAGAAGCTTATTGATTTTGGGCGAATGTCGTATAATTAGCGAGTTATCAAGGTGTCACTATGGAGTAAGAGCGCTGTTTTGGGGGATCCCCTAACTTTCGATCGATAAGTCTTCGGTCTATAAGTCTTCGGTCTCTGACCGATATTCTCTTTTTCCTTCTTCGCTTTTCTGCATTCTCGAACTCATTGAATATTACTATAAGTTGTGTTTACGTGAGACCAACTAACTTTCCTTGCTTTATACATTTGAAAAAGTGTATGCTTGTTTGTATCGTAAGTTTGCTGAAGCAAGAATAAAGATGACTGTTGTAATTGATTAAAAGGTCTCGCTGCACACTAACACAAATACCTAAATCGAAAAGAATCGTTAAATATACTGTGATACCTCTGTTGTTGAACTCAATTCGTTCAGGATTGGTGTTTGAGTACCAAAACTTTATTTTCTTTTAAGAGACGGTAATTTCAATTCGTCAATTTACGCATTTCAAAATAGCCAAAATATTAACAAAACTTGTTGAAAAATAATTTTTTAAATGTTTACAACATAAAGATTAAACATAATAAAGATAAAAATATGAAAATTTTTAAATCAGTTACTGTACATTATATGGTCGAAAGGCAGCCAGTGACGTCATGTCATTCGAGTACCACTACTTTTTGAGGTTTTTGGTCGACTACCAAATTGCTCGAATGCAGAGTCATTCGCCTACCGATAATGGATTGTTTGACAATCTTGACTGAAAATATAATATAACTGGTGTCTGGTATGAGACAAAAATTACAAAAACCATCAACTTTATGCATTTCCAGGAAAGAATTCCACCCAGAGGAGGAGTTGCAGCCGCTTTGCAACCTTTTCATGCTGCCCATGCACAACAACAACCAAAGGGAAGAAATAAAGGTAGTTTTTATGTTTCCATTTAGTTTCTGATGTGGTGCATAGATTCGTAACGATATATGCTAACTGTTCTTTCTTTTCGGAAGATCGTTATCAATTCTGACAAATGTATCCAACGGGCAAGCAACCATGTATATTACTGAATACCATAAAATGAGTTGTAACGAAGTTATTAATACTGATCAGTAGGCCTATAGATTTATTATCAATTAAATATTATGATAATATTAAAAAAGAGCAATGCTCGAATATAGGGATATGAAGGTCGTGCACTGGTTCGGTAGAGCTCTGTAGCACCGAGTTTGCTGAAGAGGTGATGGCGACAATCGAGCTTAACAGAAATATAACTGTTCCCATTTAGGTAAAAATAACAGCAAAAATGAAACAATCCATTGGTACAATTGTCCAATATATAATTAATTATCTGTTATAGAGGAAGATGATTACCTTGCTAGATTAAGACAAATCCGAATACAAAATTTCAATGAAAGAAGAGCTTTGAAAGAAAAACAGCAAGCAAAACCTTACAAGGTAGGTTGCAAATACCTTTTCATTTAGTTTCTTGGAATCATCAATCATTAGACTTTTGTAACTCATAGTTAATAGTGAGGCAATATGATGGTGAAATTTTGAAATTTGATAAATGGGATATTACAATGGGCGGCTTGTGGCCTAGCACTTATTAAGACTTGGGTCTGCAAGCTTTAGCATTGAAAGAGCCATTTGGTATCCTTTACATCAAACTCAAACCTACTCAGAGCCACAACAACTCAGTGGCGATTAAAACTCTCAGAAAACTGCTTATGATGCAATAATTCAGTCTATGATGAACAAAAAAGAACTTTTAAAATGAAAAGAAAAAGTTTGCTTTGACAGACTTAATCACCTCAATACGACCCATTTTTATCGCTCACAACTTAAAGAAAAGCTCTGATATGTAATTAATGAGAGGTATTTGGCCTTATGTCTCCTCTTTCATTGAATCTTCACTGCTTCTAACAAAAAACTGCTGTAACCGGTTTGATTCACAAGAGCTGGAGCTCCGAGAACATAGAGCCGCATGCGACTCTAGAGCGGCAGGTTGTCGATCACCGGCTTAACATGATTGATGTTTGGTGTCACTGCATGATAATCTTTTAAATTAGTTTTCATTTGTTATTTGTATTGTTTTTTATTATGAAACATTTATGTTATGTTGACAAATATCTGATGGACTGATGATAATTGTATTTTCATCGGCAGATTTCACATTTTAGGTTTGAACCCAGGGGTAGATGTGCCGAATCGGAAAGATTTCGGTAGTTCCAAATGATAGTAGCTCTGTACATATCGATCGCTATATATCAGTGGCTGCGTATGTGGGACCTTGTTCTGTGCAAAAGGCGCGAATAAATAACATAAAGTGTTGCCCTAATAGTAATTGCGTGTGTGGGTATGCGTAAAAACTTGGCAGCATTTATTTTTTTAAGTAAATCTTTACGTTAATTTCAAAAACCTGCTGATGGCAAACATGTAGTTTTCTCACTTTAAAGTAATTTCTGGTAAAATAAATGTTATATGAAATGGATTGTTTTATATTATTCATTTAATCTTGGTCATAAAAGTACTACACATTTAATATTTAAGCATACCTTAGGTCGCGATATTTAAAAAAAATTTGGGGTGCTTCCGTAGTATGTGAACCAAGATGACGGACACCGAAATGTAGTATGTGTACCAGGTTATGGTTAGACCATAATTTATTCCAGTTTTCCTCATTTTAGTTCTATTACGAGATCGGGTACTAGCCAAGTGACTTCCGTAGTATTTGTACCTGAAATTATGGCCTAACTCTAACCTGGTACACATAACTAGGTTCCGGTGTCCGCCATCTTGGTTCAATTTTAGTCGCTTGAAAGAAGTTTGGAAACCACTGATGTATTTTTGTATGGATCAGAATCTTTTTGGTTTAAATAGCATACCCATTTTGTTACGCCCTGTGTGAGATGGTTATTCCTGTATATACTCATATATTACTCATGATCACAGGTTGTCAATGCGAAGGATGAATTTGAAAAAATAAGGCGAGAAAAAATTGAGGCTTTACAGAAACAAGCTGATGAAAGAGCTAAACTTATCAGAGAAAATGTGGAAATGAGAAAACAAGCTTTGAATGAAAAACCTCTTGAACGAAATGCACACCAAGAACGGGTAATGTTTAATACAATGAAATACTTCAATTCAGCGTCAGTCCAAGCATGTTCAACATATTATTCAAATATAATGGAATTTCAGTATGACATTTTGAAGAAGAATTATCCCAGTCTTTCTGAAGACTGCTAGCTTATACATAGTCTTGGTTGAATTACGATTTGAATTTTCTCTGGAGGGCATTATCATATTCAAAAGGATTAGTTGTTTCTTCAGCCCTGGTTACTTTACTCACTCTTAACCAGTAACCAGACGATTGGCTGAGGCTAGCATCATAATTAAATCATTTTCTCATAGGTTCCTCCTGTTTTGAGTTAGGTATAAAACCCTATTTCACTCAAGTCCTCATGATGATGATTTGACTGAATATCTTTCAAATTAACCTTTCTTTCGATGAATTGACATGCTAGAATTGAAACAACGAATCGCTGATTATACCTTTCCCATCTAACACCGATTGATGTCCAATACGATGGATCTAAAGCTGAGCAATGTATTGCGAAATAGCAATCCATTTCTTAAAAAATCACTTCTTATCTGCCCTTGTTTAGAACTTGACATAAAATGATCAAGGATTATAAATGGCGAAATTTGACATTCAGCTGCAGATTTTCTTATAAATGCATGATAATTTGTATAACAGAACATGAATCCACCCAAAATCTTTAAATTTAGAAACCTTGAATTAGTTGAATACAATTTATATTTATAGGCACGGGTGAGAGGAGTGATTCCACCAGATGAAAGAAAAGTGAATTATGTTCCAAATCCAATTGGAATTACACAAGCTCTAAATGCAGTTGGAATTGAAAATAAACCTGAACTTCCTATTGTAAATGCACAAGCTGAACCGAAGAAGGATGAGGTATTTGTTGTGTATGCAAGGCAAAGCAAAGTACACAATGCTGAAATATGTTGGATTGTAATCGATTTTTTTGCTGGTGCAAAAAATGATGGGTCTTAGTTAGGTTAAGATTTGGAAATTGATCTGGAGCGCAACTGAGAATGTCAGAATCATGGTAATCTAGAGAAATTTTTTCGCATAGTCTCGATTCCTCGCATATAAGCTAAGTTCAAAACTCAAAATGAAAGGTTGCCAAACTTAGGGGTCGGCTTATACACGCGTAACTCTGATCTCATTAAATATTCAACTTATATGTGCATATCTCTAAGTGTGCATGCTAAGTTTTCACTATAAGAGCATACGGTTTGTATGGTCGGCTTTTAAACGAATTTTTATAAATTAAATTATAAAATAAATTTTAATGGGGTCGACTTATATGCGACCAACTTATATATATATATGTTTGTTATACCAATGTCCGAGTGTAAACTGTAATGTTGGGCTTCATTGAAATATTCTGTATTTTTAATTCGGTGGTTCTATTCTTACACAGCCTATTTTCTTGTTTTAGTCCATAGAACAACCAGCTAAACCACAAGTTCGAAAGAATATCTTGAAAAGATTGAATGAGAAGTTTCTACAAAACGAAGAAAACAAGGATAAAGATCAAGATAGCAGGTAGAAAAGTTATTTTGAATATATATTAATAAGTACCGGTAAATGGATTTTTCCCAAACCATTGACTTCCCCAGGTAGTTCGTAGCTAGGAATAATATAAAATAAGTTAACAAAGACGTAAGAATTTGTGCTTTCCGCTCAGGCACTTTTTTACGCAGACGAATTTCCAGCATGTATGTAAACACTGACTCGTTTTCATGCTTTTGCTTGCTAGTTGTAGTTTTTGGATATGTTTCCAAAATTTAGTTGTAAATGACACTTAGTTGAATATTTTTGTTAATAAATAATAGTCATGATTATGTAAATGTGAACATATTCGTAAGCTCGCAGGAACATTTCAAAATAAGCGCTACAAATTTTGCAGTGGTAAAGTATAGGAAGAATCTATTGGGGAAACATCCATTCTTGTTATACAAAATGAAAAATATAATTAACAGTAAAAACACTACTTACAAAATTAATTCGTTCTGGATGCCGTTTCGTAAGCAGAAAATACATGTTAGAATTAGATTACTGCATAATAAATAGAAAAAGTACACTTGGAAAGAAAAAAGAACAGCGAAATAGCGAATAAATGCAATTGTCATTCACTGAATTTCACTGGCCATTGAAACTGAGTCAGATTTATTAAACCTACCCACGGGTAACAAACAGGCCAGTGGGATGGCAGGGAGTTTCTTGATGTTAGCCAATGGCAAAGCAGCTCAGGTGCGACACTTTCGAGCTGCCCATCCTCTTAAGCGTCCAGCAGTTTTTTTTCAAATTCGGGTTCTGGTATTTCGTATTTAGAATCATCTTTCGTTATTCGGAGCAATATTTCTACGAAAAGACATTTCTTGACTCGGGAATTTCGTATTCGGAGTCTTTCGTTATTGAGCGTTCTACTGTATAAAGTTGTTATCTGCCTGATATTGTTATTACAATTTTTAATCGTTTTGATTTTGCCTTTCATCCTAATTTTATTTGATATTTTCAGTACGAAACCACCAGCACCAGTTCGTAATGCATGGGGTGATGCAAACGTAAAACAAAATATGCAGCCACAATGGGCAGCTGGTGACATCGGATTCAAACTTGCAAATATGCCTTTAGAGGAGACCGCTTCGCAAATGGAAGGTAATTGGTATCAATCCTGATCATTTAAAAAAAAAAACTTGAAAAAAAATTCACTAAATTTTCGACCATTTTTTTTTTTCAGAAACCAAATATGATGATCCGGTTCTATTGAATCAGGTTAAAAATGCAGCGGCAAAGAGAGGATGGAATAAACCTAGTAATACTGTCGTTAATAAACTCAATTTATTAAGTTTATGTGATCCTACATTAACTGCAGCACAAGATGATAATGATGGTATAAAAAATTTAATTTGAATAAATAGTGTATTAATTAAAATTGTTGAAACCTAATTACAGAACATTGGTTGAGTCAAAAGCCAATTAAAATTAACTTTTTTCGGGCCCGACCAATTATGGTAATTCTATTAGGACTTCCATAAATCAGACTCTTCTGGGTGACAAAACGTTACACTTGTGCAAGGATTCTAGCTTCAGAATAGTAAATTTCTGACAAAGAAAATTGTGGTATTGGCTATTCTTTTTCTGTTTCCATAAATCAGACTCTTCTGGGTGACAAAACGTTACACTTGTGCAAGGATTCTAGCTTCAGAATAGTAAATTTCTGACAAAGAAAATTGTGGTATTGGCTATTCTTTTTCTGTTTCGGTTGAATTTTTCATATTTAGGACGTCTAACATTTCATTTCTAGAGACTGCAAGTAGTTCGAAAATGATACTCTAGGTCTGACGTGAGTCATATTATTTAGACCAACACAAGCAAAAATGTCAGATGATGATGTATTGCTTTCAATCTTGTGATCAAATTTTAAAAAGAAACATAAATTTATGATTAGACCATTCCTTTTGCCTTTATCAGTAATTAAATGGTTATGTCACCTGAGTGAAGTGTCTCTAATATTCAATTTCGGATTCATTTTCTCATAAATATATTCATATGTATGGACAACTTTTTTTTTTCCTTCTGCAGATGTGGATGCAAAATTTGATAAGAAAACCATTCCAGAGAATAATAATAACAACAATGTTGCCAAACTTACAGCAGTTAAGTCAGAATTGCCAGTGAAATCATCTCAACCTGGCCCGAGACCACTGCCGCCTGTCCCTGCCAGATCACAATCTCCAACACGATTTACTGTCAAATTTGAAGACGCAAAAATGGCAAAACCTGTTTTAGGCGATGTTAAAAAAGAACTTCATAAACCAGCTATTCCAGCTAAAGGTACAGTTGTACTTGGTGACTTATCGGCAGCGGCTTTGGCGAGTACACCAGAAGTGAATGTCTCTGAACCCCAATCAAAACCTGTCGTTCCACAAAAGTCTTCTGTCGTTGCAGCTTTAGCAGCGAAATTTGATTCTGGTGCCGCATCGCACAAATCAACGTTTGTGGTCGGAAAAGTAGAAAATGAGGCAGATGGAGATAAACAATTATCTAATACTGATAATACAATTGAAGATGATAAAACTAAAACAAAAAATATCTCTTCAAATGAAGATGGAAAAAATGAATCTCATCAAGACAAAGTTGAAATTTCTACTGATAAAAAAGATGAACCTGCTGATAAGAAAGCCATATCTATTGATAAATCTACTGATTCAGTTGATCAGGCAGAGATTCAAGTGATTAATTTATGTGATGATTCAGTAAGCGAAAAAGTTGACAAACCTGTTATTGATGCTTGGAGCAAAGATTCAGATAATGCAAATAAGGAAAAACAAATGATTACTGAAAATTCGCCGAGGGTGAATACGCAAAAGCGAAGTTCAGAAGAAGAAAATGTAGTTGCAGCTGAAAGCCCCAGGTAGGAGACCATGCCCCTCACCCCCAAATTTATAATATTCCTTTTTTCAAATGCAATTTTGCAGAATTTGCTATGAGACATAAGTTCTTACGTTTGTTTCAACACCATTTTGCTTTATTCTTGAATGATTTACTAGAAACACAACGTTCCTGCTTTAGTATAACTGCATCAATAATCCTTTCATTGAATAAACCAACCGAGATAGATAAAAATGCTTGCCTGTATAGCTTGGATAACTTCCTAGGTCGGTAAAGAGATTCTCCAAGATTTTGTTAGATATCATTGACTGTTTTTATCTAGCCTTGTTCGATTTGGAACTTGCAGAACTTGTTGGGACTGAAACTCTGGTCTTGGCTCAAGACTTGTATGGCCCATGAATCGACTTATACCCAGCAGTGGTAATGCCACATTTGTTACTGCTCCACTGATTACCTTGCAAAACCTTGCCATCCAGTTATTCGTCCTTATTCATCCAGAAGGTTATGAAAATCTCAACTTACATTCTTTGTATTTTTGTTTATTTAGAAAAATGCCATCGCCTACCATTTCATCAGCTAACATTGAACAGAAAGAAAAACTATTTGATAGAGTTCCACAATCTCCTACAGTTTCAGCAACTCTACCTATTCAAAGCCAGGTAAAAATAGACTATTGATTACAGGATTAGATGGTGTTTTGGTACTAGGAGGATCAGTATTTGGCTTGATGTAATTTTATATGGAAAAAAGGGCTCCTCATCGCTCATTTCTTATTGGCTCGGTGGTGTGGTGCATCGTGCTAAGCGTTGGGAATACTCTTGCCACCGCACCTCTGATTACCCTGTGTGGGTTCGCAGGTTCGAATCCCATGCAGGGTTGATTATATGCAATAGGATTGCTGGACTTCTCGCTTCCGCAGGTTGGTTCACGTAACCACTGCTTGGTTACGGCTTCCTCTACCACCAAGTTCATGCATCTAAAAACAAATAACTGGCTAACTAATCGCATACCCGACATGGACTGGTGACTGAACGATAGGCCGGGGTTCTCTATATGATTAAGTCGTCTTTCCTCTCTTCCAGGATAAATATGGAAATCCCAATCGTGTTTACAGTATTATCTCTTATGCTATTGTATCTAGTAGTCTAAGTCCATACACCTAAATTAGTAATTGGTCATATACTCAACATATCGACATTGACTGGTAACTGGACGAGAAACTGTGTTTTCCCATTTGAATAAGCTTTCATATCTTCTCTCCTTCATTTCAGGAAAAGATAAAAAGATGATATCCAAAGAGAATATTTACACTATTTCTCCATAATTACTCTGAGAAAAAAAGGTTTTTGATACGAAACTATACCACTAAATTATTTCTGTATTGCAGAGTTTGAATTCTTCTCCACAAAAATTAAGTAAAACGTTGTATGCAACTGCAAGTGAAGAAATGGTTTTAAAATTGACTTTAGGACATTTTGACTCTCCAAGTGTAAAAGTAAGTTTCTTATTCAATCTTTCCATACTTCCTCTTGTGAACACTGGTTGTGTCATAGGGAAGTAAAGAGAGGGGGATCGAAGGTCGGAGACACCTCCCTCCTCCTTTCGAAATGTAAACACTACATATATAGCAATTTTTGATAGTTTAGAAAGCTTTTGAAAATGTCAACACCCTTGAAAACCCACGTTTTCTGATACGATTTCAAAAGTTTCAGAACCACCCTCTTTGAAAATCCCTGGCTACACCCTAGGCCAAGGAGCTTGAACTTAGTTGTCTGTATCACATCTCTGTTTTAAGACATTGTTCACCCAGAATTTTGTGCACTATCAAGTCCAAATTTTGCTTTCAATCCAACCAATGGCAGTATAACCAACTTCAGCCATTTAGCTGGGGCATACAAAAATATTTAGCAGGAAAGGCAAAAGCAGAAAATGTGTCTATCGCTTAGTCTCACAGTAATGAATGCAACAGGCAAAACGGCGAAAGATTTAACGCAGTGGCAAGCGTTTATGTATACTTTATCCGTGTTGGGGCTTTTTTCCAAAATTTTAAAGTTGACAAGAGCCACATTAAATGGCTTGGTGGGCCAGGCAGCAGCACACCCCTAAACAAGAGTATGGAGTATTGTAACCAAATCCTTTCGCTAAAATTTTTTTTTTTATAATTGAATTATATTAAAATAAAAGATCAGTGAACACCCAACAGAAAAGTATATTCCAACATAATTGTTTTAGTTTCTATATCCAGTTGTAAAAACAGTGTGTTATATCATGTGGTTACCTCTTACATTTAGTTATTACGAACTTGCTCTATGCCTGATTTAACGAAAGCAATACCAGAGGAATCAGCAGAGATAGATGAATCATCACCTGTACGTAGATCTCTTGATATGATGAAATCACCTCACAGTGACGATGAAGGTTCTTCAGGAACAATGAGTCCTGATTTTGCAGGTATTTGCTTTCTCAACATGGAACAATGGTTATCAGATACATTTCTATGCTTTTTTCTTGTACAACATTCAAGCTTACAACTTGTATATATGAATACACGCGACATTCCTATCTTGTACACATCAACGATTCCACATTTCCTCACATTTACTAACGTCGGCGTATACAAGACTTCTTTATTTTTCTGTTGAGAATGGTTATTCAAAAAATGCTATTTGAGTTTCTGACAAAAATTTTAAGTTTGAATATCAACATTGAAAATTTGAAATTTCGACTCTTTGATAGAAAAGGATACTGTTTTTGAGGTACAAGCAATTTTATCACACATAATATACTCCGCAGACTTCAAACTAATGAAATCAGTCCATGTCAAGCAGTCTTATCAGCTTTTCCTTTCATTTGAAAATACTTCATCAATGATGCTGCATTGAGATTAATCAATAACATATATACACAATATTTTAGCGAGTGTTGCTGAATCAATGAACGATACAAATTTTGATGACGATCCTGATTTAATTCCGAGTGAGGAAGGAGGAGAAATACTGGATGAAGAAGAGGAAGATGAAGATTTAGCGAGTCTCAGAGCTAATTTGGAAAATGCTCTTCAAATTGGTGAGATATTGTATTTTTAGAGCGAATATTTATTCACATATTTTGATTTTTTCGACCTAAACAGGCCTGTGTTCAAGCAAATACGGATATGTGAGATGTTATCATTTTTATAAAGACTGGAATCTTCAGAATTAGGTATTGCCTAGGTTAGGGGTATGCAACTTGCGACCCGCAGGTTTATTTATGGGGATCGCTGGACTTCTGGCTGTGGTTCACGTTAAGTGCTGGTCCTAGTCAGTTGTAACTTCCTCCACCATCAAGTCCATGCTCATGTCTGTGAGCAAACAAATAACTGGTTAACTATTACCATATTAGACTTGAACTGATAACTAACAGGCCGAGAGGTGCAGGGGCGTAGCCCAAGGGAGGGTGTTGAGTGTCTGAACCACAACACCCCCCATCCCTTTAATGTGAAAAAATCATTTCCTTCGTATCATACATGGCAATTATGCATGGCTTGAAACGCTTTTCAGACTTTTGGAAATCCAAGACATTTCGAGTCGTACCTATATTAGAGGTAAGATCGGGCTAAAAAATTCCAGCCCGACCCGACTCCGGCCCGTGGGTATTAAAACCCGACCCGACCCGAGCCCGACTAATTAACTGGATTTGCAGGCCCGACCCGGGCCCGTGGGTAATAAAACCCGACCCGAGCCCGACTAATTAACTGGATTTGCAGGCCCGACCCGGGTCCGTGGGTATTAAAACCCGACCCGAGCCCGACTAATTAACTGAATTTGTAGGCCCGACCCGGGCCCGTGGGTAATAAAACCCGACCCTAGCCCGACTAATTAACTGGATTTGTAGGCCCGACCCGAGCCCGACTAATTAAATGGATTTGCAGGCCCGACCCGACTAACTAACTGGCTTTGCAGGCCCGACAAATTAACTGGATTCGCAGGCCCGAAATGTCATATTTTATTTAGGAGTTCTTCGAATTGTCATTGCAAGAGGTTAGTACAGTATAGGGGATTGCTGGGACATATTTCTTCTTTTGTGAGCTCTATAATCTGCACATTCATTTGACAATGCGGGGCTAATGGATAGAGGGTAGCTAAAGGTTTTACTGGGCAAACTAAGAAATTCTCTAGCGACACACTTATTATCATCAAGAGGCATTCAAAAACGTGTCAAATGTCCCGCTGCACTCCACTTGTGCGGCACATTAAATTAAACGAGGTATGCCGTTAAAAAGCAATGAATAAGCATCATCATCCAAAGAACTACGAAACTTCAAATTTCGAAATTTAATATTTATGAAATCGGAACCACTCTGAAAAATAGTTTCTAATAAACATATATTTACTTATAAAAAATCCAGCGATATATAAGCCCGACCCGAACGTAAAGATTGTCATTTCAGGCCCGACTCGAACGCAATGATTGACATTTCAGGCCCGACCCGAACCTAATGATTGACAAATCAGGCCCGACCCGACCCGAACGCAATGATTGACAAATCAGGCCCGACCCGACCCGAACGCAATGCTTGATATTTCAGGCCCGACCCGAAATATCGGGTCGGGCTGGGGCTCGGGCTCCAGATCTTAGCTCTAACCTATATTAGCAGTCCAATTTGGAAATTCCAGTACCCACCCTTGGAAATATCTGACTATCCACCCTTGGAAATATCTGACTATGCCCCTCAAGGAGGCAGGATTCACCATATAATTAAGTTGTCTCCCCTCACCCCCAGGATTAATATGGAGTTCGTATCTCATCCTAATTTGAAAAATCCTGTGCTGAAATAGTCAAAACAACAATATTCACAGATGCACTGGGTCAGAGAGTATTAACTGTATGTTTTTTTGATTATGATTTGAATATGACGCTGTTATTACATATTATAATTAAGTCAAATCTTTGTTTAGATCCTGTATCTAGCGATGAAAATAAAAGTGACTGTAGTGAAGGATGGGAATCAGGTATATATTTTCACTCTAACATGATATTTGAATATAATGAAAAAAAAATTTTAGTGTTTTTTTATTGCAATTTGTTTTTCCTTTCTGCTTGATTAGAATGATGTTGGTGCTCAAATGTGACGATTAGTTGATTATTTTAAATTGTTTGAATGTGGGGTATTGAAATGGTTGAAAATTGAAATCGCAAGTTTGAGTGAAGTGGGTCGAGTCTCACTTTAAAAAGTCTGTCCAAAGTCAAAAAGTTTAATAGAAATCCAAGTCTTTTCATCTGACCTGTGTCAAGAACTGTTTTAGATTAAAATTCCAAAAATCTATTCAACATAGTCACTTTCAATTTTGTGTTAGTTAAAACTTACGGTAGGGACGTTCAGCTAATTACTACAAAACGAATGCCGTGGGCCTACAACAGCCATTGTTATGACATAAGCTTATGAACGACTTTTTGTTTTATTCTTTAAAAGTGAAGTCGTTCAATGGCCACAAAAAATTGGTTTGCTGGCCGAGGTGTGCCGACCACTGTTCTACAACCTGAGCCGAGACTAGCCATTTACTAAATTGATAAGTCCTCGTGAAATGCAAGACAAGTATTTTTAACTCCTACTTTTGTTAAAACACTGGATTAATCCTGCGTATAACACAGGGTATTAAAATATCTCAAGTTTTCACTGATGACTCGATATTGAATAAAAAGAAGATTACGGTATGTCCAATGATCAAAAGAATGCTCAGTATTTTGACAAGCCCATCTCTTCAGAAATCTTCAAATTTGCCGGATTCAAATAGTGAAATGATTACTTTATTTTTTTCAGATGATGATGACGTTAGTTCAGATGGAGGTGGATCAGATATTTCAGATACTGAAAGTGTTTTTTCAAGATTGGAAGCAAATCGTGAAGAATTAGAAGCTGAACTTGGATTTGAAGAATTTATGAAAGCTTATAAATATATTCAGGTATTTGATAGGTGCTCCCGTAGTATGTGCAACAAGATGGCGAACACCTGGACATAGTATGTGTACCAGGTTAGGGTTAGGCCATAATTTCATTCCAATTTTCCTTATTTTAGTTCTATTACAAGTTCGGGGACTAGCCAAGTGACTCGAAAGTATTTGTACCCCTAACCTGATACACATACTACTTTCCGGTGTCCGCCATCTTGTTGTACACACTACTAGAGTACCATTTGATATTAAGTGTCTTAGGAGATATTTATCGAGTGTTTCCAAAGTGCTTTTCTATTTGTACCAGGAATTAAGGTCCAATTAAAGATACTGTGATAGAAGTTTTATTGATTTTGATTGTAAAGTGATTAGATTTAGGAGGTTGAGGTTCTGAATCCCCTTTTGAATTTTTTGTGAAGACTAAAAAGTCTCTTAAATATTTTACGCATCAAAAAATCGTTATCCGCTGAAAAAGTCTGCTACATTAACGAGTGGCGTAATTTTAGAAGCCGTTGCACAGGAATTTTTTTTCCGGTTCTTGAGGCCACTTCCATTTAAAAATCCTGTCTATGCCCCCCGATTAGACATATTTTTTAGCAAGGTATTAGAGCAAACATGGGCAAGGAACAGCCCGCGAGCCAAATCCGGCCCGCTAGGTAATACAATCCTGATGCTGCCACAAGCAAACTGAAACCAAATTTTGATGTTTTAGTTAAAAATAGGAATCTGTTGGGATTGCGGTTAAATTTAGTTTTGGCACGAGGTTTATTGTTTTCCACTGTTGCTTTTGTAACCCTGTGAACATTAGTCATAAAATGTAACTGTAATTTCATACTTACATGGCCCGCCTGTCTAGGTGGGAAAAATTTTTTGTTCCTGATCCAAAAACCGTGTCCACTTCTGTATTAGAGGCTAACAATTATCCATTTTGTGTTCAACTGTACGTATGTGGAACAGTGGTAACTTGAACCTCTTTGAGACAGGATAGTGTTTTGTTCTTAACAAATCTAATGATTGGAATTCATTCAGGCTATTCATGAAGATGAAAATGATGAAATGAAAGATTGTGAACGGAGAATACGAGCAATACTCGGTGATAAACATGACAGATTATATCCCAGAATATTACAGCTTGTAATGGCTGATGGTGCATATTGTGAAGGTGAATTAACATTTTTTTTTGCAAAGTAATAATGTTTTTTATATATTGTGCACAGAAGATACAAATTTGTTGCCGCTTCTCATTGAGCAGTCATAATCTTTGTTTTGGGGTTTACCTAAATCCGATTGCTCACTTATGCATTCAAACTCTTTTCTTTACTTTCAGATAACAATTGATGACATTCCTACTTGGAAATTCCATTGGGAACATTGGATTCAAAACCCTATTTTTTACCAAAGTTTTTAAATTTATATATACCTAATATTTCCATTCCTATAGTTCTCAGTATGTAAGGTGCTAACTACAAACACAACGCACTGTAAACATACAAGTGCTGAATGCAATTGCAAGTAGAAGTGCACGGTGCATATTATTGATTAATTTATTGATGGAGGGTAAAAGTTATTTATGTCTTTGTGTAGAAAGTTGAATAGTCTTATTGTGGGCATTAACACTATGTCATTCTCTGTTAACATAGTCCTAAATTAGCCTGAAATAGGCGACGAAAGATCGGAATCAACTCAATATATTTCAAATATCACAACAACATGTTATGTGATATCCGCGATTTTTGACATTTGGTGATTTCATCAATGTTTGACATATGTGTTGGATCTTTTGTTTCATCTCTTGATCTGAAGGTGACATCAAAAAAAAGAAACCATTAATTTCTTAATTTCTGTAATCTAGAATACATAAAAGTAATGTTTTCTCTAGAATAAGTTCCAGATGATGTGGATTCTGTTTTTTTCCTTTGTTTATTTACGATTAAGGTTCTTCTGTATTGAAATTTTCATCTGCAAAGATAGGGTTTGGAAAAACTATCTTCTCTTAATTTTTCTGACATTGATTATCATATGAGTAAATACATTACAGCTTCTTCATCTTCAATTCAATAAAGTTTTCTTTGGCTTGGGAAGCCTGACCTTATTTCAGACAATTATCTGTGAACGCCTGTCCTTTCCCAAAGCATAAATCAAATCAGACTGCTTGTTGGAAGCTTTGAGAAACTATTGCTTCATCAGTATTTATTTGAAGACAGTTTTAAATCCTGGCATTTATGTCGGTCATTAAGTGCTACACACTGCGACAGCCTGTGAGGCTATATGTCAATTACAGAGACCTTCTATGTGAGGGGCGTGCAACTGGCCCACGTGCCACAGCCCGGTCCGCCAAGGTATTTAGTGTGGCCCTTGTCAACACTCAGATTTTCTATTATCCAGCATAAAATCTTATTCAGACTGTTATGTTCAAATAGGCTCTTCTCACATGGGTAACAATACATAATGTTTTTGCTCTTGTCGCTGTGTTAAATCTTCCACCGTTTTGTCCGCTTCATCTATTACTGTAAGGCCAAGCGATAGCTGTGTTCCGCATTTTTGTGTGGCGCAGCTAGATGTCTGAAGTTGGTTGTATGGCACACTGACCAAAAATGTTACACACCCCTGATCTACCAATAGTGGACTCATTATACTTTGACATTAGCTGTGTAATTTGTATTATGATCATTTTCGGACGAATTTCTGCCAAATACACCTTAGTAATAATTCCATAGCTAAATTTATATAGTTAAGTTTATGCAGATTTGCAATTGTACAGTCAAACTGTGTGTAGTAGTTTGACCTTAATAGTGATGTTTTGCTACATGTTTCTAGTTGAATAAAACCAAAATTATGTTTATGTGAAATGACTTGAGTTTCCTATTGCTGCCTCAAGTTAATTATGTATGGGTTGGTCATCAGCAAGGATATAAATTTATAATTACTGGTAAGTATACTTGCTATTTCATGGAAAGAGATTGTTATTCTTGTGGCAACAGGCACATAATACGTTGCTTGCACAAATGTTAAAGAGATGCTTTAGTAGTCCATGTAAAGGTTTCGCTCATCAGTATTTTATAGCTTTTGGCAAAATGCTCCTTGACCTTTTCAAGAGGAAAAAAACTTGCTCGAAATAGCTATTGATAAAATGACCTGTAAGGTTGATCCGCTTTACGTTTCGTTTTATAATAATTTGATATGGAATGGTTTTTATCTCATATGAGCGGCTACTTAATTGAGGAAGAACATACACGACCCGGAACTCAAATACATCGCTCCAATACATATGTGTATGTACCAAAAAGGGATGTTTTAATATCGCATCGAAATTCTTAACTAGATATGTACTGATCTTCATGGGAGTAAAAGTACATAACATAGGCGTCAATTAGTTAAAACAGTTCATTATAAGGACTCTGCAAATATGACAAATCGCTTCAACAACAAAATAATACAAACTGAGAACTTGAATCTTGGTTTATTAACACGTCAATGGAAATGTAGAAGTATCATAATAATAAGTTACAGTACATAATCATTGTTACTCTTGAGTAAATGCAGAAAAGGAACAAACAAATGACAATAATAACCCAATTGGAGAACTGTGATAACAGTGAAAAGAGCGAAATAATATCCTGTTCAAAACACATTCAAGTGGTATGTGCAACTTGAATTGCCAATTTCTAATCAGAGACAATTCTCTGTCTTGATTTGCTCAATTTAAAGGAAGTCAGGTGACGTAATACAAGGAAGTTTCATAAGACGGTGATTCACGTTACCCATTTCAATGAGCTGCCATAATAAACTGGGTGGTATGTAATCTTTAAGAAGACATTTTTCTCAAAAAACGGTATCGCAATTTGAGAGCTATTTACCACAGAGTCTAGATATAAATTATATATATATATTGGTTGGATATAATTAGCCATTGATTGATTAGTCTGCTATCTATTTCTAATCAATTGAAAAGATTGTCATCAAATTAAGCAGAGTGCTATTGTAATGAATCATCCAAGAGTCTAACAATAAGAAGGTATACATGAGATATTTCTTACAAATACAATCAACTTCGAAAGGATAAATTTAGATACACATATATTCCAAAAACTAAAAAAAAAAATGCTAAAATGGACACAGTGCAGTATTTAATTGGACATGCAATAAATATGGCAGTTTGAACGCACAATTTCATTTTTTTTTCAATGTACACCTCCATTAAAACTAAAAAAAATGCACACACATCTGAAAAACATTGACTAAAATTCATATTTTAGCCTTCGATCATTGCCTACTTTTGAAAGGTATCTGGAGTGCACCAGCCTGTCACACATTAATTATTGACGGCTCGTCGCGAAAGCGATCGTTTGTTTATATCGACTACATTAAGCTTATATCTTTACAGTATAAACATAAAACAGTATAATTTATAAGCTTATATGCTCATGACATTACATTTAATCTTCCAAAATGTTCGTTAATAAACAATGACATACACTTAAGACGACCAAAAACTAATTTGCATTTAATAAAGGAGAAACGTACTTGTGATAGCAAAAATAGATTTGTGATCTAGATACTCTCCTATATGCAGCAGCAAATGCTTAATTCATGAGCACGAGCTATACGCAATATCCATTCCACGTTCTGAACCTATCTACCTTGTCAATCAATAAATTGACGTTCTGTTTGGCAGAGAAGGAATGATGCCAATTTCAAACTTTTTATTATAGTGACTGCTTCCAATTTTGAACAGTCAAATCAAAGATATAATCTTTGAATTAGGCAAATTGGCAATCATGCCTCATGCATGCAAATTACCGGTACTATCTAGATTTGCAATTCAAATTTTGCTCTTTTCGGTTTTGATAGGCATTACCGTTAACAAATATCAGGACTGTATAATAACCAAGCATTTATAATATGAATTTTCAAATTATAGTCACTACATATATATACTGCATGTAATGTCACGAAATATGTGTTTAGAATTATGATAAGATTTGTGAATGCAAATTTCCAGAAGTAAAAATGATCTGTCAGGTTTTTAAATACAAAAATTTCAGATATAATGAAAAATTAATTTCAGGTATTCCAATTAATATCTCATTAGAGTGAAGACTACTGCATAAGAATAAAGCATGCCCATCTTGAAGAGTCCATTTGAGGTAGATTAAGATGTGGGAAACAATGCTTGATAACAAATTTCGAGCGCATGCCAAATAAAAAAAAACTAGCCAATTTCTTTAACAAGTATGAATATAATAAGAATTTCATTTCTGATGAAAAAAATGTGCATTGATTGAATTACAAAATAAATGAAAACAAATTTTATGCTCTTAATTACCAAGCAAATATGCATTTGTGAGTTTCAAAAAAAGCTGTTAGAATTGGACATCCTTTACACTAATAAACACACAAACTCTTCACAATTACATCTGGAAAACTTTAGCTAAACAAATTTGAACCGCTAATAAAACATTAGGTAGTAAACTTTTGTTCAAACTCTTAATGAAGATAGTAATTTAAAACAATGAACAATATGCTGCTTGGTTACCATATAATTTCAAAATCATTGTTAGTAGTAAGAATTCTTCATAAAGCAAGCCAAATTTGTAACCACTTGTTTATAAGTGAAATCCTAAGATAGTTTTCTATTTTCTGACATTTTCGGCCCCCAATATTATAAAAATGAATCTTTGAAAATGACAATATAAAATTAGACGAATAATAATAAATTTGTTTGATTGTAACAATCGTGATAATGGAGATGGATATACCAAAATGTTCACAGTTATCTACTTTATTTTTTTTTTGTGGTGGAATATGACCATCAACTCTGCTCAGTCGAGGGATGAAACATTGCACAAGTGTAATGGTATATTTTTACTAAAAAATAACTAAAATTGTGAAGACATTGCAACTGGTTGCGTAATTTAGTGATTCGCTACACGTTCACACCCCTTGCACCAGTAATCTTATTTTCTTCGGGCGGTTAACCTGACGGTTATTCACTCAGATTCATTGCTAAGAGGGTTATAGTCAGCACGTGTACGTGTGAATCCAAATTTACGTGTTTCCAGTTTTTTTGGCTGCAGTAATGCCTTGTATTGTTCTGATTTGATAAAACGTGCGTAACTGTCACTCTTCATCAGTTGATAAATGTGTTCTTGTGCTTCTTCATAACAAAATCTATCTGGATTATCCATGTTTTTCAGCGTTGTTTCCATACATTTTGAATCGATATTGATTGCATATGGCGAATCAGGACACAAAAAATCGTTGTAAATACGTTCGACGGTCTGTCGAACATTTTTAACCGGTTCTAATTTAAGAGCTTGGCAAGCTCGCCAAAAATGAAGATTCTCTCCAGAGAATTCTTTATCTAAAAATTTCTTGAACTGATCTCTTCCCTGATCGTCACGTAGGAGCTCCCCGAATGAAAATTTCCATCGAGCAGCCATTTGAACAGGAATGTCTTTGCCATTGAAATTGACTTCCCAGAAATGCTCATCTTCAGTTACCCATGGGTTAGGGGGATCTATTTCCGAAATCTGGGGGTCGTATTCTGCCTGTTGCTCTTGATATGAAAGAAGGCTTTCACAAACCTTCGACATTTTCAGACAATGCCGTTCTAATTGCTGCCTTAATAAATCAATATCTTTATTAAGAGATTCAACTGTATCCTTCTTGGATACAGACTTATCACCACTATCGTTAGGTACTTTACGTGGTGATGAATTATTATACAGTGATTTTTTAGTTCTGTCTTTATACCAACATGATTTTTTTATATCAAGCTCTGTAGTGTTGACACACCCTGGTACAGGCCTATGTACATCCCAAAATGCCCGTTCCTGACTGTCAGAAATTTTTCGATGCATTTTGTCTCGTTTTCTATCTTGTTTTGCCTCGTGTTCAGCTCTAGTAAAAATTTGTTCCCAATTTTTAGAAAATGTTCGTTGAAGTCTTGCTAGGTTTTCCGCTTCGTAATCTGCCAGTTCCAATCTCGCCTTGTTCTGCATTGTTCTTTTGCATAGATAAACGGCGTAGTCTGTATTTTCTGGTTCCCAGCCATTTGAGGGCCAATAATAAGGAGACTGAAATCGATAGAAAGTTCCATCATTTTTTAATGTTATTACGTGATCATCAATAGGAAAGAAGTATCCATGTGCAGCGACTAATGAACCTAAATGTATAGCTTCATTTGATTCTGAAATATCCATTTGCAGCATCAGCCAATTGACAACGTCTTCACCGCTGAAAACATCTGGAATTTTGGTCAGAAAACTTTTAACAGTTTTGATAGGTACACCTGAACTACCATCTTGCATCCGAGAAATCAAATTTTCCATTTTTTGATAAAGAACCATATTGGGAGAGTCTTTGGCTTTCTGTTGTGGTTGGCCAGACTGATTAGGGCTCAGATGGCTCTTGTCAGTCATCGTGATTACATAAAGAAAGTCCTTGTTAATTTATTTATTACGCTATAAGATGACTACATAAATGCGACTGAAACAATAAAAGCTAAAATATTTCAATATGAGCGATATAGGAATTGCTCACATACTTTACTAACGTTGTCTTATATTATATTAAATATGATAACTGCAACAAATATACCCATAGATTCAGACAGATTCGAATCATTCAAGTAAAAAGATATGTCAAATATAGCGTTCAAAATTCGATCCACATATAAGCCATATGGAGTCGACTTATCGAACAATTCAACAATAAGCTACATCAAGCAATAATGTAAAAAATTTTCCCAGAAATATTATGACGTCGGGGATTTCTCTATGAATGAACAAAACAACATGTTGGCATGACCTAACTAAAATTAGGTGGTCTGACATTGATTAGGAATTTCCGGTATGGAAATAGGTAATTGAAAATAAATAGGAAATTTCAAATTAATTTTAGAGGTAGACTTTCTGTCGACAGGTATTAAACCTTCTTTCTCATTTGAAAATTGGTAACTTATTTTTCTAAATCAGTGGCCTTCAAGCAATTTGGTTGAATAGGAACACTTCAATATTATGTACCGTAATAGCCAATCTGAAATATCCTAACACCTGAATAATCATTAAATTGTCCAATAAAAGACAATTTAATTATCAGTATGCATACTGAATATAAACACTTCACAAAATGATGCTTTATAAACAGTATATAAAACTGACATGGGCAAACTATGTCCAGCTGGCCAATTCCAGCCCGTTGAGTGATTCAATCTGGCCCGCCTGGTGGTACCATAAATTTCTGCTTTTTGACCAATTCTGCATGCACTACATAGGCATGTTAGATTATGATCGTAGTCTGTGTCATTGTAGACTGACAATTTCCACAATCAAACTAAAACCAAATTTTGATGTTTTAGTTAAAAAAAAATTACTCAAGGAATTTGATGAGGTGCGATTAACTTAGTTTGGTACGAGGCTCATTGTTGTCCACTTTTGCTTTCGTAACACTGTAAATAAAATTATGTTCATAAAATGAGACTTTTTACGCTACACTTACATGGACCGCCAGTCTAGGTGGCAAAATTATTGGCGCCTGGTCCTAAAACCTTGCCCACCACTGATCTACTTCTTACGACAAACAACAAATATAAACATACTGGCTTGGTACTTATTTACAACATTATGTATCACCAATAGCATCCTGTAATAAAAATTACACTAAATTACATAAAACACATATTCAACTTGTGATGGAAAGACTATTCAATAGTTCAATCAACAGTGTCTTTACAGACAGCCATGAAAACAGCTTTTACGCTGGAATGCATTATAATTGAATTGTAGTTAATACAATTACAGTTTTGATATATAATTTTAGTAAGAAATTCCTAGCAATAACATAATATACCAAGTTACTGAAGGACCGCTACTCCTTCCCAAAATTTGAGAATGACAGTAGTAGTGGTAAAGCAATAAAGAAAAAATAAATAATATGATGTAATTATGTCCAATTTAGATTCCTAATTGTGATTGGAAGTATTAGCCTTGCAGTATTAAATTGAAACAGCGCACTACGCCTAAAGATTTAATGCAGCGACCAGAGCAAAAAACATTTTATATTTTTACCATGCAAGTGACTCCTAGTCCTTAAACACAAACTGTCAGATTGGGATTTTATGTCTGATGAGGAAAAATTTGAGTGTTTACAAGGAAGGGCCACACTGATTGGCTTGACGAGCCGGATTGTGGCTCGCAGATGCCTGTTGAACACCCCTGATTCAGATGTACCAATAACAAGAAATTCTAGAAAATATTTCTCATTCAACTTTTAATGACTACGTCTACTTTAATATAATTCAACCATATAAATGATTTCGTTCAATACTGATGTTCAATCTTGATACAGACATAAATATTTTCTGAGTAATCCCTACGCTAAATTTAGTTTTATAAATTTATAGCCCTGACACTATTTACAACAATCAATTCTACAAATGCTTTGGTTCCAAAGCGACTAAATAAAACAAACAAAAATCTATTTGCTATTTTTGACAATAAGCACCCATAGCTAATTTTCAAAATATTGCATTTCTAATTTTTGTAATTCAAATGTTTGGGTCTAAAAAAGTACACGCAAGTACACATACCTGCTTAATCGAAAATTGAGTAACGCGTCTGTCAGGAATTTTTTTCCAAGTCAGACAGATTTGGTTAAAATCATGAAAATTTCGCATCACATTTCTGTTTAGCGTTATTTGAGGAGTTATGGCATTTACTTCACCAGACCCAAACCTCAATGAGTAGATTAGTGGACTGGGAACTGATAAAAAAGTCACAGGTTGATTTGAGTTTTTAAATTTCGTTTATAAAGTAAATCGATGTGGTGACAGAATTGTTATCTGGGCTATTTTCAAAATATATATTTCGAGAAGTATTAAACATTTTTGCTATACATCTGCAATGCAAGTTTATACTTCACCGCAAGATGGTTTTTATACATGTAATAACCTAAACTGATTCACGAAAAAAGAAATCTATGTATGCAATGCGCCACGCCACCATCAGTGCAAACCATGTCACTGCTTGTACCTGAACATATTCACTCAACCTTCTCATCTAAGAAACAAATATGAAACATTAGAAAATCAAATCAGCCATAAAGTTTTTTGATTGACAATCATATACAGTAGGGCAAAGTTCTCCAATTCCCAAGATGTCCCAACATTCGGTTTAAGGAAACAAACACTCTATCTGTCTCTGAAACAAGGTACCGAGCTACTCCGATAAAGTATGTTTGATTTTCCCGCAAAAAATCATACACGAAACACAAACAATGAACACACAGAAGATTGGGAAAATCAGGAACCTGGCAAAACCCTTTTAAAGGTTTAATACATGTAAATATACATGCGCCAGTTTAAAGTTCGGTTTAAGGACAGTTTTAAAGGCCAGTTTAAAGTCGTCTGGCACAATCTGAAAATGGCAGATGCGTCGGATCGGGCCATGCTTGTCTCGATAATAGTTTAAATCAATAGTGACATGCGTCACATGACTAAAATTGTGTTATTTTGCTGAAAACTCTTGAATTTTACAGTAAAAATTTTTTTCTCCAGTAAATCAGATTATTTATTTAGACAAATCCAATGGTAACATTACCAGATTGCACTTTCTTTTAGTTTATAGCGCAGTGACAATTGGCCAATTTGTGCAGATATGGAAGTATTAGTGTATTGGAGGTATTTGCATTCACTGTTATTATTAATGTCTTTTAATCCGGAAGCTATTCTTGGAATCGGAAAACTGTGCAGAAATAGGCATGCTGCGCTTAAAACAGCAAAATCTCAGAAAGTGGAATTAAACATAAGTACGGTACTGTTTATTGGATAACATACTGGTAAATATTAACAAATAAAGTGGGACATACGGTACACAAATAACGTTCCCTAAATAAGGTTAGCAAATCTCTGAATCTCAATTACCGTATAACTAGTTACTTTATTTGGACCCCATAAAAGCTAATATTTAATACGGTATACTGGTATAGTAATAATAATATTGTTTATCTCGGTACCGGTACTGCTAAACTAGCATATAAAATTTCAGTATCCCAAATCGGAGAATTATTAGCAACTACTATACTTATTTATTGAATATTCGTGCGAAAATCCCAACGAAGAAATGATGAACGCCTATCCCAAACCACTGCCCAAGGCGTCCTATTCTAACCAGCCGCCCACAACAAACCCCTCGAAGAGCCAGTCAGAGGGCGTGACTGCCGGTAGCCTCGAACTAAATGTGCAGACTTCGGCAGTAGTGAGGTCAATCCATAAAATCCCGAACGACATCTCGTGATGGTCTATTTGGTCTGAATTTAATGCACGACGCATCCGCTCATTAAGAGAATCATTTTCAATATTCCCTCTCCTTCAAACACAAAAAAGAAGAGAAAATCGTAGCTTGCTATATGATTCAACTCCTCGCTTCCCTGAACAGACGCTAAATATTAAAGCACCAATTGCTATTTATCCTCTTAACAGTAATAAGCAAATCCCGAGATCTCAAACGGATAACACGTATAGGAATATTACAAAATTTCATATAAATATGATTTTATTTTTCTACGCTTTTCAACAAACCCCTTTCATCTGAAAATCAATAATGGAAGTCGGAGAACCGCTAAAGTATCAACAGCTAATAAATATACTGTAGCCTATTCTTTATTCATAATCACATTCTCGTCAGCTGCAGTTCGTCAAACCGTAAATATATACTATTACGGTCGAACTTTTGTTATGTATATTTCGGTCTATCATTCATTTTGGCATTTCTGCCAAAAAAGTCAAGAGTGTGCAGAGTAAACGAACAGTGCGAATATTGTCTTAAATAATGTTAAAAATGTAGAATGAGTGACATGGAAACACCAATGCGCACCAAAGTTATATACGACTAAGCTTTCCCTGCCCTCCCGTGAATTTTATATTCTCGTGTTCAGATATGCTGTTTGTAACCCGTGATGTGTTTGTTCACTTGTGTGAACGTATGTGGATGAGTACAAGCGCTGATTACAGTACTTGTTATAAACCTTTCTCTGGGTTTTGCCTATTCTCTTATCTTCTCGTCCCCTTTCGAATTGACGTCACGCTGTCGGAGGGAACGTGACATGCCAATATGTGAACATATGTGAAGGGTGCCAAACATTAGCCGCCTTGCATTACCACGAGAAAATGATTGTATTTTGCCAAGAACATCATCGTTGACCGATTCACTGGGACTGGTTCCGCATACAATCAGACGTCTCATTCTCTCTGCATGACTTTTGAAAAATTCAAAAAAGTACAACCATGCTTTCTGCTACCCATAGGAACTTCCTTAACATTGACTAATTGTCAAATGTGATGTAACAATTGAAACATTTGCACGCTCATATCCTTTTCAGTCGGACCAAAGAGAATACAGTATATACTCATTGATCGGACAGATTTTCATTTTAACTATATATTTATGGACGTTGGCAATTTCAGACACAAAATGAAAATGGAAGAACCTCGGCAAATTCACTTGTGAAATAGTCCATCAACTTCAAAATCTTGTGTATATAACAACAAAAAAATTATTTTAAAATCCAATTTCAATTTTCAAAATCCAATGGCCTACATTCAGTTTGTATGTTGACACCAAGTACCTAAAATTGGTGATGACCCCAACAGCAATTTTTTGGCCCTGAACACTCAACAATTTGAAATAAAGGTTTTCAGTATTTATTAGCGGAGATAAATATTCCAATGGAACATATAGTTTAACTTATAAAGCCCGTGATGATAATATAAACACATGTTCCATTATTACTGTATAATAAGAAGCCAGTTCACATTATCAAGTTTATCCTGTCTCCCCATGTCTCAGATGGAAGACGTTTTCATTTCTCATCGCCTTTGATTCTTTTTTTTATCAATGCCGTATATGTTAGCATCTAAAGTTTGACTGATTCTAATAACTTTTTCATTGTTGTTTAATGAAATATCCAAGACTTGGCTTTTTTCATGATAATAGATTTTCAAGGTTTTCCTTTTATTCCTAAATCAAATATGTTTTGTATTGAACCATTTTTTCTTACTTTAATTATCACATGTTTGAACATGTTCCACTGATTTGTCATTAGCTGTTAATTTACTACTGTACTTGCTAGATCAGGGTGGTCCAAGGTTGTCAGCCTCGCGGGCCACACAATTATTTTTGTATTGTTTGCGGGCCACAATAGTGCCAAGAATTGGTGAACAGTGCAATACAAAACAAACACTTTCATTGTCCAAACACATTGATTGGTATTTGTCATTTATCAAGCTAAAACATGCAAAAACTACCAAAAAACTCACTAAGGCGTACAAAAATCTCACTATATCCACATTTAGTGTAAGATTAACTCATAACTGAGAAAGGGGAAAATCCCGTTTTAGATTGTCTGTTTGAATTGGTCAGCTTTATTTTCATTGATATTTAGTTATCAAGCATAGCCAACCAAGGCTAATATATTTCTTATTCGATTTTAGTTTTCTATGAAGCCTGTTTTGTTAGCATATATTTCCGACGAAAAATAAAAGACCATTTAACAATTTAGACTAGCCAAGCACATTATTCAACTTCGCCAGTTGATATCTTGCTTGTTGATATCTTGCAGATTAGTTAATGTTACGGGAGAAGCCAAGGAAGTCGATGCTCTGAAAAACATCTATTATTTTTTGAAAAATACCAACATGCCGCGGAACGCGAAGTAACGATTTGCCGATCAAAAATCTACGCTTGACCGCACTCTGAAGCACGTGAGTAATTTTTTGGCCGACTTTTTTTTGTTTATGACGCGGTCTCACGTCTCGAGTGCCATCATTTGCCTGCCACGTCTCATTTATTTCGATACGAATATGGCAGAAAATGAGAATTCGGATACTATTTCAGTCACGGAAACGTGAGTACAAACACTCATTATTTTTTTTAATTATTGCGTTAGTGTTTCCATTGAAACAACATGAGTACATGACTGTTACTAAGTGATATTTTGATTTGGAATCTACTTTGCTCATCGGCGCCATTTTGAATACTGACACCTTGCCACTAACTTCAATAGGCGTCTCGCTTTGCAAAAATGCTTTGCTGCATTGACGATGTGTGATTGTATTTTATTGGAGTGTGTTTTTGGTGTCGTTTGGTCCAACTCCAGCTGGACCAGCAATAGAAAGGAAATATTAAATACTAAATCCTTATTAATAATAAGGATGGTGATGTGTAATGTGATGAACTTTATTGTATTCCTGTATAAACACATATTAAAAAAAAGAAGGGGGGGGGATTGAAATACATAACTTACTTAGTTTAGAAAGTCATAGGAATAATGGAAAATATGTTAATTTAATAAAATATATTATACCAATGTTTTTAATGTGAATTCTTTTGAAAATATGTAGCCTAAACCATATCCTTGTTTTGACCATACCCTATATTACAGACTGAGTCATGTTGAAACTGTTCCAGTAGTTACCGAAACGCAATCTGCTACACTGTCATCAGAACAACCAAACACAACAGATGTTACAATAGATGACCAAGTGAAATCTGAAATTACAGTTTTGCCAGGAGTCAGGTGATAAGTGAATGTTTTTTTTCAGACAGATGTCTGCAAATTTTTTGTGTATCATTTATTTTTAAATGTTGTATAAAGTATGATGTGAAATTCGTCAAATAAAAATAATCGAATACTTTGATTAAATGGCAGAAATTTCGGATACATTTCTTGAATTTTCAACATTGGATATACTTTTCTAAACAATCTGCCCATTGCTTCGTTGTACTGCAAAAGTTGCTCATGTGGCGTAGATGTTTTGTGCAACGGCCAATTACTGATTTGTGACATGTTTTCTAATATCGTAATCGTGCGGTTGTATTGAATTTGTTGTGGATCAAATAAAACTGAATATGCTATCAATTTTGCACACTGTGGTTGAAGAATATTTTTATGGAAATATGGGAAAAATATAATTATTTGTTCATTTTTAAGACACTCATTCTTCAATGAAGGTTTCAGAAATTTTCAACTCAAGGAGAATGTGATTTTTTTAACTTGTCCATGGGTTCCATTTCATTTGAACCCACGTACATTTGAACCCACGACAATTGCACCTGCATACTATTGCACCTATAGACTTTTTTTTTACGGATATTTGAACCCCTACTAACCCTGACCCATGGATTTTAGCACCCTCGTATAGATTGAAACCTATATTCTCTGATCTAAATTTTTTCTGATAAAAATGTACTATTGTACAGGAGTTATATTGAAGAGGCGAATCCGGATAGATCATGTCATTTTACACACGATTTCGAAGAAATTCTTGAAGCATCTGATAAAGAAGATTTAAGTTGCATATATTGCACTGACTATGTATCTTGTGACATAGATCATTTTAAGAATCATTTGTTGAGAGTACATTACACATTTGCATACAATTATATGCTTGATGAACAGAATGGTAAGAATTTGAATTTTTTTCAACATTATAATATGTATCGTGTTCCATTTTCCTGTAGATATTGTTTTTTAACATATTATCTATTGAGGCACAGACCGTATATTACGTAGTCATTTCGTTTTAAAGTTGCGTTAAGTAAAGTGGATTTTTTTGTATAGTTGATTATAAATACATATTCTCAGCCCAATCTTTATCATTTTATGTTGACAATTTATATGACAATTTTTGAAATAAGACGACAGATAGGTTATCTTGACCTCTCTCATAAGTAAACAGTTTCATTTTCTGTTACAACTTGGTTGCATATTTTCTTGTATTGTTGGTTTCCATTTAGTTTTGAAGTGTGAACTTATTCCCTTGCATGTATAAGTTATTATCATAAATTTCATGAAAATAAGATACTTCATCTTTGTAGAAAAATGTTTGATAGTGGTGACTACAAATGAAACCCTCATCAAATGTTCCTATTTATAGCAGTCATTTTCACATTTCCTATTATGTTCAAGTAATTCACATGCATGTAAATGTCTATTTTTTGTTAACTCTTGGTAATAAATTTGATTTTCTTTTTTAGTCTGTGTCTTGCCATGTAGAAGGGCTTGTATAACTCGACCTAAGCAAGGTAATCGAAGTCATTTTCATTGTCCATCTTGTGGCAGAACATATGGAAGAAAGCCTGCTCTCGCACATCATGTTGAATCTTGGAAAGGTCAGTTGTTTGTGTGAATTTTTAACCAAATTTAGATGGTGGATTTGGTATACGTTTGGTATCGTTCAAAGGATGTAAGGATTTAGTAAGTCTGCGACCCCGGGAATTGAAGAAGTTTAAATTATGTATTTTTTCAAGGGGCACTATTCAACACAGTTGTGTTATTCTTTTATATCCACCCTTGTGCCATTCAGTTCAATTTTATTCACTAAAGTATTGTTATTTCATTGATATCCATTCAATTAATACATACCACAATATATGGTAAATTAATAGTTTAGTGGTTGTACTTATGTGTATTGCATTTTTAATTTATCTACTTTGTTTATTTGCAGGTAACTGTTTTCCCTTGGGACAACTGCAGAGAGGTTTGTGTTTTTTGTTCTAACAAAATCAATATGCAATTATTACGGTACTTGTTGTTTTAAGGGCTGCTATAACATTTTTATTTAAGATTCATGTTTATGTGGAAATTTTTTTCTAAAAATATCTTGCAGTGAAGCATTGGAGAGTTACAGCTCTTTGTCCATTTAATATTGCAACAAAGGCAATTCAAGTGAAAATGAAATTTTAAGGCTTTGTCGGTTTTCGATATGTCCATCACATATTCATACAAAGTCTGCTTTAAGTCTGTCGGTTTTCGATATGTTCATCACATATTCATACAAAGTCTGCTTTCCTTGATAACAATTTAGAATTTGTTTGTATTTTGAAAATCAGAAAAACCACTCCGAGGGCATCAGCGTTTACGAAACAAGATACACTCATCCAGTGATATTATGGGTATAAAAAATGGAAGATTTAGTCTAGATCCTCCCAGATCTGCTGCCAGCTTCATAGAGGAACATTTGCAAAATGCCAGGTAACACCAAAGCAAGTATTTTTGCACTTTTTATGAAACTTTTGACCCCATGGCATTCCACAACTACATAAATATATTACAGTGGAAGTGATGTTGAAATTCAATATGGAGACTCGTCACCTGAAACTTCTTATACAGTAGTGGTGGAGAATGGAGGTTGGTCTTCTACTTGCCAGATAGAGTTCTTTATTAACAATATTTCTTTTTAACAATATTTTTTTTTTACTTTTTTTAAGAGTTGGAGGAAGAGAGTGTGACATCGCCTGCGAAACGAAGCAGATTATCAGATAACTCTATTCTTGACATGTCTGTATGTCATTTTATTTGTTTAACACCTGTGTATCAATAATTGATCTTTTTAAATAGATATACGGTAATCTGATTTAATATTCATACCTGATTCTATCGAAGCTCAGAACATTAAATTATAATATTGAAACTGAACCACCCCCAGTACTAGAGAACTATCACTGAATGAGTAATATTTTTCATTTTAACACAGAGTGAACCAAGACTTCATGGTGCTGTGAAAATGTATTCAATGTCTGCGAAGAAAAACCTTTCAGATGCTGATGATGAGGCTGCAACCTATTTTGGGAAAACTGTGTCATCAAGAATTCGGGGTTTAAGTGGAAAGAAACGTGCGGAAGCAATGCAGAAAATAATGCAATTGCTTTTTGAAATTGAATATGCAGACATTTAACATTTTTGAAGATCGGAAATGTAGTAGATAATATGGTACAGTAGAGCGTTGAAGACACTAAGGTGGTGCTCATATGAAGAGATGCCTGCTTGCCATTGTGCGGCTGTCTATTGCTGTGATAACTGAAGTGATATTTTTTGATTAGTTGTTGACAATGTTTTTTTATAATGTGATATTAATTAGATATTAGTGTTGACTTTGAACTCTATTTTAAAAAAATAACACTGAACTCTGTTTTTTTTGAGAAAAATTACGATTTACATATGAGTATATTTGTTATGAAAAATAAAAAAAAATTATCAAGTAGCGCGAGTTTGGGAAGTCTATGCTTTCAAATAGGTAATAATTGCAACACTTTGTATTTCTGAGATACCTCATGAGAGTGTGGTACTGGCATTCACCGCTTGTTGCCCCTTGGTGTATCAATGTTCATTCATTGAGATAGATCGGAAAGAGTTAGGATTTTGGGGATATTGATCAGCGGAATAAATTTGACACAGGGGCAAATGTACATTGGTGCAAACGTCTGTATGTTGAAAGGTCCATTGTTCCAAGTGGGTGTAATCTATATACCAGTGCTATAATCTCTAGGTTCAAAAATGCCCTGGGTACAGATGGAAAGATCATGAAACCATTAAATGGGTAGAACAGATCAAATTTAAAAAAAAAAACAGTTTTTACAGCTCGTTAATCAACATACAGTAAATGATAAATAATTAAACATGAATGATTAAGAATGTCCTTAACAAAAAACAATACATATTACTGGGTTTAAAACGCGCAGACAAAATTATCTTGGATGATTAAGAAATAGAACGGTCACCTGTTTTTCGTCCACAAAGGAAATGTGAAAGCACATCCAATCTTTCACAAACCCTTTCAGGTCCGAAAAGAAACGTACTTATATCAAAAGAGCTAGAATTACATGAACTAACTAATACCCACTGAGAAAACTGGCTAGTTTTGAGGCTTTTTCTATCAAATATCGGTGAGAAAACTGGAAATGTTAAATAAACCTATCTTATCTAAACAAGTCTGGAGAAAACAAAATGATTTTGTAGAACCGTAGTGGAACAAGTATCAAATGCAATTTGATGACCTTTGAACCGTGAGAATTTAATCTTTTTGTTTCCGGAAATAAGGCTCCGCCGTTGTCATGTCAAAGTGACGCTCAGGTCGTTTCAGTGTTTTGCTTTTCCCATCTGATGAAGTTTGACACCGGTAATTGGTGAAAGTCACCTAAGTCTGTTTGACGAGAAATCGTTGATGAAAATGAGTAGACCATGATCAATATTATATTTTTGAGTGGAATACTTTGAAAAGTGGAATACTGGAGTAGTGAAATCCTGAACTTTTAGCAAATACAAGAGCAAATTCAGAAATTATCTGACGTACCAAAGCAGCAAAGCGAGGATCAGAAGGCGGGCAGGTAGGTAATGCAAATCAAATTTGTTGAATTTAAACAACCAATACACACATTATAATTTTTGTCAAGGATTATATTTTCATTGAAACTGTCGGGGACGAAAATAAATAAATATAATTTATGTATGTGCAGATGTATGGCACAACCTCTTTTACTTAGATGCCTGCATTACATTGTTATGAAAAGGTTTACTGTCACTAGTGACATCGAGGTCTTTTATAAGCTTTATTTGATTAAAGAATTGATTTTTGTTGATATAACTCATTAACCTAATAAACATACATACATATTTACTTGCGTCTAAAACGTGTAACAAATTTTCAATTTGTCACTTTGAAATTATCGAATATAACCCCAATCCCTAACTGTAAACCTTAATTTTCGACATAGCACCTATAATTTTCCATCGGGATAAAACAATGTTTTCCTATTCAAGGGACAATGAAATCATCAATATCTTTAATGTAAACTAGGTCAATTCATAAAACTTTACAAACAATGTTGAATGAAAATTTCGGATTCCAAATTTGGTTGATTCCAATTGTAATGATGTGAAACTGTAATAAATTTGACAGACTTTCTTTCTGTCTTAGAGATATGGATTTGATGTTTACAACTGTTTACAACTAAAACTAGGGAAACCTATACGTCTTTTTAGAAAAACATGATTCATTATGAAGTATCATGCAGTGAAAAAGTGAAAAATCTTGAAAAATCACTGTCGAAGGAGCTGAAAGAATTGAAAGATGAAATTGAAGAAACTGATATGCTGTATGGAAACTGGTCAAAACCTATCAGGTTGATAGTTTTTTTTTTTATTAAAATATTTTTACATAAAAAACAGTAGTCGAGAAGCGCCTAGCTTTTATAAAAATCCTAATTAACAGGGGTCGCAACGGGTAAGCTTAAAAGTTTGGGAAGCCCCGATCTATATTATGAGACAAATAAACATACAAGCATATATACAGTATAATAGGCTTAAGAATATGGCTCCAGTCGACTTAACTATGATTGAGATATGACAGTTCATTCATAATTCAAAGTACTGTTTGTGCGATAAATAGTTTCTGATTTGTATTTTTCAAAAGCTCTGTTCTTCTACCAAAGAGTGTTGATTATTACAAAGAGGAAAGAAGAATAACTATTGCGAAAATATTGGATGTAAGTGATGCTCCATCTTTGAAAAACCAAGGGCAGATCATGATTAAAGAACTTGAAGCTTCATTAAAATCTGATATTACAAATGAAAGCCTTCCTCTCCTTCTTCACCAGGTGAATAATTGGACCTCCAGAAGTATGCGCACCAAGATGGCGCACAACCTGAACACAGTATGTGTGTGTACTGGTTAGGATCCAGGTTGTGCGACATCTTGGTACGCATACTTTTGGAGCACCCAATAATTTATATATTTTTAAATGCTAATTGGTAATAACCTTCGAGATTTGTTTAATGGACTGAGCGAGTGGGTGTCGTGTCTTGGCCTTAGTGATTTGAACCTTTGAACTGATGATATTATCATTGCTGGACGAAATTCTCAGTCCCAAAGACCACTACAGCATATTAAGTTGGTTTATGATGCTAAACCAAAACTTGTCTTGTCCGATAAAAAAATTTAATTCTTACATATTAAACACTGCTTACACAAAGCCTAGTTTGAGGTGGAAATGTGGAATGGAAGGCTGCCAAAACGATATTGCTGTGCAAGAATCTAAACTCAAAGTTATTAGATTCAGCAATTTTGCTGTACATTGGGATATTACATGTGTGCATGCATTATTATGACATCCCTTCCAATTATTTTCAACATTCCAATGACTTTGCATATTTATGATGAACGAACTTAATTCATATATTCGCATTTACCTTGGATATTATGGTAGTTTTCTGTGATATTTAAATATACTGTGCTATTTTTGTATTTGCCTATGTTTGATTTGCTGTTTTATTTTATATGGACCACGATGATCTGGTGTAATGAACGAATCAAATTAATAGAGTTTTTCACTCACAATAAAATTAATTTTGAGTAATGGTTGATTGGAATACCTTTGGAATTAGAATTTGATATTTTCTGTCATATCATATTATCGCATTCAATGATCATCATTGGCCGTTTTGATTCACGTTCGGAAAATAATGATGAAAATAATTATCTTAACCCCATGATTGTTAAGAACGTATTAAGAAGGACAAGTAAAGAAAGATCGTCATTTATTTTTGCGAATATTTTTTCTGTTCACTGCAAAGACTTTAGGTAGTTAAACAATATGCATAAAATTGTTATTTTATTTCAATGGAGTCAAATTTTTAACTAAGCAATTCCATGCAATAGAAGTTTATATTAATTAACTTTTGATATTGATAATCAAAGAATGGAATTACACTTTATAAATTTTTTTCATCAGTTCTTCTTGGATCGTATGCAATCACTTGTACAATGCAAACACCTTCATTTACTGAGATGGAGACGGTTCTGTGAACATACAGCTGCAATCGAACGATTGTATTCTGATTATTGTAAAAGATTAGAAGCCATTGATTTAGAATATAAAGATGCAAAACACAGAGCATTCAGACTATCATCTGCTCATACTTCATTCATTAATAAAGATACCAAAGCGATGGACAGGTGAAATGATATCAATTTAAAATGTCACTAAGCAACTAAATTATTATGTGGACAAAAACTCTATTTTGCCAGTATAGAAAGTTTTTTGTGGCTAACCTCATTGTGTCTTTTAATTATAATTTTTACTTACAAACAAAATTGTGTTTTTTATTAGATTATCATGATTTTCACCACACTCGAAAATGCTTCCCTATTCCTTATTTTTTAAAAAACCAATTAGCATTAATAAGCTGTACCATTGTTCTGATTGACTATTATTGGATTCTAAAAACCAATTTATATCAGGCCGAGCGAAGCCGAAATGGAAAATCTTTTTTTTTTAAATGCATGTGAAATATTTATGTGTAGCTCACCTTAGCAGTTCGAGATGAACCTCATCGGATGACACTGCTCGCTTCGGCAAGCCAAGAAATACTTTGCGCATCGAAGTTACTTGGTACTTCAACAAAAATTGTTTTAAATTGTCTCATCTCCTTTGTAAGAGCTATAGTCAGACTTGTTGAATCTTCAATGTGAAGAAATCCCATTAATTCAATGAGTAGCTTTTATATATCCGTGTTCACTAGTAGCCTCGTTTGGAGTGAAGTCGGAAATAGGATGTAAAAAAGGTATTTTTTCATATTTTAGTGTTGAAAGTGAAGATATTGCGATATATTTACGATGGTTAATAACTAATCTTCGATGTGTCAAAAATTTTTCTTCATATTTGAGAATATTACAATGGATTCCTGTAATTCATCGGAATACAATTGATCCAGCTCTCGGAACTCAAGTGAAGCCCATCAATGATGTACGTATCATAACTTTATGAATGGTCACCACTGACTGACTGTTGACTGTTGATTTTTTGAAAAGCAATCATTCAATGATAATTTCCTTCAATTGTGAGCAGTGCTCAAATATGGAAACGAATGTTAAATGAATAATATGGCCACCGGAACATTATCAAAATTCAAACTAAATAAATTTTACAAAATGTTGTATAAAATGTTAGAAGAATTGTGCAGAATGTCATAACAAGATGTTCGTTTGTGAAATTGAAAATCCTGAGGAATTTGGCGTGGATTATCAAGTCAAGTAGGACTCGAAGATATTTTAAATTATAAATTAAAGTAGGCCCTAGTAGAGTTTTAGCTTCCCATCTTTAATTGCTAAAAATCTTAAGCTGATTTGTCCATTGGTTATGAAGATAGGTGATTTTTCCGAAATAACAAACAACCCCAACAAGAACAAAATCTAAGTTGGCAGAACAATCCATAGGTATTGTTTGTGTCTGATAAAGTACTAGGAGAACACTAGACATTAAAATATCATGATATTTCTTGTCCATATTTGGGATCGAGACGTCTATATCACTATCGTTGACTTGTTTGAATTTGGGCCTAAAATGCAACTTTATACAATTCATGTATAATATAGTGAATTGATTGCTTTATCCCATAAAAATTAATAATTGACCCAAACCAAATATATATCTTAAGGGGAAAAAGCTGATAAAACAAATAGACTCGATAAAACAATTAGTGAAAGAAGTTGTAAACCATCAACATTTACATTAAAGCTTTCTATGAGTGCCAGTAGTCTAGCATTCCTTTTGGATATAATATTCCCACACTGGTTTCAAATGTGCAAATAAAAATTTTGTTATTGATAGGGCCTGAAGCATTAATTGTTGAGTCAATTTTCAGTCTCAACTTTGACTTAGGAACAAAAACTTTTTAAGTTCTGATTGTTTTCTTGGCTTTCCCATATATTACACAATGCTTTGTTTTAGAGTTTTAAGTGTCTTCAAGTTTAGTCATGTTGAAACTGAACAATTGAGTATGTATTTGTTTTGTTGTTTGAAGTGTACTCGACCCTTCTATTTGAAAAATCGTCTCAACTTTTCTTAAAAAGTAGTTTGTTAAATTCTGTTAGTCTTTAAAAGAAAGTGAAACTACTCACTTTTTTAGATTTTGATTTATTTATATTTCTGAACACAATTCATTAAAACTATTACTTTTTTATTGTAAATTTTTTTTTTTCATTGCATTATATCATTTTTATTGATAATATGTCACCTAACACGCGATTTGAAAACCTGGATAAGCTACCTTTTATCAGAAAAATCCAAATTTGAGTAATCACCCTTTCTATTCGGTTGCTTATACATAGCCTTGTATAGAGAGAATGCATTCTATGATAATACAAACAAATTATTTCTTTTTCATAAAAAAGCCAGTTGTCACTTGTAAAATTTTTGAATCATATTCTCAATTAATCTATTCGATATATTATTGATATAATTAATGTTGAAACTCTTTATGCATAGGTCGAAGTTGTGGAAAGTGTGGGGATTGACACATCACAGACATGGAGACATATGGTTGGAACATCATCAGAATATTCTGTTCCATCATCAGCTTCTCATCCTTTACAAACTAGATCTGGAGGCTTTGATAAAGCTTTTACTGGTAATTTATATTTTGAAATGGTTGTTCCATGATAAATTCCATCAAGTATTTGCTTGGTTCATTGTAGTGAGTTTTTTAAATCTAGAGATGTAGTCATTAAGGCCCACTTTTCGCTGTCAGCAATGTGTTTGGTTTTCGAGTGAAATCTGTAAACAATTTTCTTTTCTTTCTCCCATAGGTTCCAGTCCCTTTATTACACAACTTAGTGTAAAATAGGCGAACAAAATTAGTTACCTCCATATTGGTACACATACTTCTGGAGCGCCAAAATTTATAATCATAAGACGTGAGTTCGAAAAGTTTGCAATTTTGCCATGGTCTGATATAATTACTTCTCTGAAACACTTATTCTAATAATATTTATCTTTCATTCAAAAAACAGGATTCATATCTAACGAGCTTACTCAAGGAATTCCTCCTCACTCACTTGAGTTATCCGATTTCCGAGATCATCTTGAGGAATTGGCAAGCGAATATGGAATCACAATTCGGACTGATCTTGCAACTTCAGCCGACGAAATGGAATTATTTGGTGCGGTAAATCGACAATTCAAACGATTATTCAATACACAAGAGGAATGCCGAACTTTTTATCAGTATGATTGTGCACCTGAAGGTATGTAATTTCTTTGTTTTAAGCAAGTTTATTAATGACAGTGCACGGCATGTATGTTTATTAAGAAATAGCCGCCAACATTTTGTAGGACTATAATTTTTTTGCAATTATATATCAATTTCCCCTTACCTGAAATTTTATTTCTTCTTATGAATCTGCATTTAAACTATATATAATTTTAGGAAATGAACATTGGGGTATTGATTCACCTGTTCATTGCTTGCTTAAACCTTGTAATTGGACTTCACACATCAATATTGTTCCACATATGAATGCACTGCAAGAAAAACAATTGAAAAGATTGAAACAAGCAAATAGTATGGATGAACTACTTGCGTCTCAAAGCAGGTTAACAAATTCAGTTTTTTGAGTGTTGCAATCTGTTAAATAGGTATCTTTATTAACGAACGTTTTGGAACAGGAACAGACTAGCTGTACAAATACTGACAGGTTCAATTGTTGTGACATCAATCATTGATGCTTTTTACAAGATACAAACAGTTTACCAATATTATGACAATATCACAATAATTTCTATTTATGTGCAGAAAAGCTTTTTAATATTATAAATAGTAATACGATGATACCTCGTCCTCGGTAGTCGAACAACTTGATATGAGAGTCGAACAAAAAATGTTAGTCAAAAATGTTGTGTTACTCAAACAAAAATTCGGTGCTTGATTACCCGAACTGGCCGGCGAGTGAGATGACGTCACCCGAACCGCACAAAGGTCAAAACAAATTGTTCCACTTGTAGCACACTTGTCCCAATTGTATGAATTCCATCTCATATGCTTACTTTAGCCCTTTAACCCAACTCAGAAAAGTGGAAGAAGTGGAACGTGCGGGACGAGTCTGGGAAATTGTAACAAATTGTATGAGTGTGGGCATGTGTGGTAAAGTGGGACAGATGTGCTAAATAGGGAAGAAGTGTGGGGCGTGGCATTATTAAACATTTAGCAGATTTTGAACCATAACAAAAGTTCCTTATCTGTTGATATCGAAAAGTATGTCTAAATATAGCAATATATGTGAGATCAATAGATAAAGTTTTTTACTCTATATTGATTTCATATTTTCCCCTATAGTATCCGATAATATTGGATCATTTCCATTTATAATTTTTTAAATATTCAGGTTCCTCAATGTCACAGATTTTAGTCTTGTGACAGAATCATTGAAACGTCATGCTTATGCAGTCAGAGAACCTCCCACTGCTAAAGCACTCAGAGTTACCACTCACAGGTAGGTTACTGGAAAATTTCAGTGAATTTACAATTTTATAGAAGTATTTTTTAGTTGATTTTTAGTTTCAAACTATATACAGGTGCAAACTTAATATGAATAAATTTTGAGATATTTCTAATAAAATAAATAATGACTGAAATATATTATTATAGAAAAACAACCTACATGGATATGACCATACAATTTTGAGAAAAATTTTAATGCAAAATTTAAATTAAATAATTTCAGGAAAGGAGCTTTAAGGAGTAGCAACTTATGGTTGCAAATTTATAACAATCCTGAATTATACAAAGATTCAGATGGAGTAGGAGGTGGAGGAGGGGATGCCGATGACACTACTGGAGATGGTGATACTAGTGCTCGTGGTTATTCGAGGTATATCGCAAATACTGAAAATGGATATTTTGATATATTTATAGTTAATTCAACACCTTAATACTATTGAAATTATTCGCTCTATACCAGTGGTTCCCAAACTTTTCAGAGTTGCGACCCACTGTTTATTACCACAGCTTATGGCGACCCATTTAAATTTGTTATAACATAACACAGAACACAGCAATGGCTAATTATCGTAAAACTACCGTGTTTCCTCGAAAATAAGACCTGGCCTGAAAATAAGACCTAATTTGAATTTTAAAATTGATTTTAATTAAACCCTTCCCTTAAAATGAATTTAAAATGTGTGGGAGAGGAATAGTTAAATGACCTGAAGTAAGGTGAAGATCGCGCTATTCAAGATTGTGTGATATCACAATTATGATATTTGTCACTTGATTTTTGTATAGGAAATACAATAATAACAATGGATGTCGGTTTTTATATAATTAATGTTCATTAAAAAATCTCGTGATTTTCTACAATGTCATTTTATTTTTGATAAATGAACTCAAAAGACCTCTTCCAAAAAAAACCATAGTGTCATTCTTCAAAAGAAAATAAATCTAAATCCTGTCTAAATTTCAAGGAAACACGGTAGGAAGGGCTGTACAGTGTACAAAACTGCTATGCGTAGAAAAGCCGCATTTTTTAGCAGCAAATTTTTGTTCATTGAGAAGATCGTAAAGAGGGAAACTTTGCCAGATTATAATTTAAATTCAGTTTAATTTATTTTGTTTTTTTGAAGATTTACGTATTCGAGTCGCCACCGATCCTAATAACCAATATAATTATTCAAAGCTTTCTACATCTTTTCACGACCCACTAAGATTCCTTTTGCGACCCATAGTTTGGGAACCGCTGCTCTATACAATATGGTTCGATTGAAATCCTGATGGAAGTTCGCCAATATAAAGAAGATAATTTTTTTTAAAGAAATTTGCTACACAATTCTGTTGGGGCAAATGACCGAAATGTTGTAAAATATTAAGTATTACCAGGGTTTTTAGGCTTTATTAGTTTGAAAATATTGCGACTTTTTTCTTATTATATAGTTGCAAACCTCATAAACATGCTCAACTTCTTTGCCTATCCAGTTTAAAGGGTGTTGATACGACTATATAATAACGTATAATAATTATGTTCTATGAATAGTTTCGGTGCCATTCCTTTTTTTGTGAGCGAATGTCGTTTTGAGTTTTCGATTTATTAATTTATTTTCCTATACTAAAAATAAAAGTTGACCCCAAAATTCTATAAAACATATACAAAACAAAATAAATGACAAAACTCAAATCAGAACCACAAAAAATAATTCACACTCCACAAGACTGCCAAGTATGTTTTTTATCACCTCTTGAATATTGTGGGATTTTTTTCTTGAAGATTTGGTTCGAGTGATAAAAAAGTATTGAAGTGAACAGTTTAATTTCAAATTAAAATATATCAATGATACCACTAGTATTTTTGTCAACAGTTTGATAATATTTATATTTCAACTTATTTGCTTGTTTATTCAGTGGCACGACCCGCAAAGAAAGTTATGATTATTCGAACACAATGCAGATGCTTGGATTAGATGAAGGAGAAGATACCGCTAGTAATGATCCCACTGTGTTACAGGTTAAAAAGAAAATTTGTTTTCCATTCTACTGTGAACAACCAGTTATCTGGAAAACTCATTTTAAATTTGTAAATAAATACATGACTAAATAACTCAATGTAATTTGGCACATTTTCAAGGTTTGTACACAATTTATTTTTTTCATTCCAGTATTCCAGATTTTAGATATTTTTTCCAACAAACCTCCATTCCCACATTTTTATTTCCAGGGGGCATATCTTTCTTTTCTTCATTTGAGACATTTGAAAATGAGAGATGTAAGAAGACAATGTCTTTCTCTTCTTAACTATTTCCGAAGCATTGAACGTACAATAACGATATATGATGGAGGACTTTCTCTTGAAGATGAATCTGCAGCGCCAAGAGAAGAAATGAATAAATCTATGAAAGGCAAAACCAAACAAGGTGAAATATCAATCAATATTTTCTTTTTTGTCAAATTGGTTGTGATCGAAACTATAAGTCTATAATTCAGGAGAAAAATCATCAAAATTCAAGAGACATGCATCGCAGAAAACTCAAACCAATAAATCCCATGGTGGAAGGGGAAAAACAAGAGGTCTCGGATCACATCATTATATCAATAACACACCTGTTGATTACAAGGTAAATCTATGTTAGAGATTACGAACACAAACTAATTTGATGTTCATTATAATGTTGTTTTTATTTGCCTATGGAATATTAAACCCTGATTTTACACAGTTTCAAAGCATTCATAGTACGATAATTCCTCAAAAGATTTCAATTTGCACACCCAGCCTGGGTAATCAACAGCGCAAAGGAAAGTGTGTTCCTAATGTTTAGCGTGATGTTTAATTTATAAAGCCAATTGCGCAATGTTTCATTTATACTAATCATTTTTTCTCATAAATCAAGGTCGAAGAAAATGAATTCATGGAATTTGGTGGAATTTCAAATCATGATGATTTTTATCAGTTGGAAGAAGAAGCAGATGATGATGAAAACAACGATAGTGATAAAAGAATGCATATTACAGCGTCTGTTAAAAGAGGACATTATGTTCCTCATGTTCAAGTCAGTTCTTTATTATCCAGTGTGAGGCATCATTCTAAGCGCTAGGAATCCGCTCAGTACCATACCTCTGATTACCCTGCGTTCGCAGGTTTGAATTCCACGCAGGGATAATTATGTGTTAGAGCAGAGAGGATTGCTGGACTCCTCGCTGCCGCAGGGTGGTTCACAAAACTGCTGGTCGGTTATGGCTTTCTCCACAATTAAGTCCATGCATCTGAAGTCCATTCATGGAATAGACTGGTAACCGGATGAGAGGCCCTGGTTCGTCATATGGTTAAGCCGTCTTTAGGCTTTCCTCTGCATTAGAGATAAATATGTAGGTCCTATCCTATCCAATAATGGCAAAATACCCTAGCTCTTGCATGTCATTAATTTTACACTGATTATTTTGCCTTTGCCTATACTGTAATGTTAATAGTTTTAGCAGGTTGTGAGTAATTTATGACAATAATGACAGTTGGCAATCAGTACATTTTACAATTAATTTCTCGATTATGCCCAAATTTACTTTATTAAATGAATAAATATAAATTTGAGTGGAATTGAATACATTAGTGAGTCCTATTTACTACTTGAACTAAATATTTTCCCATCTCAATCCAGGATCAGAGAGGCTACTATATAATATATGAACTTGGATTAAAAGATTTGAAGGCACTGGAAAAAAACTTGTTGCTTATTGCTTCTCATTATATTGAAAAAGACAAAGGTTATCTATTTTACAAACTGTTTTTAATTCTGTACAGTTTTACTTTTATATTTATATATTTTAAATTGCCATGACAAGAAAATTTTGATTATATTTTTGAATTTTATCAAATATTAATTATATTAATTGAAGGAGGAATGGTCTCCATTGATTAATGTGAGGATATGTAGGCCTTGTAGAGTATGGAATACTGGGGAATAACTTACAATGGTTTGAAACATGATTTACCCATCATATTAAACTGTCGAGTAAAATTTGACATTAGTATAAGAATATTATTAACACACTTTATCAATTTTATTTTTGAACACAAAGTGGACCTGGGCATCGTTCTGCTATTTTTTTTTCAAGTATTATGAGACTCGATATTCCACCGAAAATTTTTCTGTTTTATACTAATTTAAATAAATCTCTTTTTATTTTCGACCACCTCTGTATTGCTCTTCTGACCATCCAATCTTTGCTAAGAGGCCTTATCATATCCTTGTGTCCATTAGCAACTTTTGTGTTCATATATTTAATCATTGCTATCTTAATAATTGTATTATAATAAGTAAAGCCTCTTCCTCAGATCACAGATCTTGTGTTCGCCAGTCTTCGAGTGAACGAGGACATCGATCTCATGAAGCAGCTGGTGAAGTTGATTTATCATCTTATGGGCATCGTGATGTAGATAGGTTCGCTGTTCTACTCGATGCATGGACATGTGAACTCAATTTTCTTCACAATAAGAGAGAGGTAAGGTAAAAAAATATAGAGAATATTGTAGAACCTTACTTTGTTGAATTTGACTACAAATATTGATAATATTGTGTCATTTATTACAATTCACAAATTTAAATAGTTAGGTACATGTTACTCCATTACCCTTAATATTGAAGATATTGTTCTTATCTTTTTGTCACTTGCCAAGAAAATTCTGGATTGCTGTTTGTACAGTACGATTGCTCAATATTTTTGTTTAAAAAGTAGATTTCATTCGAAAATATCTAATTTTTTTTTTCCATTTTTTTATTCTGAAGTTATTGGATTGTTTCCTGGAAGCTTACCACAACACATTTGATCCAAGGGAAAGAAGAGAACTTGCTCAGGTCAGTTTATGACAAAGCTTCTATTATGTGTCATATAAACTTTTTCTGAATAATATATTTCATTACATAAATCTTATACCATTCATAACAATCCTAACTTAATTGTTTAAGTCAGGAAACAAAGTCTTGATTTTCACTGATCAGTAATTTCACTTATATTTCAGGCCATAACTGATATCATGTACCAACGTCCCCGATATGACTTGAAACAAGATTACTTCATACAAGCATATCGCATGGAATGTGCCTGCCTCCGATTGAAGACAAGTCTAGTAAAACAGGTAAGAATGGGGCGAATTCGATTTGAATATTTAGAGTTTGTGATGGCATAATTGAAATGCAAAAAATTTACTTGCGGTCGTGCATGTTTCATTTCGGAAGGAAAAAGAAACACATTATATTGCACAAACACATACTTATATGATTTATCTATTACAAAGCACATAGATATTTGTCAGCATGTCGTGGGCAATACTCATAATTATAACATTAGTATTATTTACTGACAATTCATTTTGTCACTAATTTTATTTTTAGATATTTGAATTTACAATGTAATGTTACAATGTAAAACAATGGAATCTGATTAAATTTCTTCTTTATTTTTAGATTTTGACTAATCAGATTGAAGAGAACAGACATTATGTTACTTCTATCTCTCGTAATTCAGAAGGATTTGGATTACCTTTTCCTATTATACAAAAACAACCAATTGCTGTTAATCTTCCAAAGTATGTTGTCCATTGCATTAGAATTTTTCAGAAAATGTTTTTGAAAATTTGAGTAGTAAATTTTGATTAAATAATTATGATAAAAATTTATGGTTTTTGTCAATTTTATAAATAAAAGTTGATAATGATATATTTTATTATATTATGACAACACATAATATTCATGCCTAAAATGGTTATGGAATATTGATGTATTGTTATATATAATAGGCGAATTCTAACTCATTAATTGATTATTCTGCAATACAAAACTACTATCATACTAACATTTTAAATGTATCAACTCATGCGCCAAACAGATTTTCTTCTAAAAAAACTCTAGGCATTGAAATATTGTTGGTCAAAAGAAATACATCATTAAACTTGATAAGTATAAAGTTTCTACCCTTGTAATTTAATTTCATTTTCTATACCTTTTGTGTATCAATACAGACCAGCACTGACACATATCCACATGTTCGAATTTCATCCGTCACTTGGAGCAACTGCAAGCAGAATTCCAGAAGCATTGAGACATGCTCTGAGAGAACTAACACAGGTATATCTCATGCAATGTATTAGCTGTCATCCAATTAGAATCTTCTATAGCAGGGGCGTGCAACTTTTGATACAGGAGGGCAAGATAGAAACGAGAATATTGGTCAGAGACCGAAGACTTATCGATTGAAAGTTAGGGGATCCCCCAAAACAGCGCTCTTACTCCATAGTGACACCTTGTGTCCCATCACTTATTAATTAATAACTCGCTAATTATACGACATAATTCGCCCAAAATCAATAGGTTTCTGGTCCGAGATAAGATGAATGCACATGCAAAATCTGGAGCAGATTCAATCTCGCTTTCGTGAGATATCGCGTGCATCTAACAGACAAACAGACATACAGACATACATACAGACAGACAAATTCCTATCAACATACTTACCGATTAAAATCGATAAGTAATAACTGGGTGATACCGCGGGCCGCACCTTTATTTAACATAGGCTATTTAGTAGTTGCAGGCACAAAAATTTTGGGTATTGATCTTATGACATGCGCTGTTCGCACAAGCTAACTGATAAGGCATTGTAAAATTATATAGGCATAGATAATAAATTGGACCCAATATAGGTATCATTTTTGAAGCTATTACCCAAATCATAGTTTGCTATAAAATTCATTGTTTGGAAATTATTCCTTCTAGATGCACAAACCACAGAGTCAAATTGAAGTGATTAGTATTGAAAAGCAAATGCTGGAACTTGCAATACATGAATGGGAAGGAATGTCGGAACCCGGATCGAGTTATTCATCACAAGTTCAGAAAGATGTAAGTAGAAATTTCTGTTCGGTTAGTTGACTCAGAATTCAACAAAATGTATTTACTCACCTTATATTTTTATGCGTAATTATGTGCATTAGGTTATGTCCATCAATACACTCCAGTGCACCAACATCTTTCTTACTTAAAAATTGTTGTATTTAACACAATGCTTTTACTCACTAAACATTTTATGTGTAATATGTACATTTAGTGCATGTGCATTACAAGCATAAATGCGCTCCAATGTACCAACACCTTTTTCACATAATGGTATTAAACATGATTAATTTAATTTTCATGTGTAATAATGTGCATTAAGTGCATGTGCCTTACGAGCATCAAAGCACTTTCATGCACCAACATCTATGTTACTCAACTACCATGTCTTCTGTAAATAATTGTATTCAACACAGTTAATTTAATTTTTATGTGCAATACTGTACATTTGGTGCATGTGCAACAGTGGAAATCCATGCACCTACATCTATTTTACTCAACTACCTTGTCTTCTGTAAATAATTGTATTCAACACAATAAATTTAATTTTTATGTGCATTAGGTGCATGTGCATCAGCTTCATCAATGCACTTCAATGTACCAAAATCTTTTTATCCAACTTCCTTGTCTTTAAATAATCGTATTCAACACAATCAATTTAAATTTAATGTGTACTTATGTGTATTGGGGGCGTGTGCATCAATGCACTTCAATGTACCAACATCTTTTTACGTAACTTGTCTTCTCTAAATATTTGTATTCAACACAATGAATTTAATTTTTATTTGTAATCATTTGCATCAGGTACATGTGCATCAGCTGCATCAAGGCACTTCAATGTACCAATATCTTTTTACATACCTGCCTTTTCTTCTCTAAAATATCCTTGTATTCAACAAAATGCATTTAACTACCTAATAGGTGTATGTGTATTTGATGCATTTGCAATAATGCACCAAATCCTTCCCTTTTGGACTATTTGAATAAAAATGAATACTTTCGATTAATTAACTGTATTATAAGAAAAGTTAAATATAGTTAAAATTATAGGATTATTTGGTAAATTGCAAATAATAGAAAATTTAGATCTGGTAAATCAAACTTTTTAATATTATTCTATCATACAATTTACATTAAGTTTCGTCTTATTAACCTAGCATTCACTGAGTTTGTTTTAATGTATTGTTTCATATTCCACTATAAAGTCCTTTTCTCATATAATTTTCTCAACTTTAGTTGTTTTCTGATCAATACTGCGGTGATCCTATGTTGATAAAAGATGCAGTGGAATCATTACTGGCTGGGGAAGTTACTGAGACTGATACTAGAACCAATGCAGAGCGACAAAGAAGAGCTGCTGATGTTTGGAAATTATCTCTCGAAACTATGTTACTTCGACATAGATTGAAAGAAGCTGCATGGGAAACTGAAATCTTGTCCAGGTATAACTTTATGAAAATACTTTAAATTATTGAAAGGTTCATTTTAAAATAATCTACTCACCCATAATTATTTGTACGTATTGCTTATTTAATAATAGGGATGGCCACAATCGAAAAAATAACTTACTGTATTTCATAATACGCACCAATACATAATACACAGGTGTATTTTAGCATATTTAGTGTTCTTATCACCTTTGATTTTTTTTGAAGCTTGAGTTAATGAATTGTTTAGGACTCTTGCTACCTTTAGTAATGCTGACGCTAAATTTTTACAAATTTTTGTTTGATCGAGTTATGCTATGCTTCGGGTGTCTCCAAAATGTCTTGTCCCACTTGTACCACGTGTACCACTTGTACCATCTGTACCACTTGTCACACTTGTACCATGTGTCCCACTTGTACCACGTGTCCCACTCGTACCACGTGTCCCACTTGTCCCACTGTACCATGTGTCCCACTTATCCCACTTGTACCATGTGTCAAGTGGGAAACGTGGTACAAGTGGGACACGTGGTACAAGTGGAGCAAGTGGGACACGACATTTTGGAGACACCGCTATGCTTCTACCGAAACAAGCATGATAAAATTAAAAGACTTGTGAGTTGTGAGTGTGACTAATATAAATGAGAATTATTAGCCAGTTAAGCATAAAATATGGATTACTGTAATAATTTTTGATATATCCTATGTCAATGCATTACACGCACCCCTTATTCTGAAGACAAAATTTGACCTTGAAAGGGGGGATTATACGAAGAGAAATATGGTATTTCGAATACATTTAAATTAGTTTTCACAAATATGAAAAATTGAATTTTTTTGAATTGAGTCATTTTCAATAAAGAACACATAGAAGAAGTCAATGTGTTTTCAATGAGTTTGAATTTAAAAATGCAGATTGGGATAAGTAGCAATGTAATCGTTTTTTCTAATTTTCTCAGTTCTGGAAATTAAATAAAGTATATACTTAAAAAAATATTTACTGTAATAAATTACTCAAATGGTAACCTCTTAAATGAAACTCCTAAATTATCTCAAACAGAAATTTCAGATCATTTAAATATGCAATTATTCAATTTGTTTCGTACATCCCTATTTTTTTTAAAAATTACCTACCGTATTTATTCAATTATAACGCGCACTCGTGTATAACGCGCACCTTTAAATTTTGAATGAAAATTGGTATAAAATTCTTTTTTTTATTTTTTCTCTACTATCTTTGTTTTCTGGCGTAGTGCAAGTCCATGCCTTCTCATAAACTTTTGTGCCCAACCATTAGATGCTTTAAAGGTTGAATCTTTGCAAATCTTTTGTGCACGGAGTCTAATATGGAGCGAAGTGACGATGTACCCACTAGATCTTTGATCAACTATCCAATCATAAAGCTCCTTCTCCAACTCTGGGTACCGGGCTTGTCTCCCTCGCCGCCCTTTCCTTGTTTTGTTTATATCTTTTAGAACAACTTTCTGCTTTCTCCAATCTCTGACATTTGTCTCTGATACATTGAATTCTCTAGAAACTTTTCTATTTCCATGAGTTTCCGCATAATCAACAACCTCCAGTTTGAATGCAGCCCTATATGCAGAACGTTTTTGTCTTGCCATAATAGATAATGGGTAATATATAATGGGTATCTACAGTACAGTACGATAATGGCAAATAAATATTCTTAACGCAGCGGGAATGTCAAACGCACGCTGAGCTGTCGCATGTGCGTGTGCTTGCACGAAATCATCCTGCATTGGAATGTGCATGCGCGAGCGCACGCACGTTTCAGATGTTTAAAACCACATTTTCAATACCGCATTTCTCGGACCTCGTGTATAACGCGCAGCATTGATTTTTGCCTAAAATTCAGTTCAAAATTTTGCGCGTTATAATCGAATAAATACGGTAATTATTTTCAGAATATACAAACATTCTGCAGATGAGATGGGATTCGGAGAATATCATTTGTACTTGAGACTTTCACAATTTGAGGTTGCAAGTCCTAAATTAAAGGCAGATCCAGCACCTTCATCTGTATCTCGATTTATACCAGACGATTCAACTGCAGACAGGTAGGCAATTCAACTTGTTTAGCTTGGCCTGTTTTTTGCATGGAAAGCTTGCTAGGGAAGAAAAACTTGTCATCCTTTCGTTTATGAGTTAGCTTTTAATCAACCAATCGATAATTTTACTTATCGAAACATTATTTTGTGAGTTTTTCAGTGGCTTTACTTGATAACCGGTTTTGTTCACTTTAATTCATGTTAAATCGATTATTCTGTGTAATTTATTCCTCTAATCATTATGATACATTTGCTACGGAGAATATTAAACCTGACTTGATTTGGTTTTAGATTTGTTCCAAATCACCTCCTGCTGGCCGCAAATGAGATCGATGAAGTCCATTTACCAAAGTTTTCATTTTATGACAAAACTTCTTTCATGACAGTAAGCTGAAAATCTATTTTGCATATATTAGTTAGTTTCGTATATTAACAGTCTGTTGCTTCTTAAAGCACCACAATCTTTATGGCTCATCATTGCCTACCCAATTTATTACACTCTGGGTGAGGTATGGGTAGTGGCAAATGTATGTAAAATTGCCTATGGCAGCGGTTCACAAACTATGGGTCGCGACCCACTGGTGGGTCGCAAAAGGAATCTTAGTGGGTTGTGAAAAGATGTAGAAAGCCTTGATTAATTATACTGGTTATTAGGATCAATGGCAAAGCAAATTTAAAAACAAATTTCGAAATAAACTGCAACTTTTCAATTTTTTACGTCTAAAACTATCTGAATTGGAATGAATGTCAAGTCTATTATGGAAAATAAGCTCATCTTTCTCACTAGCTTCACTGAAAATTCAATTTGAGAAAATAAATTTGTTTCCTTCATCAATTTTTTATTAATTTATTAAAGTTAAATGGGTCGCCATAAGCTGTGGTAAAAAATAGTGGGTCCCAACTCTAAAAAGCTTGGGAACCACTGGCCTATGGCAAAGTTTAAAAATATGCCCCCTTGGTCGTTACCTCACAATTTTAACGGCTGTGGTGAAATAAAATACTTGTATGTAATTTTTCAAGTAAAAAAAAGTTCACATAATTCCTAATTTGATATTATCTCATTGAAAAATTTTATGATTAAGACTGTTCTCCCTTTATGCGCCCTGTCCAAATGACGCCCATGGCACTAGCCATGGCTGCCATACCCTAGATACGCCACTGGATACCAGGTTTGAACCCGAAATGTATAATCTGCGATGCCAACACAATGAAGTCCAATTAATCACCGGTAAATGCTGGATCAGTAATCGTAATCAGTAATCAGTTCTCGCATTTTTTACTTCCGTATAAATCATCTTCACATTCAACTTAAAAGTTTTAATTTAAAAAAATTGTTCATTAGTATCTTGCTTGAATTTTGCATAAATGTTTCTTTTTAATAATATATTTGATTGTCATTTCAGATTTTGATGGAAAACAATGTTCTGGAAAATCTGCGATTATCAGTCGCTTGTCAGATAACACATAAGAATTCATTAATTGTAGCAGTAACGCAGGCAACAACATGTATGCATTGGAAAGATCCAAAACCAGCTTCAATGGCTGATGGGAAGGTACGTGAGTAGATGAGGTTAAAGTTCATCGCATTTTTCTAAAGAAATACAAACTATTTTCTGACTTGTGTGGGTTATTTAAATGGACTTTTAAAGAATACAAAGCAGTGATTACACTTAGTTATTCTACCTGTTAGTTAGTATTCATTTTTTATAATAACCAATAATATAGTTGAGGCAACATTTGGAAACACAAAGGAGCAGTGTTGGGTGAAACACTAAGCCCCGAGTTATGTGTCAGTCACGAATCATTTGAGTCTTGGGGTGAATTTGATTTCGAAGTTGAGTTAATTACTTAGCTCAGTCTCACTGTCGGTGAGTTGCGGATGAGTCATTCTATTTAGATCACTCAAGTTACATTGAGTCATTGGTGGCTCGAGTGTAACTCGAGTTGAGTCCCCTCAGCAGAAGAGTAAATAACATTTTATAACAGATTTTGTTCACTCATAATATATTATATTGACAAGAGTGTAGCCAGGAATAGCAAGCGGATTTTTAATGTGGGTGTTCAGGGGTCTTCAAGGCATTTTAAGCTACGGAAAATTGTTATGTAGGATACAGAAGAATGCTTTTTTACATTTCGCGGGGGCAGGGGATATCCTGACCCCCAATGGCTACACCCCTGCAAATTAACAAAGTTATGCTGATTCTTCCAAATTATTCAATCATTTTAAAAAATTCAAGTAATGATATTCAATCCTCAATTTCGAAGTAAAGATAAAACGAAATAATTTCACTGCTCACCTTCTACAGAGAGGATCAATGCTCGATGCTTCAGATACTCGTAGCACACATAGTCTCTCATCAACTCATACTCAAGGTACCGCAAGATCAGGAGCTATTTCACCTGGTGGAACAACTGCCCGTGGTCATCATGGTACTCAGAAATATTCTAGTAAACTTACTTTTGGATTTGAAAAGCAAAAAAAGTGAGCAAGACTCTAATTCTATGATAATTTGAATTCATTTATGGGATTTTTATTTATTCTTAAGAAAAAAAGGCGGCGCTCCAGAAGTATGTGTACTAATATTGAGGTACCGGTAACTAATTTTGTTCGCCTACTTTACATCAAGTTGTGTAGAGGGATTGAATAGAACTAAAATAGGGAAAATCAGAATAAAATTATGGCCTAACCCTAACCTGGTTAATACACATACTACAGGAGTACCAAAAAGGCTTATAAACTTGCTGGATCACATGCTGAACTATTTGGTATGTACCAACCATTTTTAGATACACAATTTTTTTAGTTAATGATTTCATAACTTTCTGCGATATTGAAACGTTTTCAGCAATTTTACACCCAACCATCTTCTACAGATGTATAAAGACTCAAAATGATGTATAAAAATACAGTTGAAAAATCAAATACCTTTTTTGAAGGAGGCGGATTCTTATATTTACATCTGGGGGAAAAGAAAGTAATAAAATGGCATAATCATAAGGCGAACCATGTCCTGTTACCAGTCCATGTCAGATATGTGAATAGTTAACCGGGTATTTGTTTCAGATGCGTAAACATCAAAGTGGAATGAGTTATGAATTATCCAACAATGCCAATGGGTGCAGCAATCCTCTTGCACATTATTTTTCCCTGCACTGTTCAGCTCACGAAAGGTTTTCTACGGAGCGTTGGCAAGTGTATGTCTTCCTAGACTTCGCACAAGGCTACCTGTCAAGATCTGTCTATATTTTTTCATTATTCAACTTTTCATGGACGTTACTCTAGGCATGATATTGGTAATGAGAAACATGTAAGATTTACTGAAGAATCTTACGTTCCTAAGAAGAAAGATGTGTAAGTTGTTGCATTAGCATGAAACTGGTGCATGACAAACTTTACGAATATACGACAAATAATTCTTTTGTTTCCATGCGGATACACGCTGCGTTACTTATTTTTTGCAAGAAATTGCACTTTTGCAAGAATATTAGTTTCAATACTCAATAGAAATCATGATGGCATGGTGGTATTTTAAAATGCATGTTTAGAATCGAGCATATTTTTGTCTCGAACTTGATGATCGTTTTTTGGGGATGCCGACTTAATTTTGTACTTCGTTATTCTAATTCCTAATCCTTGAATTATTTCAGTTTTTAGTAAACGATTATAATTGCGATGAAGTCTGGAAATAAAATTTTATGTTTGATTGAATATATCAGGAAATTACATTTTTATTTAATAATTTGGTAAATTAATTCTCTACATTTTAATTTAATTCAAAATATAATATTCAAATCACTTGTGCTATAGAATTTTCAAAACTGTAGAAGTTTATTTAAGGTATATTTGAAATAATCAGTGAAAATTAATTAAATGTTGAATCATGCATGTAATGGATGTTTATCGATAAATGACCCAAGGATAATCCCTCCTATATTTAGTATTGCAAAGTTTTTTTTATTCTTATTTTTAGAGTGTTTTCGGGAGTGCTGGCTTATAGGCTCATAGTGTAACTGCCTGCCATTTAAAAATGAATTTATAGCTAATTTTAGCCTAATTTTTGATTACTGTAACTAAACTAAAATTCCTTAAAAGACAAAATGACCATTGACTTTTAATTTATACCTGAATTTATGAAATACAACTTGAAACTTATAAATTCTTAGCTAAACCACAAAAATTAGCTAGTGTTTACAACAGTGGTATAGAGTATTTTTGTCAATGGCCCATAAAATCAACTTCAGACACCTAGTTGGGCCACAGGAAAAATTTACAAGGAATTAAAAATTTCAAAAATTTTATTTATTCAACAGTGGGACGCTTGAAATTTCGAGTTCTTGCATAGTTTTTTAACATCCGCTTTGACAGAAGTTGTGGCAACCTTCAACTGACTGGTCAAATGTTCATCTGTCAGCTGACTTCTACTGCTTTTTAATGCAGTGACAACAGCGAAATAATCATCATGTAGTTTTGCCCATGTGAACACCTTTTAAACATAAACTGCCGGATTAGGATTTGATGCTTGTTTGGGAAAATTTTTAAGTGTTGACAAGGGCCACCCACACTTAATGGCTTGGCGGGCGGTATTGTGCCCTGTGGGCCGGGCCGCCTGTTGCACACCCCTGGTTTACAACCATATCTGAAAATTTGCCTGGGTGAAAGTCAAATTTAAAATCTAAAGGCAAGATCAGTGTCCCGCCAAAATAAATTTCATGATTCTTTAGATGATTTACATACATGTACAATTTTTTGGCCTTTATTTTAACAACAATAACCATTTATACAAATTTTACTGAGAAATTTTTGTGTGAAATAATGATTTAAACTTTTTTTTAGATCTCAAGAACCTTTTATATCGATACAAAAAGAGAAAGTGGGACCACGAGATGTCGTTGTAAATAATTTCATTAAAAAGAGAGAGACCGCAGCTTTAATGTTGAAAAAACCTGGCGAAATAGAAAAATTAAAACGTCAACTTATTACTGATTTTTGTAAAGAGTAAGTGATTAATACCAGATTGACTATGTGTGGGAAGAATATTGGTCGTTTGGTTGTGTTTGACGATTTATGTAATGGGCGTGATGGCCAGCGCACTGGTTCTCAACCAGTGGGCCATGGGCCACAGACCTGTTAAAGATTGTTAGTTTTGTTTGTGTCGCAATAGTTAAGTTTGATTGTAGCAGTAATAAATGATGCTGTTTTTTTGCTACTAAATGGTAATTTTGGTAAGTGGAAGTCCCTTCATATGAAAGTTAATTGGCCACAAAAATTTTTTGTGCAACGAAATTGGGCCACGATAGAAAAATGGTTGAGAATCACTGGCCTAGCTGGTAAGGTTTCAGATCCCATGTCCAACACCTCACCCAGAGTGTATGAAATTGGGTAGAAAATGCTGAATAGAAGATTTTTGTCCCTCCAGAAATATTGGCTTTTTAAATGTCATATAATATCAGTGGCTACTTTTACAGCCCCTTATTCAGATTGAAAAGTGTAGCATTTCAGTTCTCAAATAGTTCATCGTTATACACCCATCAAATTAAGCGAATTGTTTCAAAATGAATAGTTCAAGTCTTTTTTATCTATAATTCAGTATTTTATGTTGTCAGGTGTGAGCGAAACAGTAATGGAAAATACATTGGATACATTTATCATTTAATTACAATTGCACAATTTAAATAACTGATGATTATGAATGTATATTGGAGCCTACAGGCCAATGTTCAAATAGAATACAACTACCATACATTTTAATTCATTATTTTAGATATTCATTCAGAATGGGATTGCATGCTACCAGATGTCAGATAATTGCTTGCTATTCAAGTATTTTGTCTTTGTTAGAAGATTTTCCTGCCATGAGAGATTCATATTTTATGCTGGGTAGACCGAATGAAAAGAAAAGAAAATTGGTAAATTGATAAGATTATTTTATTTTATCGTGTAGTTCTGTTGTAATGATAAAATGTCACTGCAAGATGGGATAGAGTTTACATAATTATCCTGGGGGAGAGGAATGCTGATAATGCGACTTTATCCTATGGCGAACCATGGCCTCTCGTCCGGATACCAGTCTGTGTCGGATATGAAATTAGTTATTGATTTTCAGATGCTTAGATTTGATGACGGAGGAAGCCGTCACAGACCAATGGTTACGTGGACCACCCTATGGCAACGAGGAGTCTAGCAATCCTCTCGAACATAATTAATCGACTGGTAACCAGATGAGAGGCCTTGGTTTGCTTTATGGTTAAGTCGTCTTAACAATTTTCCTCTCGAGATAAATATGAAAATCCAATCCTATGTTGTTGCTTGTTACTATGCTCATTTGATTGAAAGAGCATGTCAACAACGCTTTTCTTTTTTTCTGTAAAATGTTATTCTAATTATTATTATTATTTTTCTTCTTGAAGTATTACATTTTTGTATTAAATATCATTTTTTCTGTCGATAGGATGATGCAGAAGGAATGACGCCAGATCCAAAAACTTTACATCGACGCCCTCGTCGTGTTTTATCGAGTGATGGAGACAATTTTCTCAATTTGTGGTTTATTCCCCATTTCACTGAAGTTCTTTTTGCATTTCGAAATAAGGAATATTCAGTAAGTTTATTATGTTAGTGTTAATAATGTGGGAACATCACATAATACTGGAAACCAATTTAACCATTAACATGTCGTTGAAAATAAACAGTCATCTGCTTTAATTTTATGTAGTATTGAGAATTGCCAATATTTGTATCTTTAATTTTCTTAAATATGGGTATGCACATTTTTGACTGTTTTAGTCAAGTCAGGAAGGTTTGTTTCGTGAAGATGATTCTGGTTGATGTCAGTCAATATATACAGTGATACCTTTGTAATCAAACATAATTTGTTCAGAATTGGTGTTTGACTAATATATTGTTTGAGTACCGAACCTATCTCGGTACCTGTACTTCTTCGTTTTGGCTTTTGTATATAGTTGAGCATCGCTTGTTTAATGGTCAAGAGGCAGCTGAGATGAGCGGTTTGGGTGACTTCATCTCACTCAGAGGAGCGCTCGAGTGTTCTAGCAATGACTTTCTGTTCGGATACCACATTTTCGATTAGAATTTCTTGATTCATCACCGAATTATTCGAGTATCGAGTTTATTTTTGAATATTGCTTTTTCAGACTCAACATAAAATATTATCCTGTTGGCTCACGATTGCATCGTCACTTCATGATATCATACAATGCCTTCATGCTCATTCAAGACTCGGTAGCTCGAGACAAGCTGTTGTGGAAAACACTGGATTTTCTGTAGCAGCAGATTGGGGAGGAATGGAGGGTAAGTGTTTATCATATAAACTAGTGCTTTCCAACCCATGGGTCATGACCCATAACTGGTTCGCCTGAAAATACTCTTGGGTCGCTAGTTTTTGCAACAAATTATATGGAAGTTATTGATTTTCATTTACAGTGACTTTTATTCATTATTTTCTTTTGGTATTGGAATGTTTCCCACTAGGAATTGTTTATGTGGGAAGTATCGAAGCGTGAAAACTTATTAACATCTATTTTGCCCGAGTAAAGCCATGCCATGATTTCAAATACTCGCTAATAGAAAACAAGCGTTTCCTCACTTTGAAGCAATTTTTTGAATGAATATTATGTATAAAAATGATTGTTTTCTATTTGGTAGTTTAATTTTCCCTCATAAAAGAACGTACATGTTGTTCAGTATTTGAGAATATCCTTGGGTCGCGAGTTTTACAAACTTTTTTTTTCAAAAAAAAATTGGGTTGCCTAAAAAGAGTTTTGAACCAAGTTGGCGGCCCATAAGCTAGGAATAAACAGCAGAGCTAGAAATAGTTGGAAGATAGTTGATAAGCATATTTAGTTTATTGCATATTATTCTAGATTGAACAAGAATCAATAATTATCTGTACTGAACTCAGATTAACCTCTGAATATGCATTTTTTTGGATTACAGGTGTTGGTGCTGAAATGATTGAAATTCAAAAACAAATAGAGCATCTGAGTAGTGGGACTGTATCTCATGCAAAAGATCCAATGATGGTTGCGGAATTTTTGAAACTTCGTAAAGATGTTATGTTCTTGGAATTTGATGCAGCTGTTCGACATTTTATCAGGTATTTCATTTTAAATTTTGAGATATAACATTCAATTTTATCATCTTTTTCGACTATCTATAGTAAGGTGATGAGATAATATAATCTTAGTTTCACACTGTAATGAATGTTGCGCAATTTTGAATTGAGATATAGATAAATGATACCTGTTTCAAGTGTCAATCATCAAGCTTCTTTCTAAATTTGAATATTAATATGAATATGTACTGATCAAGATAAATACGTACATCTGAAAAGAGGCATAACATCCACAATTTGGCAATGTGGTACATCGTGCTAAGCGTTAGAAATACACTCGTCACCGCTTCTCTGATAATCCTGCGTGGGTTTACAGGTTTGAATCCAGGTTTGGGATAGTTAAGTGTGAGAGGATTGCTGCTCGCTGCCGTAGTGTGGGTGGTTCACATAATCGATGGTCGATTACAGCTTTCTTCACCTTCAAGTCTATTTTCTGATTGCTAAGTTAGGCCGTAACAGCTAGCAGGCCGGCGGAGGCTGGAAAATTTGCGTTTTCTAGAGTCTTCACGGTTTAAAAAGCGCTTCGAGTTCCGGAAGATTTCTATATGTGATAAGGAAAATGCTTTTTTTACATTTCAAAAGAGGTGGTTTCGAGTTCCGACCCTCAACCCTCTGGTTACACCCATGATCTAATCTGGTTCAACCAATTATTGATAATTGGTTATTATAATTTTTTTCAAACAGTTTCTTTGTTCAAGTAATAAAGAATAAACAAGAATATCGATCAGAGACCAAAGACTTATCCATCGAAAGTTAGAGGATCCCCAAAACAGCGCTCTTACTCTATAGTGACACCCTGTGTCCCATCACTAATTAATTAATAAATCGCTAATTATACGACATAATCTGCCCAAAATCAATAGGCTTCTGGTCCGAGATAAGATGAATGCACATGCAAAATGTGGAGCAGATTCGATATCGCGTGCATCAAACAGACATACAGATAAATACCTATCAACATACTTACCGATTAAAATCGATAAGTAATAATTATTATTTTAAGATATCTCTTTTGTTATTTTAGAAAACTCTTTCTTGAAACTGAAAACAAAACGGCTTATCGTGCTGTAACAAGGGGAATGCATTTTGCACTTCCAGCGTTGTGTGATACAATACAACCGAGTATTTTTCAATTTTTTATTCATGTTCCTGAACCTCTTGATGGGGGAGATGAAACAGCAGAAAGATTATACCCATGGATCAGGTAATAAAATGTTTTCTAAACATAGATTAGCCGGAAATTCACAGTCTGGTCAAAGTGGTCAGGTTTGTTCCTTTTTTTAGTTTGTTATTGTAAAGAAGTGCAGTTTTATTAAGAAGAAACATTTGGGTATGGACATATTTACTGTAGAATATTACTATAAATATTTCTTGCAGGCAACTCAAGTAATGAGTTGCCTGCAATTTTTCTTGTATTGCTTATTTTTTTGACAAAAACCTAAAAGTTACCAATTTTTTTTTTTCAATAACTGGTATCCTTTATTTTATATTCGATATTGAAGTGTTGCTCAATAGTATTGAATACGTTGGAAGTGTGAATGCGTAAAAACTTGGCAGCATTTATTTTTCTAAGTCAAGTTGGGAACCACTGACATGCTGTGAATATTCATTCGCCTTGGTTTATATTAAAGAATAGTTCTCTTCCTTTTTTGCAAATACTTATGTGTTTTTCACTTGCAGCTTTGAAGGTTCCAATGGTGCCTTTCCATCAATGTATAGAATGCAATGGAGAGATATAGAAAATTGTATGCAATTATGTCTTGCATCCTTGGATGATATCGAAAGGCAAAGAGCTAATGGGGAAATATTAGGAACATCGATATTATATCAAGATGTTCTACAATCTGGAATCGAACAACTGAAGTCTTTGAATGGTGAGAGCGTTATATTCTATCTATTTTGGTGAAAGTTTTAAGGAAGATACTTGCCATATTTAATGTATAGTAAGCTGTCTTCTTTTTATTAAGTTTTGTGCGTTTCGTCCCAGGACAATTTTGTTAAATATATGAAAAATTAATTTTTAATTTATAGTACATGAGTCATTCTTTGGTCGGTCCGTGAGTTAGTTTTTATTGCCATTCACCTTCTGAGTGAATCCTTGTGACTTATCGCAAACTTGTCACACAGTCGTTGCTCAGTTTTGCAAAATATATTGTTTATAGTACAAATAAAATAATGTAGTATCCAAGGGAAATATGTTTCCTTTTTATTTTATTTCACATTATGAAATTATCACATAAAACTGATTTTAAAATTTCAATATGTTGTCCAGAACTTCCTGATGTACCTGTCAAAGGATTTATTGCTGCAAACCCAATTGGAAAATCTGCTGCTGGATCTCGACCCACCAGTGGAGTCGTGCAAGTAAGAAGTGTTGTGCAGAAATTACAATTCATATATCTATAGCATAAATCAGGGATGTGTAACCTTTACTACAGGAGGGCAGATACAAATACCTGGGTGAATTCTGGTTATTGATCTTATGCCACGCGTTGTTCGCTTCGCACAAGCTAGCTGTTAGGACATTGTAAGGTAATGGGCATAGATAATAAATTGGACCCAGGTATAGGCTTTTGCACTTCAAAGGGATTGGGATTCCTCGCATGTACTAGATTAAACTGATTTAAAAACTCGTTTCGCACACCATTCAAAATTGGCACTTCTCAGCGGGTCGCACAAGTTTTTTTTATTGGCCGCATTTGACTCGTGGGCCGCAGGTTGCACACCCCTGGTATAAATAATATTCATAATATACTTTGCAAATTGTTTAATGACATATTGACTAACTTCTACAATTTATCCATTCATTCAAGTTGCTTTTTGGCTTACCTTATGACTGTTCTCCCAATTCTTGACCCTATAAAAATTTCCTATTATACATGACCATTGTAAAATTTTTCATGTTCAATTTGGAAGTGTTGCAAACAAGCAAGTTATAGTGTGAAAATAAGTTAAATTTCAAACTTAAGATCTTCGTGACAATCAGTTAACAATCAGTTATTTCTAGTCTAGTCGAAGCCAGCATTTTTGAGCTCGTTGCTTGATTACTGTAACCCAACTGAAACTCTTACGAAGTCAAAATGACCACTGAATAATTAGATTCGCATCTAAATTTACGATACTTACCAAAATACTCTCAAATAGCAGACAATAAAAATGTGTCAATGTTTAAAAATAGTTGAAAATCATTTCGAGTGAAAAAGTACTTGAGGAATCAGAAAAATTTTCATTGGTATGTCACTGTTATGCTGTTGGATATTGTTACAGAGATGAATAAGGAAGTTGATGCTCAGGGAAACATCAAATATTGTGATGATCAGGCTGCAAGTCTTTTTTGTTTACTTCTAACCCCTTTCGTTTTAATGTTGCTGTAAATTTGCCTGAAATTCCAAATTTGAACTTTGGAATTAGCATAATGAAATCCCAGTCCAAATCTTTATTTCACTATATCCGATTCTGATTGATTGCTATCAACATTTTTTAAATTATAACAGAAACAGGTTCCCGAAGATGCAGGTACTGTGGAACGGTTGTCTGCAGAAAAAACAGATGATGATGATTCTAAAAAACCTTTATCAAAGATGGAACAGCCAATATCCTCATACAGGTAAGTGTATTCTAAGTTTATAATGTTTAACTTTCCAACAAATTATGTTAAATTCGAAAAAAATGAGGTAGAGACAGAGAATACTCTAATATAAAAAGACAGCTTGAATATGTGGACATGAATATTAAATGAACAAGTCGAGGAGCCTAATACAAGCCAAATGCTAATCAGTACCAGTAACTAGGTAGGCTGTGCACCGAGTTTACGAACGCAAACAAAACGAAGAACAGTCCTGATGGAGGGGGTCGTGCTTGACAAAGTAAAAACAGTGTTTCCATTAATTAAAATAAAACAGCAAAATTATTTGGTGAAATATCGGATCTCCTATGAAATTTTGAAAAAATTAGGGAAGTAAATTTCTTGCCACTACTTCTGTGTTTAGGTGCTGAAAATTGGAAATCAATTTGTCATTAATTATGGAAAAAAGTCCTTTTACTCCAAAAAGTTTTCACAACAACAGTAATGATTTAGCAAAACGATCCATATTGCCACTTTGTGTTCACTGATGTGAATTTTCTTTTTTGCTTTCAGATTAATTAAATCCTTCTTCTTATTATGCAAACAACTTGATATATTGAAAAATGATTGGGGAGCGAGAAAATTACATGTTGAAAAAATTGATTCCCCTGCACTTTTATAGTAAGTTTTTTATGTTAATTTTTTAGCTTTTTGTTGTGGTATAATAGGAAAAGGATGCATTTCACGTTTGCCAAGTATGAGTCACAGTTGGGCGGGGTAAAAATGATTGCAAATTGTTTCACTATGTAGCATTTAGTAAAACAAACATTGATACATGTCTATTATATTAAAATATAATTCAAGAAACCAGGTTTACTTGGATTCATTTTTGTTGTTAAAATGCAAGACTAATATGATGCATATTCAAAACTCGAAACTTTGTTTGTTTTGAGTCTTTCAGAATTAAATTAAAAATATTTGGTTGCAATATTATTTAGTTCACAATCGCAACTGAAGTTCGCTTTTATATTGAGTGTTTAAATATTAAAAATAAAGTACAAAACACCTTTACCCCTTTTTCAGTGAAATGAAACGAGTCTATGCTGCAGAAGTATATTTTCCAGTGCTACAAACCATTGCAAGAGACATGGGAATGTTAGATTATTATGATGATATTATATCTGAAGAAGAAATGGTTTCTCCACCGCCTGGTGCTCCTGAGATAACTATCAGAGCTAGACAGGTAGGATTTATTCGATGGCAATAATGTCAATGTGTCCACAATGAACTAATAGATTGTAATGAAAGGATTATTAGCCCCATAATTGTACCAGTGATAAAGCACAAAGGGTCCTGGAGTCTACATAATGATTATGAGGCGTGCATGTGCTTTGCATACGTAAAATGAAATCAAAATAGCGGAATGAAACAGCTAGCCATTGTGGTCGTCAGACTTTATAAACCAATGGGGTTATACAGAAGGGTTATTTGCAGGGTTTCACAACTTTCAGACAAATCATTAAAAGAGTGTAGAGTGATGTTCGTAGAGATTTTTCATATTTAATTTAGGTAACACAAACATCATTTTCTAGGTGATTCAACTTCTTGAAGCATTAGAATGCAGAATGTTGAAAGACGTTCGTCGCAGAGTATCTCAAGAAATGTCACTCGTACTTGCCGAGCGATCAAGAGAAGAAACTGCACTACCTACTGATCTGTGGAAGAAAGCATCAATCAGGGAAACCTTCACTGTTAACAGACCTAATATTGTAGAAGACTTTTTGCATGGGTTTGTTATTATATTTACTCATTTATCATAATATTATCATGGCAAAAATTGCCTATGGCTTGAATTCCACTCAAAAAGATAATTATGAAAAGTTTTGTCATATCCGGAGGAGAGAAAAGTCGAGAAGACAGCTTGATTATATGTCGTACCATGTCTTCTTGTCCAGTTACCGGTCCATGTCGGGTATGGGATTAGTTGGTCATTTATATGTTTCAGAAGCATGGACTTAATGGTGGAGGAAGGTGAAACCGACCAGCGGTTTTATGAGCCGCCACATGACGATGAGGAGTCCAGCAAGCCTCTTGCACATAATTATGGGTCTTTTATAATATTAAAAGCAAGACAAAGTTTTCACTTTGCCACATGTTGATTTGTGTAACTATTACCTTTTTGCAACTTTCGTGTCTATGCATCCGAAATGTATATTATGGTTTTCATATCAATTTTGGATAAATCATAAGTTATAACTTGGATTTACAATTTACATTACTCATAGCAGTTGAAATTTTTACTAAATTAGAAAGAATAAAGGTCCTATGCTTGACCCCTGACTGAAGCTAGCTATCTTACAATCTCAAATAAGTTGTAGTACTGTATACATATTAGTGACATTATATGTAGATCTTTCTTTAGGATGATGACGTGAAACATTCATATATGCCAAAATTTTGAATTTCCTTTCCGAGAATAAAATCTCATCTCGTATTTTTCACTTCAGATTGATGGGTGAAGATCAATATGTTGAGGAAAATGGTAAAATTACATTTACGAATGAACATTTAAATGGTTGTGTATTGAGACTGGCAGGTGCTGTCACGAAACGGTGAGTATATACGGTAATAACTATCTCATTCTTCTCTATAAATGTTAAATCAAAGCTAAAAAATTGTGCTGTTGATCTCATTTTTTGGTGCTCCCGAAGTATGCGAACCAAGATGGCGGACATCGGAACGTAACATGGGTAACAGGTTAGGGTTAGGCGATAATTTTTTTCCAATTTTCCTTATTTTAGTCTTATTATCAGTTCGAAGACTAGCCAAGAGCCTCCCGTAGTATTTATACCTAAAATTATGGCCTAACCCTAACCTAGTACACATATTACATTCCGATGTCCGCCATCTTGGTTCGCATACTTCGGGAGCCCCCATTTTTTTCCGTTGCATGAAATCATGTCTTAGTAATTTTATTTTCTTAGTTTGTCTTACTTGATATAAAATATCATAACATGAAAGATATGGTAAGGTACTTCGGACGAACAAAAAATACAATTTTTTGCCATTTCTTCGTACAGAATATGAACAGCATCCCAATTTTTTCTCTGTTTTAACCAATAATAGTCAATGTAGGACTATTAACCAGTAAGTTTGGAACTAAATTCGAATTTGGACTTGGATTTGAGTCGAATCCAGGCATTTTTTAGACTCGGATTTTGTGCCAAGTCCTCAATTAGTTTCGTTTTTATTAATTGACGCCTATTAATTACCTCTATAAAGATCAGTACATACCATATCTAGTTAAGAATTTTGATGTCATAATTAAACATTTATCATTTTTTGGTACAAAAAAGTATGTATTGGCACAATTTATTTAATTTGTGTATAAATAAAACATGCTCTTCCACGAGTAAATAATTGCTTATAAATGATACAAACCTTCCATATCAAATATTATAACACAAAATATAAAGCGGATTAACCCAAGCGGACATTTCATCAATAGCTATTTCGAATCGAGCCCATTACGTGCAATTTTTGTTTGGTTCTGAAAAGAAAGCAAGGAGAGTTTTGTCCCATGCATATTAACCAGTTGTATTTGAGCCATATATAGCTTGGCTGTCTATTGGTACTAATTAATAATGCACCACCATAATTCCATATTGTTTCAGTAGCTTGTATTTTACAAGTTTACTTCCATATTTCCCCTTTGATTCATTTTTAATATTCTTCATCTTTTTTTTCCAGAGAAAGAGAGAATTATGAAATGTATTCAATGTTTTATGAAAATATTCTCCGTCATCATCATCACTTGTTATATCAGAAGGAATTAGAACTCAGATCACTGAAGTCCAAAACCAATGGTAATGGAGGTGGAAGTCAGATCCAAGCACAGGTATGGTAACTGTGAATGCTGGATAGGATTTACATATTTATTCGGGGGGAGAGGAAAGCCGTTAAGAGGCTTAATTATATCATGACCTCTAGTCTGGTTACCTGTCCGTGTCGGATATGGGATAGGTTAGCCAGTTATTTATTTTCGTACGCATGTGCTTGATGATGGAGGAGGTTGTAGCCAACCAGCGGTTACATGAACCACCCGTTCTGTGGCGAGGAGACCAGCAATCCTCTTGCACATAACTATCGCCGAATGGGATTTGAACCTGTGAACCCCTGTAGTGTAATCGAAGGTGCGATGGCGACGTATTCAAAATGCTTAGCACAATGCGCCACACTGCTGTTGGCAGACTTTCCCTGGTAGAATGTGGATAATTGACTTTTCTATAGATGGGCAAATATTATTGTTCTTAAATCTTAATCATTTTTTTATTCTACTTTTCAAAAAATTTTTTTACCCGACAGTTGACTATGTGTGCCATTAATTTGGAAATTGCTCGACATTACTCGAATTCAAATTCAATTTGAGTCAGCAGATTGCAATATTACTCATCATCATAGAGTGGTTTCTGAAACCATTGGCGCGTTAGGCTCTCTATGCTAAACAGTGTGTAAATTTACATGGGTGGATATTGTCCTTACAGTACTGGGCTGACAATCGTATTGCAGGATGTGATTTGGCATTCCTCTTTGACTAAGGGATATTTCTTGCTTCTTTGGTATGAATACTTCCAAATTTATTGTTATTTTCTTAAAGTGTTTGTAAATGTTTGCAATGGTTTATCAAGGATCTTCTGAATTGACTTTCAGGGAAAATCTTTTGGGATTTTGTCACAATATGCCACATTCTTTTCAGTTTCAACTTGCTGACAGAAGCCATGAACTTATACTTGAGATAACAGCATTGAGATCAACAATTACAGAAATGAGGCAACAAAGTCTTAATAAAGAACAAACTATAAGACAAGAAGTACAGAAAGATTATCAGGTTATATTGTAATTCTTAACGAGTTGTTCCACAGTTAGATTTAGGGATGGTTATATGGGCCCAATTGCCATTCAAATGAACTCTCCCGTAGAGGGCATATTTGGCTGCTATTTGACAGCGCTCTTTCCGAGTAGTCACTTTTTGCACCGAGTGCTACTTTGTTGTTTTTTGGTATAGCCAAGTCGGTATTTTACTTCCTAGTTGAGGTACAGGTGCGTTGCAGTCCGGCAGATAAGGGGACCTTTTTGACCCAAGTTTGATTTCAGACATAAAGTTTTTTTTATCTGTGGTTATTCATCTTGGGGTCATTGCCCATCATTTTTTCATCATTTTTTTTACGGCTCGATATTTGTAACAGTGGTTTTCGTCAAACCTGTGCATCATAATGACGCACAACCTGAACCATAACCTGTTGCAATACTATGTTCAGGTTGTGCGCAATCTTGGTGCACAAACTACGCAAGCACCAAATTTACTAGGAAATAAAATCAATAACTTTTAGGTATTTGTTGAGCCCAGCTTTGGGTCGCGACCCATATACAGTATATGAAAATACTGTCGAAACATACGCGTAAAATAAAGAGTACTATTTCAAAATACTCGTTTTTGTTGTAATTAACAATACAAGCCTGGTAATGCAGTCACCAGTGGTTCAAGTGGATATACACCCGGTGGAGAACAGTCAATTATTTGTTAGCGAGAATTGTTATGCAGCGGGATGATCACGACGACGCAGTGAAAGATAATGATATCACAAGAACAAGAAAATTGCTACATTTTATAGTATATCCCTGGGAAAGAATGTAGTTCATTCTTATGTTCCATGCCAATGCTTTTCAAACTACCAAAGACTCTCAACACTTTTACTTCTTCTCTTCTATAAAAAAAACATTATATTATTATGTATATGTTATTATATATTCGCATTTCCATCTGTTTGTTCGTGCTCCCAGATAACCGATCAGCGGCCTCCAAGGAGGGCGAGGTCCCTATTAAGAAACCCTGTCATAAGCTAAAAAAGGCGACCATGCTTCTCTTGCCTGTTGTCATGCTGTCCCTGGAATTCAGCTACAACAAAAATTTCATGAAAACGGATTTTTAAATTTTATGACTTTATTAATATTCTCAACAATGAATGATATACGGGTGGTAAAATGCCAAGTTATTCAAACAACATGATCATGTTTTTGCAATTTACAACCAATATTTTGTATGTAACTTTGTTTGACAGAGCCCCGAGAGCCCTAACTACAAATATCAAAAATGCGAGGCCAAAAAAGTCACACTACAACATTGTCAAATGTGCTGTATTTACGATAGATAACAGGTTTACCAAAAAGAATTGAAAAATGAAAATGAAAAATGGTAAATTAAAGATCAATTCAGCAATATCTACTTGGTGATATTGCATCTGTTGATGATTTTATGTGTTTGTTTCGGAAGTTTAATAACAGAATTAATTGTGGTTGTTGGGGATGTTTTAAAAAAAGGTTGCATGGAAAAAAGGTTTCACAAAATGTCAAGGTTTGATAGTAGTAGAGAAGTAGAAAAATACTCCCATGTTTTTTTTTCTCATTTCATAACCACGCCACATAACTTCCCCGATAAGTATACGCAGCAATTGCGAGAAGCAGAAATGCCAAGATGGGATTTCATCGCATTGCAAACCAATATTAGCAATTCTTATATATATTCGCGCATTCCAATCTGAACAGCGTGGAAAAGATTATACCCATCTACACACTTTAAGAACTATGTCAGATGAGCGTCATATTATCGAATATCAGTAAAGGAATAATGCAATGGGAAAAGACATATGAGGCGGAACTTTCAGTAGTGTGCAATCAAATAATCTTATTGTAGAATATAACTTTAAAAACATTTCGTCACGCCAACTGCAGTCCGAAACTTGTTTCTCAGGCTGAGCGCAGATACCAATCGGCACTTATGTAAACTGGTAAGACTGTAAGAGGCACGCGATGGATCAGATACTAAGAGTATCCATCCCCCAGCTGTCATTTGAGTGGGTACTGCTGTTTTTATTGCAGATGTTACTGATCTTTTTGTATTAAAGATTTACTGGCATCACCGATTTAAGGATGTTGGAAACCAACACGCAATATTACAAAACTTACTTTCAACACGCAAAGCTGAAACTAATATTCTTTAGAACAGCATACAAATTCTATGGAATGGAATCATACACAAAAACTCGTCAAAAACCTATAGCTCAATAATCAAGTGGAATTTGAAATGTGCGCGTTACTACGTACAACCGAAGCACACAGGAAAATGTGTGTGATGTACTAGTATTCAAAACGTTTGACTCAACTATGTTGGCATAACAGGTGCACATCTCGGTTTCGCATACGCATACCTTCTATCTCCACAAGGATTTATTAATTTTGCCAAAATCAATGTAGCTCTGAAAGGTTGAGGTTCTCCCAAAAGAAAACACGTTACACATCTTTAGATACCAGTGGATGGTTTTACATGGCCTTGTTCCTTGTTCGGAGTGAAAGACGAGGTCAAATATTCCAATCCAATTCAACTAATAAAATATTTCCCAAGTCCCTAAGCTTAAACTAGGAAAACGAAATGCGCGTGGCAACGCAAATGTAGTTTGAAGAGCGCAATAGAAAGTGGCTAGATACTGTCGATGGATCTTGGCTTGTATTAGCGAAATAAACTACCATTTATTCTACTAAAATTGAATTTCTGACATTGTAAGGAGATTCAATGTTACTATGTATGCAAAACTAAACCATGTAGTTATGAAATAATTAGTTTTTAACAAAAGGGCGCTCCTGAAGTATTCGTACCAAGATGGCGCACAACCTGAATATTGTATGCTTACCAGGTGGGGGTTCAGGATGTGCGTCATCTTGGACCGAATACTTTAAATCCACTTAAAAAAAATTGCTCAACATTATATACTCCACACCCACCTGGGTATCATTATATATGTCATATACATTATATCTAAACAATAAAAAAAACTTTATGTCCCAAAACAATGTTAAGGCCCGATTCTGCCGGACTAATAGTATTTGACAGATTATTAGATATTTTTAGTCTTATCCATAGATGAACTGTTATTGGGTATAATAGGAGCTTCCCAATTTTTATCATGTTGTTGAATATCTGTTCATTCTCAGTCAATTAATACTCTATTTTAGGCAATTTTAAATGCAAAAGTACCGGTAATACAATTTTCTATTCAGGAACTTGTACAAAGACTGTTTGAAGAATGTTTTCAACTGAAAGCAAGACTTGCTCAATATCATATGTCATTGCATGAGAATGTACGACTGTTGATCTCAGAAACAAGGAAAGAATCTTTAGAAATGTTGGAGAAATTAAGAAACAAGAACTTAAATTCCGCAACAGATGAACGACTGAAGATTTTACAAGCAAAGGTAAGACATTTTTCAGTTTACAAGTTGGTCACACAATTTTGTGCTATGGTTCCAATTTTTTGAGGTTTTCAATCTAATTAGAAGAGTATTGTACCGTGTCGAGTTACCAAGCCCAGAGCTCGAAATTTGAGCTTTATTACATTACTGGAACTGCATAAATTGTCCTACATTGAGAAAACTTGTCGTTGGTGTAGCGGCGTGTGAAATTGGTTTAGTATGGCGCGACGGTGTGGCACATTGTGCTAACGTTAGAAATACTCTAGCTACCGTTGATTATAATGTGCAAGACGATTGCTGGACTTCGCAGCGCTGCAACGTAACCTCTAGTCGGTTACGGCTTCCTCCACTATCAAGCCCATGCATCTGCAAACAAATACCTGGCTAACTAATTCCATATCCGACATGAACTGGTAACCAGACGAGAGGCCATGGTTGGCCATATGATTAAGCCATCTTATAGGCTTTCCTCCCCACCAGGATAAATATGTTAACCCATTCCTATCTTATTAATTAATAATTTTCAATTGTAAAGTTTATAGCTTTGCAGTTTGAGACTATCCTTTTATAAATACCTAAGGCGCCTCAGAGTTTGGCATATAGTATAGTGGAAATTATTTTCCATAGGATGCTCATTACTTATCGATCTTAACATCGGAAAGTAGGTTGATAGGTATTTGTATGTCTGTTTGTCTGTGTGTTAGATGCACGCGATATCTCACGAAGGCGAGGTTGAATCTGCACCAAAGTTTGCATGTGCATTCATCATAGCTCGGATCGGAAGCCTATTGATTTTGGATGGATTATGTCTTATAATTAGCGAGTTATTGATTAATTAGTGATGGGACACATGGTGTCACTATGGAGTAAGACCACTGTTTTGGGGGATCCCCTAACCTTCGATGATAAGTTCTCGGTTTCTAACCGATATTCTAGTTGTATTCTTATTTATTTTTATTTAAGTTCTTTCTTGCTGTTTATAAAAACGGATTTGTTGTTTATAATAAAAATAAAGCTATAAGGTTGGGAAAACAAATTGCCAAATAATATTTTTCTGTTCATTATCACCTGGTCTGGTTTCGTAAATAATGATAGTATTGAACATAATACACAATCTTGATAATAATGATTTATTATTCAAATGCAAAATATCAAAAATACTTAAAATAATAGCGCAGTGAAAATACAAAGCAATTTCATTCTTTTTTATTACTTCAAGTCATCTAAAATTTGTGCTATGCTGTGAATTTCATGTATATTTTCAATATCTGGAATTGATTTAGACTTATTCTTTGAATATGCAATAAATGTGGTTCTAAGTTATTCGGTTAACAGTAAAAAAGGGATTTTTGCTATATCACAATTAATTATCTAAAAAATTCTCTAACAAATATCATTAATTTCATAATTCTAATAGGATGTTTGACTTTTATTCTTTGTATTCTCGTCCTTTGTAAACTTTTACCAATTTACTGTCATCAGATATAACAATATTTCCATTTGGTAATATTGCGATTGCATGTGGAAAATTAATTCCATCTTGTCTTGTTAAAACATCTCCATAACATACCGAACCATTGCAAGAAAACATTGTTATTCTGCTATTGCATTCATCTGCTACAAATATCCTGAAAGAAAGGAATTGGAATGTTGCAAAGATGTGTTGTAACCAATTTACTTGCCCAAACAGAACCCAGGTCATTTGAAATATATTCTGGAGAGTTACCAATCCCAAACCCGACATGGACTGGCAAACAGACAGAGGCAGTAAGTAGTTTGCCATATGATTAAGTCGTCTGATCGTATCTCTTCTCCATTGGTATAAATTTGTGACCCTATTCTAGATTACTGGAATTTTTGCTTACAATTATACACAAACATAAATTTAGGGGAACTTGGATATTGTGTATTGAACTGCAGGTCCTTTCTCCTTGATTACTTTCTACTTTGGATCCGTATGTGGCACTCACCACAAGGATGCTTGAACGAGATAGTATTAAAGTGAAAAGTAAAAATAACATGATCTCTTTCAACAAAATAGTAAGTATATACTTACTATTTTGTTGAAAGAGATCATGTTATTTTTACTTTAAACAAAAATTTGTTTATGTATGATTATAATAATTATACACAAACAGAAATTTGTTTGTGTATAATTGTGTTAAAGTGTTACATAAATTTTCCTAATTTTCATAAAAGTGATGAGAGAATATATAGGTTCTGTTTTTAGAAGAGTCTTTGTAAGTAGATGTTAAAGAAGACAATACCAATTGGTTGGTGTTTGCTATTGCAACTAAATGCCAGCAACATACTCATCACTTTCTGTACATGAATGTTGTACATTTAAATCCCTTGAGGTATGATCATGTTTGCAACTATTGCTAGAACACTTAACATGCAATGGCTTTCATGTGATCGCTGATTGGTTAAGCGTTCTTTCCCGCGAACTTTCATGTATATGGAACACTCAACCCACACTTTTAATTGGAAATGGCCACTGTTTTATCTTCTTTTTTCTATCTAACGGTAAATATGAATATCAAAATCTAATATACCTATTATATCTATCAACAGCTACAGCAGAAGGATATCTCATCTGTCCATGTTCTGTACCAAAGCGCCCAAATTTTGCAGCTAATGATCCATCTGCATTAAATATCTTCATATTATGTTCATTGTAATCTGCTATTATTATCTGAAAAAATTACATTCGAATTTACATCGTTTTGAAGCCTCTACAGTAGGGATGTGCAACATTATTTGCCGGTGGGCCATAAACCTAACTGCAGGGATCTAGCTGGACCAGACTAAAAAAAATAGTTTTTCCACGTACACAACGAATAGAGTAACAAAAGTCAGCAGGCAAAACAAGAAAAGATTTAACTCAGTGACAAGAGCAAAAAACGTTAAGTATTTTTAACTGTGTGAGCGCTTTTTCAAGCATAAATTGTTGGATTATGATTTTATACGTGATGGGGGAAATTGAGTGTTAACAAGGGCCACACCATTTGGCTTGGTGGGCTGGGTTGTGACCCCCAGGGATACCTGTTGCGCACCCCTGCTCTAAAGTAATAGATAGTATTACCAGTATTAAGGATCTAATACTTTTTCTGGAGAATCTGACTACGTAATGAATTTGTTGTACACTTACTTGATCCAAGGTATTCATTGCGATCCTCCCAGGCCATGTTGATTTTCCAGTGTTCAATCCTCCTATTGCTGTTATTTTTATTTCACTGTTTTCGAATCCTATTTGAACGTTTTCTACATCAGCCATTGCTAGGCTTCCTTGAGAATCTACAGCTAGTCCAGATAATTTTCCAAGGTCAGCTCGAGGTCCGTATTTGTGTAAGAACTTACCAGCTTCATTCCAAATGATTACATATTTACCGCAACTTGTAGCTATCTGGAAAATTGTAATAATTTTAAATAATCATTTTATACATTTAGTAATATTTCGTTTGAAAAATAACGTTATATAGAGATGAATAATGTGAATCCCCTAATGGGAGTAAGTACTAAATTGACCATCAATAATCAGAATTCATGAATACTTGTCTAATAACATTCATATTTATTAATTTAATTGAAAAACTTTCATCATAAACACTTGTTTTACACTTTTTTATCATACTTTCATCCACTTTTACTCCTTTTTCATTCAATTTTTACCATTTGCAAATTGACAGCAAATGTGTATTAATCTGAATGTTGCTAGTAGAAACCAATGTAAATTAGATCAAGTGTTAGTGAAAAGTTACCCCTGTTCCATTTCTCATTGTAGTTAGCCCCTTGGGTTTTAATGTTACTCCATTCAATGCTGTTTTAAAAGATGAAACCATGTTTCCACAAGTTCCTTCATGAGATTGTATTCTATTATTCCCAACATCACAAATCCAAATTCTGCCCTGACCGTCTACATTAATTTCAGGAGGACTCGAAAACATTTGAGACTCTTTATTGCCAGCTTTTCGTAGCTTGCCAATGCTGAAACCAGGAGTAAACGTATAGGTAATTATATATTGGTCAGCGATGGGTTTTTCATTTTTCTATATTCCATATTGTTGTTTTAGTATTGATCTGCTTAGTTATGGCTCGTGGGCCATTTCCAATATTGAGTATCTAATAATTGATTTCTAGAGATATGGGCACCAACATATATAAATATATCAATATAAATATTTTTCAAATCTTGTTCATGACCATGCAATCAATTCAGCGTATCTTTGTATTGTTTTGGTATGCTTTTCTGATACATATTTATCCTGTTTACCTGAAGAGAAATTTGTCAGATTTTCTTTGTTGTGGTGGTGAACATGATCCAAGCGCTGTTAAGCTTCTCATGCTCACAGTACGACGAAGAAATTGTTCATCGTTGTTGCAATCACTTCCGCTACTTGACTGGTTTGAAATTCCACTGTCTGTTTCTTCACGATGTCTGCGAAGACTTTGAGCAAATCGTTTCTCTGTTTGTGCTAGTTTATCAGTATTTTTGCTGCGAAACCTTCCCAATGTGGATGAATTAACAATAAATGGTCTGTGAATCGGTACTGATGTTCGTGGGGGTAATTCTGGGGGCTCATGCTGATTTTGATCAATAGTTTCAACAGTACTTTCACTTGAAAAAGAGTCTACACTATCTCTTCTTGAATGTTCGCTTAATTCAGACTGGCGCTGTTCGAAGCTTTGTACCTCTGCAGCTAATTCCTCTGCAGTTATAATTTTCATTGTATGTGCATCTTTTACTTGATTACTTTTAGGAGGTCTAGGTGGGGGTTGCGTTTCTGGGGAACATTGAAAGTCTTTTGCTGAAGAATCGAAAGTTGGCATATCATCAGTTTGTTGATTTTCAAAAATGTAATATTCTGCTGGAATCTCATCATATAAGATGTCTTGTTTTTCTTCTATTTCTCTGTTTTGTTTCACAAGATTCTGAAAAGTCAATTTTGTATTTCTTATTTAAAATCTTTGGTGTTATTGCGTAGTACATTATCCAGTTTGTCCATCATGATGAAATTTTTGAGATTACAAATCAAATATCCAAAAGTGATGGATATCCAATGTTTTGAGATATGGGGCCACGTTCTTCAATATTGACTTGTCATGGAATTGATTTCATAAGCGTATATCTATTAACAAATTTATATAATACCAACCATATCATCCGGCGGTATATCATAAATGGGATCATCTTTTGGCATGCAGTCAGACTTGGTTTCGCTTTGCTTTAGCATTTCATTGTTGCATGCTACCTTAGATTCGATATGCACGTAGTTTCTTACGATTGTTTCAAATTCATCTTCATTACAAGCTAAGGTAATCTGTGAATGAAATGATTCAATAATTTCTGGAATATTTTCACTTCCTAAAGTTTTTTGTTCAAAATTTCTGACTTTAATTAATTTGGTTGTTGAATATGCTCAAATTTTTGGACATCTATTTTGAAATCCTGCATATCAAGTTTACTTGGTTAAATTTAACTGGCAGCGCGATTTCACTTTGAAAATGACAGATTTTATTAATAAAAAACAGTTGATTCAACTATCTTAATTGTTTCAAACATTTTTAGCGATATTTTGGCCCTTCAGAAGTATGTGTACCAATATGGAGGTAACTAATTTTGTTCACCTACTTTACATCAAGTTGTGTAAACGGGACTGAAAGACTATGGGCATGGGGTGGTATATTCACTTGGGTAACACAGACAGTCCCCGAACTCGTAATAAAACTAAAATAAGTGAAATCGGAATAAAGTTATGGCCTAACCCTAACCTGGTACATATGCAACGGGAGCGCCGTTTTCTCAATTTCTTTTGCTTGCTAAATTTTTGTTTGCATTAAATGTTCAAAAATACTCCTAAAACAACGAAGTTTAAGCAATATAGCATAAGGCTCACATTTGTCTTGTATTTTCTTTTGATTTCTGGAGGCAAGGCATATTCTTTTGTGTTGTTTATGCTTTTCTGAAGTATATGTTTGAAGCCAATCATGTCCATTGCTGAGTTTCCTTCTTGTAGCATCTTTGTAGCTACGTCACAGCATCGAGTTAACATTTTAATGTTGTTGTTTTGCTTTTGTATGTTCTCTTTTGCTTGCTAAATATAACAAAAATAGAGTATAAATGTAACAAAAAGGCCACGGCCCACACTCGTTCCACTTGTCCAAAACTTGTTCCACACTTGTACCTATTGTATGAATCTCAATTTATATGAATATCTAACCTTCTGCCAAAGTATTATATTTATCATAACCCAGAACATAGCATGAATTGCGCTTCATGTGCTTACTTTAATTATTTGCCCACAAAATATCTCTTCCCTAACTTAATGGAAAGAGTGGAACAAGTGAGGAGGGATGAGGGGGGCAAGTATGCTAAAAAAGGGACAAGCTGGACATTACATTTTCAAGACACTGATAAAAAACATATTATTCGCCATATATTCTAAATTACTTTGAGATAATATGGTGAGTCATTTCTGTGTTTATCTATCTACTGATTAAGAATTTCCTCTGCTTACACAATCTGCAAGAACACTGCCCACAGCGACAGAAAATTTTATCATGGCATATACCCAATATGTATTTAGTCAACTTGATCCTGAAACATCACCTTAAAGAGTAGGCTATATCTCAACAGTTTTCTCATTTATATTCTTCACTACAAGATGAGATTGCTCATTTATTTAGTGTGTGATGTATGTTTTAAAACTTGTTATCATTTTTGTACTATGGCGGAGTTTAAGATAAATTATCAGATTTGATCAAAAATACTGGGTGACACACAAAAAACAGAACCCAGGTTAATTTGAACATATTCTAGAGAGAACATAACTTTTTGTGCAACACGTCCCAGATTACTGAAACATTTGTGTGCAAGTGTTAAGTAAATTTCATTCATTTGCATAGAAGTAATTCAGAAATTTATGGATCATTTTTTGGGGTTACTATGAGGTTTGAGTACTGTAGGTTTCTATGAGTTCTTGAGACTTTGCGCTAAAATTACAAATATTTCTTACCATAACTGGCTCCATCTCCTCACAAAACATGTCTTCCAGTTTATTTAGCAGTCTTAATTTCTCCTGCATCACATTTGCAATAAGCAGTTCCGTTGATCTATGAATCTTCTGCGTCATAGCATTTTTCACAGAATCTACTCGTTTTTCGTAACTTTTCAAATATCTCGACTAAAAGATATATATATATAATTAAACTATTTTATTGAATATGTGCTCAACTACAATATATTATGATAAAATTTATTTGAGCATAGATATATATATTTCTTGTGACAAATAAAGGATAATCAAATCAAGTCCATCTTGTTACTGCATCACCAGTACTAGCAGTAGCAAGTGGCAAATCCACAACATAAATTTGTGTGCAAAATTTGAATGCAATGTTTTAAGGATTTGAACAATAATCTAGTCTTTCGGTACATTCCTAGGTTGTTTCGCCACTAAGAATTAACTGCTGAAAAGAGACACAACGACAATTCAAAATCAATTTATGTATCCTATTGATATCTGTCAAAATATACCTCCATAATAAAGTCAGATTGTGTGTTCAAATTTGAATATTTGAATCACTGACTACTTCAGTCTATGTTCAAATATTACCTGTTGTTGGCATTTCATCATCTGTTTCTCTGCATATTGTAAAGCTTCCTGTATTTCGATTTTTTCTTTCACTGCCGTTACGATATTTCTAGTATGTTTTTCTTTCTCGAGATGAGAAGAATAGTTCAGTGTACTTGTGCTGTTTGATAAGTTTATGTTAATAAAGTAGGAAATTAGAATAAAAAAAGTTATGAAATCTGAAATATGCATAAATTGACACAATGTGTCCCATTTGTACAATTTTCAATTTCACGATAGCATCTCATTCCGTATAGACTATATTGATATTTTATAGCTACAAATGTCATCTTACTGTATCATGCCATTGAAATATTCGGAAAAATGTTCCTGTTGTGTTTCTGATTGCTTCATCATTTGTTGCATCAATAAATTATCAGTCAATCCTGATAATTCTTCATTATCATCTCTCCATATGTCAACTCTTCCACAAGTCACGCATTCCAGCATCCACGCCCCTGTAACAAAGATGATTTGTCTTAACCTCTTTCTTTCGGGCAAGCATTTAACCGCTTATGAAGATATGGCCCTAATATGATTGTGAGTTAAACAAAGGGTCTTGGAAACAAATCAAAATGACCGATTATGCTGCTAATTTGCATATCTTTATTGATGTTTAATTTTTTGCCATCAATAGTATACCAAGAAAAACTATGTTATATGGCATATGCAATTACCGCTTCAAATCTCGCTCAGTCATTATTCATTTAATTTCTTAGTGGATGAGTTGGACTTTTTTTGGCGATTTTCTGCTGTATATATAAGTCTGTGCCTATACATTTGACATATATTTTCAATGCGCTCTGAAATTAACATTCTTCCAATTTTATCATGAATTTCCTTTGGTATATGGAAGGATTTGCCAATTCTTGCTATTTGCCACGCCGAAGTCAAAAGGATTTAAGGGAATAGTGCATGATTGCCACCAGGTAAACTCATGTTGATAATAAATGAAGCACAACCGGGGTTAGCAAATTACATCGTTTTGCTAACACCGGTTGTGCTTCATTTATTATCAACAAGATTTAAGGGAATATCACACAGGTTGAAAGACAATTTAGATAGTTTTGGGCAATTTTCGCGCGAGACGATTCCTGGATGTAATATTTGAATTATGATCATTATTAACTATTAATTGGAGTAATTATCACAGAAGCATGTCATTATTTGTTGAAGGTTGTACGTGTATGGATTTCTATATCAAATTAGTTTGGTAGAATTTCTTGTCGTATACGGTGTACGTAAGTCCATTAGGTAAAAGAACTTTGATGCACTTCTTGCAACTAATGGTTCGGAATATAAAGGTGCATAAATGAATTTATAAAAACTTGAACACTGATTAAAATAAAACATACCTGGTTAAGTTATATTGAAAACTGACTTTATAGCAAAGTTTTGATTGTAATATGATTTTATAACCACCCGATAATTATTTCATAGAAAAATTGTGTGAGTGAAAAAAATGGTGTTTTTTAAATTTATCCCCATAAATTCGACAAAAATGATAATTGGACTGCGAGAATGTCCAATTTCACCAGAAATAAACAAACCACATTTTCGGTCATCCAACTTTTTGAAAAATAAAGCACTTAATATGGAATAGCAATAATTAAAAATCATTCGATTTGTATTCCTTATGCTTCGCTAAACCATGATGTCGCGTTTACAATTTAATTAATTATCAGAACGTACCATGGTATTAGCAAATTGAAAGACTTCACTCACCGGCATCTAGGTTTCTTGTTCTGTTTCTCAAAGCACATCTCGAGCAAACAGAATGAGAGCATTTCAATTGCTTTAGTTTCCTTGACAACTGGGAACATCTTTGACAAGCCAGAAACATCTTCATCATGTCTCTCACCGTTTTATTATCCATTCTATAAGATTCTACTATTCTTTCTTAATTATTCCAATTTTTATGATCAATACAGCTTGTTTGCCAAGCTTTCTGTTTTTTTCACCTAAAGTGATTTCGTTTGCAGAAATCACTTGTCACTGTTAGAAAAATATATATCAACCAAATTATTACATAAAAAGCAAACTGTTTGTTGCTTGCAAGTCATCAATCAATATTTTAGCGTTTAACTTTCGACCATTCGTTATATTCTCACCACAATGAACCTTGTGGAATCAAATATTCTCATCAACTTTTTAGCGCACTGTTTGTCTGCATCAAACCATATGGAAAATATTGGAAACTTTACAGACAATAGGATAGGATATACAGATTTGGTACTCCTATAGTGTGTGTACCAGGCTAGGGTTAGGCTATAACTTCATTCCGATTTTCCTTATTTCAGTTCTATTGCAAGTTCAGGGACTGTCTGTGTTAGTCAAATGAATATAACCCCTTCCTATAGGTTTCAGTCCCTTTTTACAACTTGATGTAAAGTAGGAGAACAAAATTAGCTACCTCCATATTGATACATACACTTTTGGAGCGTCCATATTTTTCCCGCGGGAGAGAGATAAATTTGATAAAACGGTTTACTGATATACTGAGGTCCTTTGTCCGGTCACCAATCCAGAATGCGTATGGGAATATGTAATTATGGGAAACAGTTTATTGTACCCTGTACATGAACTTGGTTGGTGGAGGAGGCTGCAATCGATCAGCCGTTACTTGAACCACCCCGAGACAGCGTTGAGTCCAGCAATTCCCTCGCACATAAAAACAGCAAAAAGTATTTTCTGTCAACTGAATACATGCTAAATCCGACTTGAAATTTGAAAATATTATAATTTTCAACATTTTTTAGGCTCGACATAGCAATATAACCCAATTGTAACAAAAGATTCCAAGCAGTTCTCTCCCGTCTTTTCTCTCCGCTAACGATATTCATGTAAATAAGATTGTTCATTAGGTTTCTCTATTAGGTTACCCATGTAACCGACTACTATAACCTCGTTAATCGCACCATAATGTTGACAAATAACTCTATTCTAATCCTGACACTTTATGATAATGGATCAATTTGTAGATGCTGCTAATAAAATTCATTCCTAATAGCGATAATGCCATAAATCGTCTTTACTGTTGACGACGACTGCGATATAGATCCATCTTCTAATTTAAATCGGCATTAGTCAGTTTATAATTGATAATATATAGCGCTTGACGTAGGATTTAAAATTTCCCACGCTATATTATATATGTTTTAAATATACCCAATATATTTACATTTTACTTCACCGGCATTACTTTATGAAGTAAATCAGAGATAAATGGCCCAATTTGTGTTTTGGCTAACAGTGTCTTAAATACGTACTCGAATATATGCTTTGATAACACCATAATACAGATTAATAATGTATATTTGTTATATTATTCCAACCTGTTCTTGCAATTATACGTTGTTTGCGATTTTGCCAATGCTATTAAATACTCTATTAATTCACACATACATCACCTACATCACCATTTTGCCTTTCTATTTACCAAGTTCTATATATTTTTAAACATTCAAAGTACTTATAGAAAGTACCACCTTTTCATTCTATATGCACCACCTGCTAACGAGACGAATTCTTTTTAAAATGCCGACGACAATACTGTAACGACTTTATAATATTTTAAAACAACATCCAAATCCTCTACGTTCACTAATTTAAAGTTAATCCTTTTTATAATTTTGAGTTTTCTCATCTCGACGCAGATTATTATAAGGCAAAGAGAAAGGGTTAAAGTTTACGTCATGACGTAATATTCTTTCATTTGACGCATGGTCGTGCTCTATTAAGAGATTATAGTATGGTCGTGGTTGTGTCTTCATGGTAAAATTACATCCATCCGTCCTTTGCGATTGGTCAAATTTTAGTTAGTCAAGGGGTTCGAGGAAAATCGACACTTCACTTTGTAATATGTTTTGATTAGAATTTAAATCGTTTGAACTTCTAAACCCGATTAATTGTCGTGCGTCTATATCTTTCATAGTAATTAATATCCACTTCTATAATAGCAATAACAATAGAACGTGCATACGGTGGAATGACTGAGAAAATCAGTACGTGATACTTGCACTGCGCTGTATTGAAAAAATCAGATCCGTGCTTGGTATACATGGCCAGAATTTGGCCTTTATACCTTTAACAATGGAATTTATCAAATATTTTCATGTCAAGTTGAACTATGTACATTGGTTTCTATAATAATCTAACATTTTGAAATGCTGCTTTGTTCCAGCAATCATTCCCGTGATAATGGAAAATTTAAAAAAAATATGGGTATCGTATTTTCTGAAGAAAACATCCACCAAAAATAACTATCTTCAGAAATTAGATTTCCCAATTAAAAGCAAATATAAAAGCTATTCGTTTATAATTCATACTCGCAAAAAACTTGATTATGGAAATTTTTGAAAATGAAATGAATATTCGATAGCACGTTGTTCACTTTTACATCTATTTTTTTTACCCGTTTACATGATGTGATATAAAAAATGATTTTCCAGACGATATGCGTAACGGAAAAATCAAATCGATTAGTGAAACCTAAGCGCCCTAGAAAAATTAAAAAAATTATTAAAATATTTTGCCTGTTTTCCATTTCATCGTAATACCTTTGAATAGCTTGTAATCCCCAGCATTGTCCTTGTTGTTACAATTTTGACAAATGACAATGTTGTAGTTGACGACATAATCATATCTTCATAGATGAGATCATCAGATATATTACGTTTGAATACTATGTTTCGGATGTAATAACACACGATAATTGACCGCATTATCTAATTACTTCAATACCAACGTTGTCCAATTAGCTTTCATACGCAATCAAGTCTCTTTTCTCTGTAACGATTTTGCAAGACAACGACTAGCAATGTGTGATAGATACAGCATGCTGGCTCATTTGGCACTTCTTCATTCAGGCCAGGGATGTGCAACAGGTGACCCGCGGGCCACAACCCGGCCCGCCGAGCCATTTAATGTGGCCCTTGTCAACACTCAGATTTTCCCCTTCCAAGCATAAATCTGACAATTTATGTTTAAAAAGGCGCTAAACTACATAATGAGTAAACTACATAATGTTTTTTTGCTATTGTAAGCGTTATATCTTTCGCCGTTTTGCTTGGTGCCTTCATTACTGGTATCATTGGCTACCGGTACCAATTATTCTCCGAGTTTTGCGTAGCGTCAAATCAGAAACAGCCATCACGTTTGGCGGAATAAAAACCGTGTTCCCATGGAAAATAAAATATAGTGAAATTTTGGATAAAATATCAGATCGCGTATACTGTATAGGATTCATAGGAAATTTAGGAAAAAATAAAAGCAATAGCCTTCAGCGAAAAATACAATGTTAACCATTGAAAACTTCAAAGCAATTGATTCATTGGTAAATGATAAAAGCGATTTTTTATAGCAACAATAAGAAAAATACCAACAGGAACAACAACAACATAATAGCGAAACGATCCATAGGTACACTCCGTGTCCAATTATGGCGGTACAGTACCTACCAGTAAATGCCCATTAGCGCGAGACTTGAAGCACTTCAAGTCAATACATTCTAGCAAACAGATATGCGGAAGCGAATTCCATATATCACTAATTCATGTCAATGCTTATTCATTTCACTCAGATCAAATTTCCGTTTTGTGTAAAATATCCTCGAGGCATTTCCAGCACCTGGAATTCTATGCATTTATCATCATAAAGTTTGGCCTCCGCTGTCATCAACGTGCACCAATGTTAGTTTACTGAGTTGTCTGATTTTAATATTTTTCTGAATTGTATATTTTATATATTATTGAAAAATTTGAAATTTTTCGTCAAACTATGTATTCGCGTGAGGAGGGGTTTTTTCTTCTCGTTTTATTTTAAGAATTTTGAAATTGATTCGAATTCGGTTTGAAAAATAATTTACATACGAAGAAACTCATTGATCGTTCAAAGAAGATTTTTATTATTTTGCAAACTGCATATTCCACGAATAATAATTAGCTAAACGAGTGCTAGCAATTTTTGAAACTGATTATAGTTCCTTAACCTTTGATCTAAATACGAATGCATTGTTGTCGTGAGCTAGGATTAACGAAATGATTCGCTTGAATACAAACGAGTCCAGTGCCAAATGTAAACGAACTCGTAATAGAACTAAAATCGGAATAAAATTATGGCCTAACCCTACACTGAGACACATACTACGAGAGTATCCATTTGCCAACATTATATTTTCATATTTATGATTTTGGTAGTAATGTCCTTCGACAAGGATATTATGCCAATCTTCTCTTACTCACGTGATAAATTATAAGCAAAAGACTCTCTTTCTATGTGTCTTTCTATTTTAAAATAGTTTTAATATGCTCAACTATCTCATCGGTGCTCCCGAAGTATGCGAACTAAGATGGCGGACATCGGAACGTAACATGGGTAACAGGTTAGAGTTAGGCGATAATTTTTTTCCAATTTTCCTTATTTTAGTCCTATTATCAGTTCGAAGACTAGCCAAGAGCCTCCCGTAGTATTTATACCTAAAATTATGGCCTAACCCTAACCTAGTACACATATTACATTCCGATGTCCGCCATCTTGGTTCGCATACTTCGGGAGCCCCATCTCATCTCTAATCCAATTGTTACTATTTTGATTATTCCATTCTAAAAAAAATGTATGAAAATTATTTTTGAAATTTTCGGAACTCGAATGACCATTACTGAAAAGTCATAAATAAACTATTTCAAATGATCCTATATATTTAAATTGTGCAATCAACTTTTTCTATATATGGTAATTACGGAATTATGGTTTTGCGTTATATATTACGGTAATAACGGTATATCCTTATTATTCTTATCTCATAATGTTAAATTATAAAAATCCACCTGTCAAATATGTCTTACAACCTGTTGACGACTACATTCTCTTCTTTTCCTTTTGTACTGTTGCATTCTACTGCGTATAAGACAAGAACGCTGCAGTAAGAGTGAAGATTTCTAGATCGTTTTGATTGCTTCAAAACTCAAGAGTCTTTCTGTACATAATACAAACATATTTCTGTAACGTTCGTCTGACAGTTGCACTGATTTTGTTTGAGGAAGTCTGACTTTAGTCGGATGAAACTCTACAGAAATATATTTGCGTTAGTGTGTAACAAGACTTTTGAAACACCTAAAATTCTAATGTACATTGCTACTTTACAAATTATCTTACAGTTATGTTAACACTCGCTGCTGATTACGACTAGATTAAGAGAACAGAACCTATCTGAACAGGTTTTGATAAATCGTTTTTCGCTCGACAAGCGACTATGTTCGCAATTTGTAGCTGAAAAGGATGTTTATAGAAGTCGTAAACAAGTTAATTGTTGTTTATTCTCTTTAAAAGCGTTCGATTTTGAATTTATTTTTACCATAGACGGGAATAGATAAACCCGCCTTTCAGGCGAGTTTTATCTATACCCCATCCATGTAATGTATATATTTTGTACTTGTAAATTTGCTTGATACATGCATATACATAAACATATCATTCTTAAATACCGTGAGAAATTGGTAATTGTAGGATTTTACATATTACATGATTATATTTGTAAAATATTACACTAGTCATGTCAATTTCATGGACGTCTTCAAATAGAAATAGCTTTTTAATGTTGTGTATATCATGATTTGATATAATGATCTAATTCTCAGGTTAATAAGTTTCCCATGCAGTGTTCGCGCGTGAAACGGACAGACAAAACATTTTCGTATATATTTAGTTTATTCAAAAAAATACTAACAATGGCAGATATTTTATAGATTTTTAACATATTCACATAAATTGCTTGATATCTTATGTAATATTGTCCCAGAGGTCTTCTCCATGATAGGCCATGTAATGGATATTGCTATCCTATATCCATAACTATTTACCCGTATTTAAACTCTGTTACATCTGACCTTCCATTAATTCTAGGACGATCAATTGAAACAAGTACAACAAGAAAAAAGTGTGTTGAACATACTAATGAACAAGCTTCATGCTTTAAATCATTGGAGAAGATCAACTATGGATGAACAAAACAAAAAGAATGTTGAAAAATTAAGTCAAGAACTTTCCAAGTATGTTACCTGTGTTACTGCTTTTATTCATCATAACTGTCATTGAAATACATACAAGGAGACCAAAAAAAACAGAACCCAAAAATTTATAATTATTTTCACGAAAATGAAGAAAAACTTTTCAACACTTGGACTGTTTATGTATGATCGTACCCGAAAGTTTTAGTAACCTATGACGCTTTGTACAAAAGTTCTCAACCTTTTTTCTGTCGTGATCCACAAAAATTCCGTGGCTATTTAACTTTTTCCAGGCCAGGGTAAAACTACAAAAAAAAATGATTGCTCCGCGATATAGACACTTTCAAAATTTAACGATGATGACACAAATGAGACTAAATTTATCGATAACTCTTGCAATTTTCCATAGGTTTGTGGCCCAGAAGTGAGCCATGGCCCACTGGTTGGGGACCGGTGCTCTAAAATATGTTTCAAATTAGCTGGGTGCTGTTTTTTGGGGTCAATCCTTAAATAGAGTTATAAGATATAAAACTATAGTCTGCTATTACAGAATGTATCGCACGTTTTTTTGTCAAGTTCTTTTGCGAATATTATAGCCTATCAAAGCTTCAGAGAAATTACATAAGATATCTGGTGGGATTTGTTACACTACATGTAACTCGACATCGATATTTCTAATTTGTTGAGATATCGCGGATAATCACGAATTCATTTAAATTAAAATTGTTAGTTGATGTGTTGTTCATAAATTCTCTAAATATAGTTAAGTATTTCTCTGTAACTCTTCCAGCTACAAAAATGGTTGTAATATTGTTTTGTTGGGAAATAACACAAGAAAATGTTAAAATCAAAATTAATTAGTGTTTAACCCTCCACTAGACACAAAAGCACTCAGGTTCAAGTTTTTTTTTTAATTTCTGGGAGCTGGTTTGCATATGTGAAAAAACATTGAGGAACTGGTTTTAAACCTCTTTTCGCTTTAATCGTTCAAACATATATAGATGGAAAAGCCATGGAATCCCTGTCCTTGCCCTTATCAAAAATTACGATCAAAAAGTTTTTTTTTTATTTTTTTATATTTTTCTTATTCCCAGGTACAAGAAAGAACTGCAGTCTTTGCAATTCATATCGGCTCAAAATAAAACCTTATTGGAAGAACAATTACAAGGAGCAAGGAAAGCTTTGGAAGTAGCTGACTCTAGACTTAAACAAGCACAAGGACAAGTAGAAAAAGAACAAAGAGCACAGAAAGAACGAGAATACAGAGAACAGAAGGAAGCCAGGAACAGGTGAATTTTTATACTGGAAAAATATTGTTTTCGGTCACGTGAACGCGAATTTTATTTATACCAATAACTAATGTATGATAAAATCAAGTCTGTGTTTTTCTGAAGAAAGCGAATTGATTTGAATGCAAACGCAAATAGTCAGATTTATCATGCGTAGTAAAGGTAGAAAGAAAATTATTACGATACCAAGCCGCTGGTCGAAAGTATATTTTGACCGTACGCTATTAACCTCATATAACGATTGGTTGTTACTAGACTTATTCATGAGACAACATGAAGATATAGTAAGAAGCAAACAAAATAGTTCAGACAAAGTTTAAAATATGCTGATGCTATTATACTATCAAAATTAACTGTACTCTCGTTTAAGAAGCAACTCTTATCAAGCATGCCGTTTTTCTTTTGGTAATATAATACTATAAACTATAAATGGGTTAAAATAAACAAATCAGTATTAAACACATCGATTCATTCATAATTATAGCGGCGCTATCTATTATGACACTGATGCAAGAATCTTACCGAGGCTATGAGTGAAGGTACCTCGGGTATATAGCGCGATCGAGCTTCTTTCTAGATTTTATTCCCATCTTAGCTATGTTCTGCATGTAGACTTGTAATCATTATTTGGTACTCCTGAAGTATGCGCACCAAGATGTCGCACAACCTGAACCCTAACCTGGTACATAACCTGAGTTCAGGTTGTGCGCCATCTTGGTGCGCATACTTCAGGAGGTTCCATCATTCACAATTCTAGGGTTTGTTTGCAAGAGGAGGCGATTCCTTTCCAGCTTATTATCAACCATAATCGGTAATCTGCTTTGTACTTCTAGTTTCCCCGGTATCGTTCAATGTGACAGTCCGTCATATCATTGCAAATGCTATTCAAACTGGGGTTACTTGGGGGCTTATCTGGTGTGACGCAGTCTTGTAGAACAGCGGTGTGAAATCCGGCAGCAGCGGGCCAAAAGCGGCCCACAAGAAAAAATTGTGCCACCCGCGGAGAAGTTCAATTTTGAATGGTGTGCGTACGCGAAACGAGTTTTTAATTTAATTTAATATGGCACTTCTGACCAGTAATTCCTATTCCTTTGCGTTGTGAAACCTTTACCTGGGTTGGATTTTATTATCTCAGCCTATGACGTTACAATGCCCTAACAGCTAACTTCTGCGAATCGAACAACACAAGATCTATAACCAATTTTTTTGTTTGTGCAATTACAAGAAAAGCTATGTTCAATAAGGTGCGACCCACAGTTTCACCCAGTTATTTGTATCTGGCCCTCCTGTATTAAAGGTCGCACATCCTTGCTGTATAACATACTTTATTTCATCCTATGAATTTGTAGACAACAACTCGCAGACGCACAAAAGAAAGATATCGATCGAATGTTGATTGAATTAGAAGAAAAAGATAAGAGATTAAAATCAGTAACTGCTGATAACGAGAAATCTGCAAAACTGAATCACGTGAATAATACGAAAGTGGAAAGGTGAAGGAAACTTTTTGAGATTCAAGTTGAAATAAAGTTTAAAACTAGATAGCGAGACCGCCGACTTATCGATCATAAACGATAGCTAAGGGTCCAATTTTTTTATTTGAGTACTCCATATCAATGTATTTTTTGTGTTGTCCAGTTTCTTCAGTATTTAGTAGTGACCACGATTTTGGTGGTTTATTAAAAAAAAATTGCCAGAGTAATTAAATCATTGTAATTAAGCATTTTTTATGCTAAATTTTATGCATTCTTGATTTAATTTTTAGTTACATTTATTCGATTTACAGAAAAATCAAGACCATTCAAACTCAGCTCGCAGTCGATAGATCGCTTAAATTAGAAGCTTTTGATAGGGTGGACGATCTACATGCTCATATCATGGATTATGAACATTCACATTTCAATTCTGGTGGAAGTTACACTCAACCATTAAGCAGAGCCACAAGTGCGGCAACGAGTAAGTACATTCATATTGTTGTCGTGAATAGGACAAAACATGGATGCTTATTACATTTTGATAGCGATGTCCCAGGTTCAAGAAACTATTTCCAATCAGCACACATTCATTTGACGCTACATGTCTTTTACCATTGGTAACTTGAGACGCTGAGCTTTTGCTTCGCGAACAGCGACTATTTGATTGTTTATTCTATATTACTCTTTTTACACTTTATTTGTCTTGATTTTTCCTTTCTTCCATCTTATTTTTGCTTGTATTTGCATTTTTCATACTTTTGACATTCTATCACCAGTGCGCATTTTTTCGGTTTCATAATTCTTTATAGCAAACTTTAAAAACTCCGCAAGGCATTTCACATCCTGTGTATCTGCATTAAAAGTTAAATCCGCTATGTATATAATATCCAAACAGCCCATGAAGATAGTTTTAAATACACCATAATGGTATGTAACATTTATATATATGCCTAATTTTTATGCACTGCTTTGAAAAAGTTTTTGAAATACTTTAAGATTTAACTTTGCTGTCGCCTGAAATTTTTTCACCTTCGTAATATTATTCCTAATATTATTTCTCTTAGGTCGCGTGAAATCAGCTGTTGGACTTCGAAGCATTCTCAGTAGTGCTGGTCCACAATCAGCTATCAGTATTGGTAGTCCGCCTTATACACCACGGGTGAATATGAGACCCCTGAGTTCTATGCCTGCATACAATGGCGCTGATAGTTACCAGGAGACACCATTGCTGCAAAGACCGAAAACGGTTTGTAGTGTATATTGTGTTTGTTATTTGGGGGAATTTTTTATTAGCTGGTTGCACGACATTTTACTTGGTTATGGAGGCCAGGAGAACCATGTTTAAGTTAATTAGTTAAAGCAGGGGTTCCCTAACTATTTGTTCGTGCGGCGCCAAATTTTCAAGGAAGATACTCACTGCGCACTTACATGAACAAAAATTGCTGTATATGAATAAAATTGCGAAGTATTTATTTAGGTATATACTACACCCATTTATTTTAACGTTAGTAATTGATATTTATTAATGGCGTATTTTTAAACGCTTAACAGGCATCCGGACGACTGAAAAGTAAAATAGCTGCGACTTTACTGTCAGAGATCGACCCGCCACTAGATAGTCATGGGACTGTCGTTAAACTCCGCGAGATAACAACAGGAAGAAAGTAGACACGAGGGAATTGAATATATTGTAAAAACATAGTGTTGCTGAAATTCGATACTATTTTATTATTTTACCCATTTTTTTTACATTTTCATAGGAATTAATACACAGAAGGGTATTAAGCTTTGTTTTCGTGTCCTCTGCATCTTTTTAGTAACACTAGAACAAATTATAACTGTACATTTGTAAATTCTTTGTATGTGTTATGTGGAATATTTCTGTATATCATTAGTTAGATAAGTTTTGTTTTGGTGCAATTCAATTTGTTCATAATATATATAAATTTGGAAATTTTGACAAATATTGGGTACCAATTCTTGTATAGCAAAAATTCGCCAACTGTATATGATGAATAAGTATTATTCTCCATTTTAGACAAATTTTTGTAGTAATTTTACACCACTCCTCACAGCGAGGCTCTGTATAGGTCACTGGTTCTTTGTAGTTTGTCTAAGTCAATACACTGTGTGTGATATAGTTATATTGTAACAGTTTTGCATTAAGATTCCACTACTGTGTTTATTCCTATTGGGATCTGGACTGGATCTGATTCGAACGGGAGACGTCTATTCTGTGATATCAACTTTTTAAATTTAGATTTCATTGCTGTGTTTCATATTTCTTTAGATCAAGATCAATTATTTTACCTTTGTTTTATGTTCTCATAGCACTGTGTGTTTCACGATTTCCACTGCATTTAATTAAACTTGGTCGTGTGATAAAACGAGCTTACAATGTTTGATTTATCTGTGGCACATGTTTGGTTGAATATTGTATAACCTATTATATATATAGAATTTACATGTTACCTGAAATTGATACTGTTTTTATTAATTTATAGTGTTTACCTATTATAATACAGAATGTGCCAAATACCTGGGGTATGTAGAAGCTATCCATAAGTTCCATTTTTGTTGTTCGTAGATTATTTCCTAAAGCCGTAGAAATTTTTTTTTTTTTAATTTTGCTTGTTTTTTATTAGAGCTCATTCAGTGTGATTACAGATGAATATTTATATCAATAGCCAATTCCCAAATGTATAAATATATAGTTTGGAGGCCATTTACGAACAAAAAATTTTTTTTTTCGCTTGTGACGAATACGTAATTCAGTGTTTTCCAGTCTTCTTCAGTTGTAGATTGGCGCTTTGCATCCATTCTTTGTTGAATTAGGAATTTTGTTATCGAAGTATTTCGGAATTGCAGGATTGCACAGACAATAAATTTGGTTGTTTTATATTTACAATATACCTGCTTTCATGGGGGAAAAAATAGTTATTATGGAAAACAAACTTAGATTAACTAAGCAGAAGTTCGAAAGCCACCTGCTGTTGCTGTCTGATGACATACATTAGAGTAAAGAGTTGACATTCGAGCAAATGTCACTTCCATTTGATCCATTTTCTACAAACGTGTTAAAAATAATAATTGTAGAACATAATATTTCTAGTATTTTTGTAGCGTCCATTTTTTTTTCATTTTGAATTGTAAATCACCCTCAAACCGATTGAAGATATTTTTGCCTGTGACAGTTTCATTAATATCATAAAATACCTAATTTAGTAGTGTAGCTTTTATTTGCCTTCGATTGCCTTGCACTTCATAGTGTGTCTAATAAATGGTTTAGTTTAGTGAGAATGCTCCATCTGTTCGTTTGTTCACGGTTTTTGACGAAGTGGATTTTATCTTGATGATCAGATGCGGATACTTAAGATTAATTAGGTTTGAGAAATCTTATTTGTTGCATTTTTTTGTTTTGTAGTGTTTATTTATAAAGCATAAATGGAGCAAGCACGCGAATTAAGTTAACTGAAAGTTCTATCAGACTATATCCAGTGAGAGTCACGTTAGCGCGGCCATCATCACTATTCGAATGTCCGAAACGCAACGTGCTTGACAGTGGCGTCATAGTTCTTGATCAACATATAGCGATAATTCACGAACACAACAGTAATCAGCTCGATTACGCCACCGGAAAGCCAAAATGCGATACCGGCATCGTTTACTACATTTTGATATAATTTAATAAGAAAAAGCAAACATTATAAAATTAAATAAATAAATTTCGCGAACATCCGAATAACCATGTCGGGTGGATGACCAAAATCTTGTATTTCCATTCGCAATTGATTCAAATCAGGAAATGTCGCAGATGGTTTGATTGTGTAAAAATGATTAATCTAAAACCATGCTCTTGCTTGATTCCGCTGTTTTCTTTTTCTCGTCTCAACGGTAGTCTGAATAGTTCTATCGGTCGACTTGAAGTCGAGAACGTGGAAAAAGTATTCCGAATCTGGAGAAAGTAGTGAGAAATGCTATTTAGGACTACAATGTAGACTGAGAAGGTGACAATGACTCGGTCATATCTTGAGGTATATATATGGTATTGATAACTATCCTATTTGTCTTTATTATGCATTGGTCGTAAGTTTAGAATAGGGTCTAATCTATGTCAGTTATATTATACTATAGTTAAATCTATTAATACTAACACTTCAATAATCAAAATTACCTGTAGGACGTTCCATCGGATCAATTGTAGGTTTTTCATAGAATTCACCAACAAATGGACTTGCTATGGAAGGTTCTAGCTGATGGTAAGCTGAAAATTAAATAATATATATCTTTAAAAACAGAATTCTTAAATGTTTTCACCTATTTACCACCTGTCATCGGAGTGTCGGTTCTACAAATACCTCAAATGTTCGTCATTGAGTGAAATCTATTTCAAGTGTTATAGCAATCAAGATCAATCCCAAAGTGAAGCTAAACTGTTTCAATATATTGTAATCTATCGATTGAAACTGTGTTACGACACGTCTGTTCATACTAATTATTCAATGGAAGTACATTGCCATTATCCTAACGCGTGAGCCTCATGTGAGAGTGCTAAATAAAACTTTGTTAACACTCCTTGTAAAATATAGACTCTACGACAGGGGTCGGCAACCTACGGCCCGCGGGCGCTCCCCCGAATTATAGTACCAAAACAGCTGTTTTGACGATTATATTTTTTACGTCACACAATTCATTGTGAGACGCGTGTAAACTAAATTATATTATAATCTAATAAGTATAAAATTCACAATTACTCTTTAATGAGCCTATAATTTAATTATAATTAGACAAATGGCAACAAAACTTAGAAAAGTTGATGCTAAGTGCAAAGCGTTCAATGGCGCCAAAAATGCAATGCAATGAGAAAAAAAATCTATATTCTATTCGAGAGATGTATTACTCCTCCATTTTTAATATAAAAAGTATCATCCGTTCGGTTTGTTAAAATCTTTCTAAAAATATGTGCGGCCCGCCAATGACTTGCAACCATTATTTTGGCCCGCGAGCGACAAAAGGTTGCCGACCCCTGTTCTACGATATAAACAAAACATTCAACCGGGATGGATGCTTTTGCCATAAAACAAACAAATTGGAGTCTAAAAATATAGAAAACTAAAATGTACCTGATATAAACATTTGCATAAACGCGGACCTGGAAATTGGAACAAGACAACATAAAAACCATATGACAGGAACACATTAAGTTCACATGCAGAGATTCCAATCTGATAGGATTATTTAAATATAATTGCATATGAAATTTCTCTCCCAAGTTCCCTCGCATTCGCAGAAATTAAGCTTACCCGAGAAAAAGAAATAAAATTGCGCCTTGTTCTAATTGTCGATTCGTTTCGTTATAGCTTTGCTCTGATTTTAACTGCACAATTAATTGATTGAATCTGTGTCGTGTTTATTATATAGACTACCTGGCGTTGGCGGATAGCCACATTACGGATGTATTTTTCTGATCGATTTCAACACAGCTCACATGATCATCTGAAGCGAGCGTTATTATTCCTAGGCTTACCATACGTCCCGTTTTAGGCGGGACAGTCCCGCTTTTCAGCGTTTTGTCCCGCCGTCCCGATAAGTCAGCCAAAAGTCCCGCTTTTCCAGCATAATATACAAACATGTTTTCGTTACTGTTTATTCTGTGTAGCGCAGTGCTAGCCTACTTACTAAAGGTGAATGCGTTCGTTTCCCGCTGATTCCCGTTGATGGCAGACGTATCGCATGTAAAACCAATACTAATTAGTCTAAAGTCGAATTATTTGTACCGGTATCGTTAACGTCAATTCCTTCCTATTTTTCGAACTGAACCCGATATTTGGACAGAGAATATGCGCGTGAAATCTCGATAACAATATGGTCAATAAAGACAACCGAGACAGCTTTGAATGTAGGCCTATGTAGTAAAATCGGAAAATGGGAAGTTATAAAATCACAGCTAAGGGGTCGTTGTCTTTCGAGGCGTCCCGATTTGAAGTCACAAAAATATGGTAACCCTAATTATTCCTGATCTATAAAAAAAAATTCAGGTCAATATGTTCTTGTGTATACATCCCGTCTTCAATATTGATTGATGATCGTCAACTCTCGTATATTGCTTTTACGAGACGAATAAATATACTTACACACATACATTAAACTAGATTTTGAGACTAAAATCCGGTAGATGGCGACGCTGAACCACAATTGTATCTTCAAATATGAATAGGTATTGGTCAAATTTATCTTGATTCTTTTCACGTAACAAGATTGCCGAATTTGTTTCAAAATACAAAAACAGTTCTCAATTTTAATACTTAGTATTTGTTCCTAGGTTATAACTTTTATCTATGTCTTATTTTAAAGGTAAAAAATAGTCAAATGTCCATATTTACCCCAAAAATGCGTTATCTATTTCTACTGAATGGAAATTCATCACAAAATCAAATCAAATTTGTTCGCGTCTAGTTTTGCATTCAACTTTTCGACTAGCTTACATCGATCAATGTACAATCCGACGAAAAAAACAGAAAATATTTATGTTTATAGCACATACGTTTCGTTTGTACTAAATCATTTAATTCCGTAAGATTCAACGCCTGATAGTGATAAGTAGTTATGAAACTACTATTTTGAGTGGTGTGAAATATATTACTTCATGTTATATTTTTATAGATAATGTACAAATAAATAAAAGGAAAAAATAAGTAAGTAGAGAGTTACCAAGTTTATTCCGACTACCATACCTTTACACAACCAATAGAATAAAAATAAATTCACGAAAATTAACAACAAAAATAGATATATATATATAAACGTGAAAAGTGATTACAATCTAAAAAACAAAACTTAGAAATCTTAAAATAGAAGACATCAAATCGTGAAAAAATATGAGTAATTTATACTAAAATAAGTTTTTTTTCCATTAATTGCGGACCAGAAAAGACATGCCTGGAAGAAGGTCTTCGTGCCCAGGACATGCCTACGGACAATTGATGGTACATATTCTCTAAACAGAGATTGTCACCTTCCACACTTTGGTTATTGATGGTGGTTTGGTGTGGTTATTGAACAAACTAAGTTTAATATATATGGTGATTAAATATTAAAATATTATATATTCTGAACACGATGCTACGTTCTGGCATTCATGGTTGTAAACAAACAGACAGCTCATATAGTCGTTGAAAAAATAAGAACGCTATTGTTGCAATCAGGCGATTCGACATGAAATTGCATCCTTCGTTGCCATCGTTGATTTGCATTAATTGTTCACATAATTGATGAAATTTCCCGATTGTAAGAAAACCAAACTGGTTCCCTGAAGCTGACTTCTACTTGCAAAGTAGCCTACTCTTCTTTTGTTGTATTCTATTTTCACAATTTTTTAGGTTTTGTATTTACAATGAATAGCGTATAATAAATCACTTATCTTTTGCCACGAAAGAAATTATGAAAAGTGAATCCAATGTAACGTTTAGTTTATTTCGTTCAGTCGCCCGCCATTAAAAAAAACGATAAAAGAGCATACCTCCATGGGTTGCACGCGACCTGATATAACCACTTAAATTCTACATAACTTATAAAACTAAGTTTGAAAGAATTGTAGGAATTCGCATTGTTGGCATACATTTTTAATTCGTAAAATAAAACATTCAAATCGTCCGGAACTTAGGGTCAAGTTGTATCGGTACGACTGAGTCGGCTTAATGACGTCAATCGTTGTCACTAAATCCGGTTTGATTTGTAACATTGCTCGATTAGACACATGTCGGAAACATTTGACGTCAGAAGAATTAATTTAAGACTTAGTGGTTCTTAGATGAGACAATAACATTGTACCGTGAATAATACAAGTTTGGGCGAAAACCTTTTAGTATTAAATACCTTGAGAAAATAAGAAATCAAAAGAAGTCCCGGTGAAGGAGGGCAACTTAATATCAGAAATTAGTGAACTGACCATTGACGTATTTTAAAAAAACTTTACCGCAACTTCATTATTGAACTTTAACCTTTAGCTATGCCAGATTACCGCTAAGCCAATGCTTGCATTGCTTATAGCTCTACAGCAGAGGGATAAAAATGTCTTTTCACTTCAAGGGTCAAAGCAGTCACTGCCGCAGCTATGGACAGGGATTCTAAACCTTCATTATGTCTCTGATTTATTCTTTTTCACAAATTGAATGTGTCTTTATTTTTAAGATTTGTCATTATTTTTTTGCTGTGTCATTATTTTGCTTTGTTTTCATACGCTAAACTCGACGTAAATTCTAATGCAATATAACATTTTGCATTTCAATTAGAATCTGTGCATTTTTTGTGAAAGACGAGGCTGAATTTGGTGGTAGTGATCATAACAAAAATTGTCCAGGATTTTGCTCTTTGAAATATGGCAACCCTAACCTACTAACATATTAGGTTCCCTCGGTGGACCACGCCCTATTCTCCTCTTAAGCGTGTGACCTGTGACCTTGGAGCAACTCAATTTTACCTCGTTCTACGTTTTTCGCGGGTCGTTCATTTTTCATATGAAATGGTTGAACTTGAATGCTGCTAAAAATTTGTGTTCTTTGTTGTTTATTTTTTCTACGTATCATTCAACACTGATCAGAGTGAAATTGTATATTTGTGCTTCATATAAATGCACTTGAGCACGTCCATTCTGTCATAATACTGTTTATACAGGATGTGGGAATTACAAATTGCCAGTTTAAATTCAAAACCCATTTTGGTAAGTGTAAATTTCATTTGAGAAAAATGCTCGGCTTCGCTGAGTGCTCATGTTCATGACTCATAATACGTGACTTGAAAGCAGAAGAAATCGGATATCATGATCACCGGTAGTATTTAACCGAATGACATAAAACTGATTTTCCGGGTGTCATGTGTAAATCGTTTCATTGCACCATAAACCAACTTAACCTAGATGATGCACAGACAGGCGTTTAATTTCATAACACTCAATAAAAGAATATGTCGTGTTGGAAAATCTCTCCATCGTGTTTCCAAACCGATTTGGACGCTACTGTGAACTTTTGCTCTCACTTTTTACTAAATTCGTCATAACTATATGTCATATCAAGAGTACTTCAATGCCGACTATGACGTTCTGCGTATAGTTAGAAACTGTTTCGTCTCATTTCCATACTAATTCGAGACCTACATTTATCGTTTAGGATGAAATGCTCTTGACCTCAAACCACGCTATTATCAAATGTCATTATCCTATAATGACCTTTCCGGATACGAAACGATTGGGTTGTTGACCCAGACGAACTGAATTACTGGAGCAAAAAAACTCCACACTTGTCCCAAAAAACTCAAAAAATATGATTTGGAGTACATTCAGCAAAATGTTTTATTTGTTCATATCATGCACGAAATAAAATTTTCGTTGCGCTTCAACAGATAGACAGTAGTCATGACTTAACAGTAGACCTGATTATACAGGATGTCCATAAAGTCCTGTTTTTAAATTTGGTCCTTCATCCAACTAATGGTTAAAAACTAATGAACACAGATTAAAATAAAACAGTTCTGGTTAAGATATATTGGTAAATGACCTCGTGTCAAAATTGTAACATGACTTTATAAACACATTGACATACTATTGTGCCCTTATTTGGGGTAAAAAGATGTGTTTCAAATATTTTATTGTCTTTATTGTTCACTGTACTTTGTGAACAGCCATCCATTCTTTAAATTAAGCACAAATTACATTAATAAAATTGTTTCACCCTTGATTATAACTCTATTTCACTAGCTTCTAATAAATTAACAGCGATAGGCGTTTTACTCATTTTTCTTTTAATGTAAACTTATGGAAATGTTGCATACTATTATAACTTCATTTTTAAATCAAATGTTGATTTTACCTCTAAGAGAGATAGAGAGAGAGAGAGAGAGAGAAAGTGAATCAAAGTTGACTTGCTTTCTTTTAATGATCATCACTAAATCCTCTGTCGGCAAATATGATTGATTTTGAGTATCCTGGCATAATAGGTCAATTTGGTCTCATTAAAACTGTCGATAGCTCTTTTCCTGCTACCGGTCTTCTTATGTTGAGCACTAAATATTTTGTAAGTGCTGTCCACTTCCTCATGTTAGTTGAGTTCGACTAAGTAATGTGAATCATTTGTTTATCCGGTTTAAAATCCTTTGATGGTTTTAAAATACGATGCAAATTCTGTTGCTTCCGTAATAAAGAAGATGTGGTGAAACTGTATGCCAGCTGAAATTATTAACATGGTGTTTTATTTATTTTGTGTTGCAAAATCATGTTTTGTCTTTGTATAAGCATTGTAGGGTTTAGACTATGAAAAATTTATAAAACTGTGTGCAAAATTTTCGAATAATACCTAATAATAAATTTGGATTGAGATTTGAAAAATGGGTGAAGTTTAATACTACTTCTGGTCATATAAAAATAAGTCGAATCATTCCAAGGGGATGATAGTACATTTGAGGGGATAGTTTTACAGAAATACAAGCTACAATGGAGGAGAGTTCACGACAGCGCGTCTGCCTAAAAAGAATAGAAATTTGGGCGCTCCAGAAGTGTGTGTACCAATATGGAGGTAACTAATTTTGTTCGCCTACTTTACATCAGGTTATGTAAAGGGACGGAAGCCTATGGGCAGGGGTATATTAACTTGCTAACACAGACAGTCCCCGAAATCGTAATAGACCTAAAACGAGAATATCGGTCAGAGACCGAACACTTATCGATCGAAAGTTACGGGATCCCCAAAAGAGCGCTCTT